CTTACATAGTGAAATAGACAGGTTTATTTACTGAAAATGAGTTGGTATTCATTGAAGCCAGTAAAGGATCCTCTTTGTCTGCCTCAATTTTTCCATGTCAGAAAAAGGAGGAACCCGACATGTTTGACCTGCCCTGGAATCATCATTCTAAAACCGACAAATGAACGGTGTTGGCTGATAATATTGTTAGCTTCAAACACGACAATGCTGGATTACTCTAGTATCTGAATCAGTCAAATACACTTTAACACTGAATAAGTCTAACATATTATTTATTTAATGGATCAAGAACAAATTACAGATTTTTTTCCTGGTTATTATTCAAGGATTTGCCTGAAGTGCAGTTAGTGAGCCCACTCCAAAAGAGTTGAGTTTGAGTGAACTACAGCGTGAAGGCCGTGAAATACTGCCAGACTAAAAATGTCTGTGATAAGAAGCTGACAGAAACATTTAGCACCTGCATTAGTGTTTTCTGGAGCCGCAGCCTTGATCAAGTCTCTGCTGAGCTGCACAATACATTTAATACATGGGCAAACTGTGGGACTTTACATGATATGATTTCAGATTTTCTTTCTGTGAGCTACTATGTAAACAAGTCTACACAGAAAAAGTTGAATATTTTTTATTTTTTTCTGGCTTTAGTGGAAAAGAATTGGGCTGCAATACGTTATGTGATGGAACTGTCTGAAACCTGAGAAACAACACCAAGAACCACAGAGAATAGTGCTGATAAAACATTTTTGGTCAAAATAGCCAAAAACTTGTCAACATTTTCTGGATCTTAAAGCTCAAAGAATAGAGTTGAATGCATTTCTATGTCCTTCCTTTTGCCACCCACCAGGCACATGAAGCCAAGGATGGCCTCTTCATCGCCTTTTGCCTTGAGTACGCACAAACAAATGCTCTGTTATATTTATGGTGAACCAAAGGAGTGAATTATCAAACACTAATGGTATATTTTATTAAAAAGAATAAAAATAATTTTGTATATTTGCCTAGATTTGAATGTATCAGCTGAATATCAGTGCGGTCTGAGGACATTATCTGAAAAAATCCAGCAGTGAATTTGAATCTACACTGCAAAAATATTATTGCAATTAGTGATGTATACATTGCATCGTGTATGTGAAATTCAGTCAAAATATTCATGTCTGAATAATCTGAACAATCTGAATAATCTTTTTAAATGAAGCAAAATGGACAAAAGCAAAATAGGCACACAAAAAAAGTTTAATTTCTATTGTCAGTAAACAGACATAATTTTTAATGTTTGCTCTAAGTGTTTTCATCGTTGCATTTCTTTTGTTGATCATTTGATTCTCTGAGCTGTGTCGGCGAATTCAAAGGTTTTGTTAAGTCCTCCGAGATAATTACTGTTGTGATTTAGGGCTATATAAGAATACATTGAATTGAATTAAATTGAATATAAGAGTAAAAATTGTTTCTAAAAACATCTTATATGGCAACATCTTAGACCGATATAGATCCATTGAACAGTATAATCCTTTAATATGACTAGCCTCAGTCTCACACACACACAGTGGTGCTCTGTGGGTTCAAGTCGGACATGAGATCTGTGGCACTATACAGAGTTTTAACCTTGAGTTTTCACTTTTGCAGATTTCCGACTTTGCAGAGGAAGAAGGTCTAATATCTCAGCCTTGGCACTTTGCCTCTGAAAACCTTGCTTTTTCCTTGCTGCTCTCCCACACATTCCCGCCTGAGTCTCCGCCTTCCTCCAGCTTTACTGTACGTCTCATGTACAGCTCTATGGGACCCAAAAGCACCGTATGCAGCCCTGACAGCCACTGCTTCCCTCAAACTTTGCCAAATATTTATGCAATGAAGATCTAATTTATGTGTCACGGTGCAGCTCATCAGCCTTAGCCACAGCGGAATATTTTAAGCCTGGTGCTGTCTCTTTAGATCAGGCATTTTACTTTGAATAACCTCTTAGCATCGGCGCTTTGCAAATGATGTACCAATTTAAATTCTTCTAAGCTTACTGTAGCCCATGCCGCATTGCTTTGTGGAGCACACTGGCTCGACTTCCCGCCTCAAATAAACACACTGATGAAGGAATGCCAAGGCAAAAAAGTAACTTCAACATTTCAATTACTATCACGTTGTGTCCAAAACCATTGTAACTAGCTACATTTTCCATTTGAAATGAGAAACGTTGAAAGTGAGAGCCAGAGCTGTGAGATGCCAGTATAAGTTCAAGACTGCAGAGTTTTGGTGCTACACGGGACGTCCCATCATGAGGCTCTTATGTGAGATGACAGACACCCTCCCTCTATGACTCATCCACTCCCCACTCCTCACGCTAAAATGCACTGATAAGGCAGCTATAAAATATACTTTGTCAAGGTTATTACGAAAAACAAGCCAAATTTAGCAAAAAGGGAACGACATAATTTATATAAGGCAATGATAGAGCAAGGATAACATTATATTAGTCTTGTGTTTCCGGTAGATGGTGGTCTGCCTGTGTCTTTAGTGGTCTGCACATGATCACAATGCATTGTGGGTCATAGAATAAAGAGCAGTAACAAATCATGATCGATATTGTTTTGTTAGAAGCCTAAACGTACATAAAAACACCAGACGTCTGTGTGTTAAAGCTGGGGTACCTAATGTTTATCCCAACAGAAAGAGTCTTGCTCAAAGTTGTGAACAAATTAGACCACAAAGGTCTGCTTTCAACAAACATTTTTGTGAAAGAAAGTGAAGTGAAGTCGATTCATTCCAGCATTTCCAGTTAACTCCATATTGGAACATTGTCCTCATTTGACCCAGCCTTCCAATAGCAGCGGTTGCTATAGTGCAGCGCCCGGCTCAGTCAGGACTATCCCTCTGGAGGACATTCCTATGGTGCATGCTTTGGGTGGCAAACTGAACACAGAAAGGCTAGGACTGGTACTGGAATCAAACCTGCAACCTTCTCGCTGTGAGGCATGAACTTTAATGACAGTTTGGAGCTGAGAACGGATTAGATGAGAACGGATTAGCTGAGAAAGAGCAGTTTTGTTTTTCACTTTTATACTCAAAAGCTGATCTAAATATTCAAAATGTAGCCAATATTTTTAACCTTTCAACATGTTTGCACACTTCCTGTCTTTGTGCACACCCTGAGTGGTTGCCAAATGTGAGATGTACATTTCTACATTGTCAGATCAATAAAGTTTATCATTAAAGAGGTTGAAAAAAATCATGCATGTGAAGTATAATGATAGCCCCAAACTGTTTTAAGAGCGAGGAGCTATAGTTAGATGTGTTTTATTGCCGCGTTTTTGTGGTTTGCAGATTGGGTAACCCAGATTTAAAGAGCGACTACCTTCACTGTGCTTGAGGCTTTTCCAGAAGTATGTTAATGTTTAGAGTAGATTACTCGGCGGAAGTCAGGAGAGAAGACCTCACGAAGCTCCATGTGTGGTTTAGCGGAGCACCCCTGAGTGTGATGACATAATAAGGTGTAGAAAATACCAAACCCCATGGAATTCAGGTGTTGTTTTCTGGAGGAACAGAGCTTTTTTACGGTATGACGTTTTTATATTAGTCGTTCCTGAAAAGAGATGAGGCCTGGGGGAATTGGAAACACATAACTTGGGCTTAGATCCGTCTTAAAAAATGCAGCATCTGTTTCCCAGACACAACACTCACACGGCACCTCACTAAAAGCTCACGTTTAATATCCCGCGCACATTAGGAGGTGCTTCAAGGATCTCGGTTTCTTATGTTGTTTAGGACCAAATAAATGGCAGTTAAACCATCTCTTTAAAATGACGAATTGAACTTTGAGAACAGCAAAGTGTAACAAACATGCATCCATATAGTTTCAAGAGTTTGACTTATTATGCCTCCCTGTATTATACCTTACAAAATAATGTGACTTTGCTGTCGTTGCAGCCAAAATGCAGAACAATCAGACTAACCACAAACGAGACCTTTGGATTATATTGGTCTATAGACTTGAGTATAGATGCCTGGGCAGTATTTTATTTTGCATATTCTGTACACAGGGAAAAACATACTAACCCTAACATACTTATGAGAGGCTGAAAGACACAGGGACAATGTGGTGAGTGAGAGAGCATTTTAGATTTAATTCAGAATTCACTGGTATTTGGTAGTGACACTATATACTATAAACTTCATCATCTGTAAACAATAACTTGCATTTCTTTCCAGATTGGCGTCCTCATCTGATGCCATTACTTTCTGCTGTTGAATAATGGTGCCACTTTCTACTGATGTTGTGGGGATTTCGTTTGAACTTTGTGACAATCTGAAATAGGGTGCACAAATGTTTTATTAATTTTGAAACCAGTGGCCACCGATGGCCATTGGATAAAAATGTAAATCAAGGCTCAATACCTATAACATTTTGGCCACAGCTATGCCTTACCTCAATTTAAAGCAAATGAAAAAACAACTTTCCTCATTGGCCTCAAAAGATGTACAATATCCATCACTTTTGTTTTCATATTACAATTTAACATGTTTAACACTATGAAGATATGATGGGCACTGAATATATGTCTTATTCGTGATTCAATGCCTTTAACACACTTACACACATTGTTGTAGATAAAAGAACACACAAATTGCCATAACATTGAAGTATAGACGAGTGCTGCTGCACACTGATTCTGACTTGGAGCTGTTGGGGAAGACTTGGCTCTCCTCTCGTCCAATAGAAACAAGTGTTGTAAACGCGCCATTCTCTGCTTGTTTTATCCATGTGCTTTGACAAAAGTGGGAGCAGTGCGAGCGCCTGACAGAGAGGATGCAAGTTTAGGAGGAGTTTGGGCTCTCCTGTTGCGCGTCTGTCTACGTTCTTCTTGCTTTGCTCGTCGCTGAGTTGGACTCCGCGCTGACAATAATCACTAGGACCGGTGCTAAAGTTCTCCTGTGCAGACTAAGTACACAGATCCTGGGAAATGAGCCAAACTAACCGGCAGTTATCTTGTAGCACCTTGTGGTCGAGAGGGGAGACCATGAAGACTGACTTCGGAGTGTGCGCTCCCAGCATGGCGCTCAAAGCGGAGGAGAGCCGTGTGTACCGGGGGAGCCGGTTTAAAGACAGGGACAGCTCGCAGACAGCGGATGGATACGAGCCTGGACATGTCTCTGTGCGAACTTGTGACATGGACAAACAGTGGTCCCCGTCCCAGACAGCTGCCGCAGCCCCAGTCGATGCCTTCAAGCCGGAGTGCTCCTTTTCTGCCTGCGCCACCATCTCCGAAACCGCCCGAGAGCTGTGCAATGCCGTGTCCGTGTCTCTGGGACTGAGCCTGGAGTCCAGCGGGGACAGCAGCGAAGCAGAGCCCGCTCTGCTGCCGTGTGCCAGCGACCAGCGCAGCGCGGACTACGCGTTGACCCAGAGTGTGGCTGACTACAGGTGTCAGAAACCCATGCTCTACAAAACTTCTGAAAACACAGCTCACATGCATCCCCTCGAGTCCCGGCGCTCCAGCTCAGAGAACAACTTCTCAGCCCCAGACCTGAGCTCCACAGGCCGGCTGGAGAGCGCTCTGGTGCCGTGTGCGTACGCGCCTGTGATGGCAGACCCCTTCGGCCACAGAGGGGACAGATCCTGCAGAGGCTACAGGCTCCAGGTGGACGCCTGCAGCCGCGGCTACACGGAGGACTGCGGGCTCAAAGTCAAGTCGGAGGACATGTGGGTCGGATCCTACAGCTCCAGTGATAAGAACATGTGGGCTACGAGGCAGCGCAGCGGGAGCTCCTCTCACACTGCAGCCGCGAAGCCGCCTCTCATCTGCAGCCCGTACGAGAGCCAGTGGTACCCGGCAGGCGCACTGCTGCGCTCCTACCCCAGCCCCATTGTCAAGCCCGAGGTGGGAGAGTGGCTGGACGTGGCCTACAACGACTCCAGGTAACAGCAATAACATCCGCATGATATTTCAACTCTCTGCTTGATCTGCAATCAAATAAATCTATGAGGTTGAAATGAGAGTTTACTTTGTGTTCCCAATCCTGCTCAGCTCATGTTCATATGATCATAACTTTTGACGCTCTGTTGGGATTTTTGTGTTGGAGCAGTGTAGGGTGTATGGGAATGTTGGCCAAACTCCCCATAACACATTAAACAAAAGATAGGATACTTACACATCACTTTAGACCCATGCATGGTCATTTTTATCAACTCAAGTTTTGGCAAAAAATGAGGACATATCAAACAATAAAATCACTATATTTTTATTGTATATATATATATATATATATATATATATATATATATACACACACAACAAAAAATATAGTGATTTTATTGTTTGATATGTCCTAATTATATATATATATATATATATCATATCTCCCTGCCATTGCCATTCAATGTACAAAGAAAAAGTCAAATATGAATAGCATAATTGACTAAAATACAAAGGTTGTGTGTGGAGTGTCTCTTTCTTTTTCCCAGACTGAAGTAAACTTTGTCTGGTGTCTGTGAAGATCAAGAAGAAAATGCTAAAATCTACTCCATAAACTTGATTTTCTTCTATTAAGGCGAACGCCATAAATGTCAAGAGCGAAGAAAATAAATCAAACAATAAACTCTCAAGTACCTTGTTAAATCTTTGTCTTTCTTTTTTTTTTATCTCGTTTTGTCCTTTTCGCGTTTTTCACCTACTCGTAACATTCTAACAGACGAAGAGAAGTGCATCATTAAAACAGCTCATTATTTCCTCTCAGATAACTTTTATGCAATTTCTGTTAGAGTCATTGTCAACAGGGTGTTTTTTTGTCGCAGACTTGTTTTGCTTGTATTATGGGAAGAACAGACACACATGAGTTCACTTTAAAAGGCTATTAGAAGATTTAGAGAATATTAAATTGTGTTAAACGCAAATTTTGTCGTGCATTAAAAAAACATGACAGTGATTTATGTGGCGCTCTTGATCTAATTATCGCCAATGTTATGCCACAAGGCCACGCCCCTCACGACAGAACCACGTGGGAGTAGTATATAATAGGGTCATTGTAATAACAAGAAAAATACATAAATAAAAATACCATAATAATAATATATTAAAATAAAATATTCAGCATATTTTTTGTTTCATATTTTATATACTTGGTGATGTTTGGACATTGTGTTTAATCATGAATTGTACATGTGAAAAGTTATGTGAATAATTGAGGTATTGGGCCTTTTACACACAAAAAGCTCCCAAGAGCGTGGACCTATTGTTGTTTATAACATCAAAATAGCCGGGGAAATTTACATTTTTGTCAAATGCAATTTTTTGTGATTTCCAGTTATTTCAGTTTCATAAAGTTTCTCCCCTGGACAATTGTATCGCCACCGTCTTAAAGTTTTTCAGATTATGATCACCCGTCTAGTGCTGCAGTGCGTACATTCTCGTGTGCACAAAACATTATGAAATCATACATGCGTGCAGCCACTAAAGCCCTGTTTTTAATGATGCCGTAGATTTTTGCATTGGGCTAATACTCTGTAGCCACGTCATTGTGAGTTGTTTACAGTTGCTACGTGATGCCGTGTGCTTCCAATACGAACTGAATGAACTCAGAAAGACATTGAAGAACTGGGTGTTTCCTCTGGCCCCCTCCAAGCAGGTTCTCCAAAAAACTTCATGCGTTTCGTACAGATTAAGCAGGTCTGTTCATGAAAATAAAACTATTATTACCTTTTGTCTCATACTAATATACGCAGCCACTGTACAGGTATCTCTTTGTTCTTGCTGCAGAAGACTAATCCAAAATCTGTACAAAATCAGGCGTCGGTCTGGAGCTGTCACAAAAATTATTCTCTGGTCACTAGAGAAAACTGTCTTGGCTCACTATTGCTCATTTTCTCAAGCATGTATTTCATAAAGAAGAAAAATAAATGCTTCCATACAATGTGTATCAGTTTGGCCCGGTCAATGATGGAAAAATCAGTATTTGCCTCTTTTGAAAAATCATGATCATTTCAAACTATTGCAACCTAGAGAAAGCCCAAAATAACAAATGATACTTTGTTGTGGGGAGTCCCAGAATGCAAAGCGTGATACCCCCTGATGACTGTAGATCAATAACAGAATCAGATTTGCTTAATTGCACAGTACTAAAAGCAGCTATTAATTGACTTTCATTTGAAGGTTGACAATTACCAGTTAAAACCAGGGTAACTATCTTTTTTCTAGAGAAAATACAAGTGTTTTTTTGACCCAACAATAAGCTAAATACTGTGAACTACTCAGACCACAACAGGCTGTCTTCACCTGAATAGAAAACATCTTATCTTTGGCCTACAGTTTGGGGCTGATTGGCGGAGTGAGGGTGCTCTTCTCTTTTTTTTTTTTTACTTTTTTCTGTGTGAAAGAGTTGGTGTGACAGAGGCCAAACATACACACATGGGAAAACCAGTCATAGAACCAGAGGGAGGAGCTAGATGGATTAAGCTTTATAAGTTTGACATATTATTATTATTAAATGACATAGTTGTATTTGGTGTGGATGTTAAGGATCTCAGCTTTAATGTATTTGCTTTTTATATTTATATTGAGTTTGGTGAGTATCCTGATTTATCCCCATGAGTTTTTACCATGCTCCTGGTGTGAAACCTCGGCAAGATCAAAAAGGTCCAAATGTCGTGCCCTATATTTTTCTGTTCGTGTGAAGCCCAGATTTAAGCACACGTGATGACATTGTAAATCTAACAGTTGTTGAAAATATCCTGTGGGTTTGGAAGCGACCACTATTTCCACATTCAAGAGATTTACCAATGAAGGAGAGAAGTCATTCACAACATATGCAGCCATTCACGCAGTCATTATTAGTGTCTTCTGGTGCTGCTCATATTTTATAGAGTTGAAAAGTCAACTATAGTTCAAAGGTCAGAAGAGAAAAAAGGTAGTCTGAGGCACTCTGTTTTAGTGAAAAAATTAAAAGTCCTTTAATGAATTGGACTGCCTTTTTTACTTTTAACTATAGTTCAAAGGTTTTGGAGGGTGCTGTTAGTGAAAGATTTCAAAATTATAATTATTTTTTTTGCCATTTGCAGTAAAACCACATTGGAAAAACTGTGCAAGACAACCCCAGTATGCACCAGGATATTATGCACCAGAGTTCTTGCTGGGCATTTGTACATTTTAACTGAAAAGTACAGCAATTTGGATATGTTTTTATCAAAGGTGCTCATAATATACATGCTCATAATATGTATAATAATTATTCATTTTATTTGTCAGTGCATTTCTTGACACTCAAGGGCACTTTACAGAGATTAATAAAGCACAATTAAAAATAGCTGTACAGACAAAAAGAACAAGCAAAAAATGAAATAGTGAGATCAAGGGGGAAAGGCTAGTCTTGTTGTTTGGATTATTCAAGACCAGAAACAGAAGAAAACATTTACAAAAATGGGAGTTTCAATTTTACTCTTTGTCAGTGAAAAGTTGAGGTTTTTTGGCCTAATGCAGAGATCATTTTCCTTCAACTATAAAATATTGCGGGTGCTTTGTGTCTTAGAGAAACGTTATAAGACGGCACTACTGTACTCAATGTGGATGTATATTTTTGTTTCCATTTTGAGGTAATGCATGTGTCCTGTTTACTGTTTACTCCCTTTTGATCCAGGCACGAGTGAGTTTCACCTCCTGCAATTGTTCTCCTGGAGTTTGTTTTTAATTGTAATCTATGTTTGTGATTGTTTTAACCACAGTACAGTCCCCATACTGTGTCTGTGTGTAAGGAGGACAAACACACACAGCTTCATGTATTTTAAAATGAGTCGGTGGGCTGTTTTTAACTGCTGCTGCAGAGCGGAGCACAGGGAGACGTTTACTTTGTTTGGCTCCGATTTGAATTCTTCATGTTTGTGGAGTGAAGCGAATTTCCAGAGAGAAGTGGATGCACAACTATTGACAGTGAGGGTAAACTGTAGCATTGCTGAAAACTTGCTCCAACAAACAGAAAACTTTATTAGAAGTAGACGTTTAACTTCTGTGCCCAACTTTATGGCAGTAGTAAGATGGCTGCTTATGGGGAAAAGGCATTCACCACTTGGGCATGGGCATATTTATATCAACATCATAATTAGATCCAACATTACTGAAATCTTCTTTTTGTGTTTTGAAACTCTTCTTAAAACAGTGAAAAATGAGTGTGATTTCTCAACTGGGCTTAGAATATTGATCATAAGTGTATTTATTTAGTCATTAAAAGAATTCTTTTGTATCACTGCCCTGCAGCTGCAGAGATTTGGCGGCTGCTCTGTACCTTTGGGCTTTCTTTCATCACTAATCAGACAACATGCTCTTCTAACATTTTGAGCTCCTTTAAAAGACCATTGTAAATGAATGTCAGATTTCTGTCCCAGCCTATTTACCTTCTGAATAAAATATGATTTTTCGTGTTCGTGAGATTCAAAAACAAGCACTCCAAATATGATCCTAAAATATGACTAAACTTACAGTGAATATAGTCAGAGATTCCAGGTAAGAAGCCTGCTGCTCCTGAAAACACTTTGCAAACAAAAACTCCAGTGATGACAAACTGTTTTGTATGTGATAAATGCGCACAGCCCACACTCAGCACTTCCACCTGTCTGCACGGCTTCTTCACTAACAAAAAGAATCCACAACACAATGTGCTGCTTTGAAATGACGATTGGGCCTGAGACTGACCCCCTCAACTCCCAAGGACGCAAACTCAACATATTTGAGTTGATACCAATGCAGACATTTGTTCTGATGTAGTTCCCATTATTTTTTTATGTTTTTTTTTTTTTACTTTTTGTTTAAGCCAGATGCTATTATTTGAATTGAACACAGTCCACATTAAAATAGCCTGAAATATGCAAATAACAAACCACAGTAATGACAGATAGTGACCTTAAATGATAGATATTTGCATACTTAATGAACAAAATTAGATAAATGTGATTCATGTATTTATATTCAGTGAGAAATATTGTAGTATTTGGAGTCCCCTAACTTTGACGCGCTGCTTTTCTATTCCTCAAAGAATCCAAAGCAGCCAGAGGAAATACTGTAGATAGTCTGTGGATCAGATTGCTTGGTGGGCCCCCGAGCCACAAGTTGAATTTGCCCACCTGGATGTGTGGCGTTTAGTGTAGCGTGTAGCGTGTGTGTGTGTGTGTGTGTGTGTGTGTGTGTGTGTGTGTGTGCTCTCATACTCACACCAACCCTTTTCCTTTTTCTTGTTTGTACTAATGGAGCTGAGCTTTCAGAGTTGTCATTGGTCAGAAGTCTTGGCACCTGTGTCCAGAGTGTAGGTAATAGGGCAGTGAAAGCCACATTTCAGCAACAAGGTCCTGGCTTTGATCCTTGGGCCAGACAGAGCCTTTCTGAGTTTGCATCTTCTCCCCACGTCTGTCTATGTTTCCACCGGGTGCTACGGATTCTCCTACCACTACAAACATGTACAAGGACTGGTGTTCTCTGTGAGGCTGTAGCATTTCAATTGTCTCTGTGTACAGTGAATATAATATGCACCAACACTGTAAAGCACAATTTCTAAATATTTCTGACTGACATTTTGTTGATAGTGTATGGACTATACAGGTTTCTGTGCGGTCAGGATCCAAAAGAGGGTCATGTTTAGTAGAATATTCTCTGACAAAATTGCCTGTGGTTATCAAAGTAATATTAATAAATGTGTCTATAGTAAATTTGTATACTTAAATAAAAAAAATACACCACAAACTAAATTCAATTTGTGGTGTGAGTTTTTCCTTGCCGATGCAGGAGGGTCTGTTGGGCAGTTAGTGTCTGTGGAGATGATCCAGGACACTTTAACGTTCTACAACATGTATGGACATTTATCAACATGAACATTGGTCTCTCCTTATGGACCAATGCATATGTGTATATTTTGTGTCTTAACTGTTGATTCTCTGATCTGTTTTGGTGATTTCAATGGTTTTGTTAAGTCCTCTGAGATGACTTCTGTTGGGATTTAGGGCTATACAAGAATAAGTAATTGTAGTTAAAAACTTCTATCTAAAATCTATTTATTTGAAGTTTCTGTTGTAAGGTATGTTGTACAAATATACAGTATATTACATTGTGTTACTAAATTCACATCACCGCTCCAGTTGAGAACCACTAACATACAATACTAACATGGTGGATTCTAACAGTTCTACAGTTCTACTTTGACTGAATGGTATCAAATGTGGGGATAAGAAACCTGCAACTGTTGAGAGAATGGTAGATTGTGTTTCTAACCCTGGATGAAAACTTTTATGTAGTGTAATTATTCATTTAGTCTTTTTGAGCCAAAGCTTTGAAAAAATACTAACACAACATAAATGAATCCATTAATATCCACATCTATCAATTACAGCATGGACACATTTCCTGGAGGCAAAACACAAACCATAAATAACGGAGAAAAAAAAATCTTCCAAAAGAGAGTTTCATAGAACATATCTGTGCCATCATGGGGTTTCCCTCGACACGGTTGTCTGTCTCTGTTGCACCAATAAAAGCAGTTCAATTGTGGACAAGCACAGTGGTCCAAGACAGTAGTATTGTTGTCATGATTGGATTACTGCTGCTCCACTAGTCCCAACAGTGGAGGCCGAAAGCTGCACAAGAACTAAACCGGCAATGGCACCAAACGTTATGAGAATAGCGTGATATGAACTAAATGTGGAATCACATTCTGAGGTTTTTTAACAAGGTGTAAATTGTAGCCTGAGATGAACTTGAATTAGAAGTGGCTTTGGACACACAAAACAGGCTATGAAACTAAGGCCTCATTCAGTCTGCAGGATCCCAGACCCAGAGCCTCAAGAGAGAAAGTGTTCATTCAGCTACAAAACCTATTTTTATATCAATTCAATTCTTCCACAAAAATACAAGGTTACGATGATTACGCTTGAAAGCAGATATTTAGTGACATTGTGGACAAAATTGGGCCGTTATGGTTGTGATTTGACTTATTCGGTTTTGTAAATGGGAGTGAATAAAGTCTGGTTTTGCAAAGTTATTGTCTGGAAACAATATTCAAACAGTAATCTGAATAGACACTGCCTGTCACAATAGCACACTTTGAAGCATTATATGCATTTGCTCCAGAGAAATAGTGTGAGAAAAGATACTTATGAAACTTTTTAAAGCAGAAAAAACCCAGATTTTTTGTTTTGTTCAGTGGCTTGAACTGCAGCAGACAGAACCAATAATTAGCCAAATAAGTGACTTTTTCAAGCCTCTGCTGCTACAATATCACTTTACTTACAAAATGAATAAGGAAGTCATCTTTATTGAAGATAGAATAGACAAAAATAGTAATCCTAAAATATATCTTTCCTGCTACTATTCCATACAGATAGATAGAGGTGTTATATTATATTAATGTGAGCGATATAGTGTACATAATAGTTTTGTTTTCTAATACCTTTCCATATAATGCTATTAGTAATAATAGTAATATATTGTACTTATATAGCTCTTTTTGGACACTCAAAGACTATTTAAAAAAGGACAGGTTAATAAGAAACAAAAACAAAAAAATATACCTAAAATACACAGTACAGGCAGTTTTGGACAGGTGGGTTTACATAAAGAGAACCAGGTACTGTGTGTGAAACGGGTCCAGTCGATGTGAGTCCAAAGCTAAAGACGTCCACACTACTCAAATATTTGATTCCCACAACCTCAGTCAAGTCTCCACTCTGTGCGGCTGCGCTAATGGAGAGCCCAGATCCAGCTCAGTGGTTACAAATGGATTACTTCTGAAGTTAAAAAGCATTACATTCTGACTTTATGATGGTGCGTAACATGTTCGAGCTTGTTTTCCTCACAACAGAAGTTTCGTTTTGGATTGAACCGTCAACTAAAGTGAAACTAATGAACAGTTATGACATGACTTTGAGTTGATCAGGCAGTTTATTGTGCGGGTGTATAATTCTTGTTTATGTAATATATTTATAGGTTTGAAGGGGCCAGAGAGCACATGTTCCCCATGGAGTTCTTCTTCCCACCTCAGAGGACCTGCCTCATCTGCTCTGACGAGGCGTCCGGCTGCCACTATGGGGCGCTCACCTGCGGCAGCTGCAAGGTCTTCTTCAAAAGAGCGGCAGAAGGTCAGTGGGAAAATGTTGGCTTTAAATCACAGTCACTTTCTTTCCACTGTTTTCTCATTGAGTGAAGCAAATGAAAATGAGTGTGATGCTTTGGTTAGTAATGTTTCTGCATATAAAGTCAGAAACTAGTCAGAAATTTAAAGCTGAGGTACCTAACTTTCAAACCACAAAGAAATAGTACTAACTACAGTACTTGCTGGACTATCAAGCGCACCTGAACATGAACCGCACCAGCTACATTTGAGAGAAAGTCCATTTTGTCCACATATTGGCCACACTTTGATAAAAACCGCAACATGATTTCATGATGGGTGAGTCCAGTCTATTTTTACAACAAAAAAATGTGTGTGTCCCATTCCTACTAAAACTTAAAGGACAAAATGATGAGTCCATAAAGTCTGTTCTGAAAAATAGCCCTAATCACATAAAAACAAGTCCCGTGTATTTTCCTGCACTTCCACATATCGGCTCTCTCTGCTGTGATGCACGAGAAGTAAGAATGGAAATCTGCAGCTGATAGAGCTGTGGCCAAATCCGTTCCTGTGCTCCAGCAGCAACAAAATAAATGTATTTTTGGTTACATCTTTTGAACAGCTTTTTCAGACATAAAAGGTAAAGAGTGAGGACCAAACACAATTCGCCAATAAGCTCTTAGCTCAAAGTTTCAAATAATCTTTCTCAATATTATTTGAAAGTATCCAAAACTATGGTCTTGGTTGTTCACAAAACATCTACTTATACAGGAAAAACAACATTGTATTGAATAATAAATAGAAAAGTTAAGAACCCCAGCTTTAAGTCAGTAATTTGTAAATACAGTAGAGAAAGAATTTGAAGTAACTCTTAATGCATGTGTTAACTCGCTGCTAAACTTATCAAAAAGTAACCTCAAACTTTGAACTGTGTATATACAGCAACACAAGATTCTTAATCCTCCTGATCTTTCTCAAACATCAGCTGCTGTTCTCACACATGCATTGTTAATAGTTGGTAAAAGCCTTTGTTATAGATCATCAAAGAGCCTCAAACGCACACTCTGCACAAATGAATCAATGGTAAAGTTAGGCGCCGGTCACATGCAGAGCTACAAAGCCAAATTTGCATGTGACTTACTGTAAGATTATCTCAGCAGCTCACAAATCATATTCAAATCAGAACACAAACTGGGATAATGCAAACTATTAGCGTTTTGCATGCGTAATTCAAACTGCTGCTCTTCTTTAATCTTCTTTAAAATCAAATGTAAATGTAAAGGATTATGTTTCAGCAGCTTCCTGTATGAACGTTGTAGGTAAACAGAAGTACCTGTGTGCCAGTAAAAACGACTGTACAATCGACAAGCTGCGGAGGAAAAACTGTCCCTCGTGTCGCCTGAAGAAGTGTTTTGAAGCCGGGATGACCCTGGGAGGTAGGACTGTGAATGCCTTTTTTATGACAAGTGTTCTCTGTGGGAGCTCTCTTTTGCTTTGGCAAGAAGCTCAGACTATATTGAAAGTATACACACTTTTACATTTAAAGCTGAAGCACTAATGTATTACCTGTTGATGCAAGGTACATGCCACCTAGGCTTTGAACAAACAAGACAATGCTCAAAGTAAAACTATTACTGGTTTCTCAAGACCAAGCACGATATTCTTTTGCAGTGCACATCTAGGCTGGGGCTCTTGGCGCATCATCACAATGGGGGATGTTACTGATAATCAAGCCCCTGACTGAGCTGCCATGCAATTTAGACCTCTCCCATTCACTTCTCCTTACTGTCACCTAGACCTGCCCCGTATTAGGCTGTAAAGATTGACATGTAGTGGACTAATTTTAGTCTTGTGTTCAATTTTCGCTCTCTTCCATTTTCTCATTCTGTTAACGGTGAAAATTGTACTGGAAGCACAAAGCTGACACGAGACATGTGAATTAAAGCAGGAGACATGCGGGTAATTTTGCCACCAGTCTCTGACAAACCAATGGCGGGAAGATGTGATCTGATGCTGCGATTGTCGGTAAAAGGCACACCTTTCCAGTTGTGGCCAAAAAGAGCCTTTCTCACTTATGTTCTCATCATAGACGCGTAATTCACCTGCAGCATTTTACAAGGAAATTTATGCCAATTTGCACATGTAAAAGTGGGTCTTAATATGCCGTATTCCTTCATACTTGTAAGAGCTGATATTATTACTGCCTCCATGAGAAAGGCATTAAATTGCTACGTGCAAATAAGTGGGCATTTTGAGTTGCTCACTGGGATCATCTGTTTGAGATTGTGCGACATTAAAACTCAATTTTACGAGAGGAATTTTAATTGCACTCACAAATATATGCTGGTACCCATTTCCTGCAGGAAGCTAAATTTAAAAGGTCCAAATGACCACCTGGCTCCCGCGGTAAGTCTCTCCTAGTTCTACGGGCAGATCGACTGAGTGCAGTATGCAAACGTTATGATTGGAGTGGCAATGGGGCTGCAGATCCTTGACAAACTCAGACTTTAACCCCCGGATCGCGCTTTCCATCATGGCTCCAGAACAAACTGTGCTTCTGAGTGAAATTCTGCACTTTGACACAAATCGACAGTGATACAGAAAGTTAAATATTTTTTTATGTTGCCTGTATGATTGACACGGCGGCTAAACTTGTCTCAAAAGCCGGTGAGGAGCGACTAGTAGGTAATGTGTGCCTCTGTGACATCTCACGTATTTGTTCAACTTTTAACAGAATGAGGGAAATGACCACTATTTGGTGTAACACGGCTCCTGTACCTTATTTCTGCGGCCAAAATTCCCCCCATTTCCAGGTGCAATTGCAGATAGAGCCACGTAATATGTCCTCAGTGCTTTGTACAGGCTCAGATAGACCTCAAAAAGTATTTCGTCTACACTTGCCAAAAGCATGCTTCACTACAGCCTCTCTACCAAGCTGCAGGTGTGACTGCACCCATGGGACATCACAGTTACACTATATCAACCTTATGGGAGGCCAGCGCTTTGCCCTGAAGAAGGTCTGCATTTACTAAAGCATAAACAAGCACCGAGCACTTTTGAAGTGTGTGTCAATCATGCCAAGGATTAAAGTTGGCAGTCCCAAAACTTTGAAACCCGACTCTGAAATAAGATTTGCACTTCATCTTAACCACTTTAATTTTACACATGTATGCACACCTTTATGAAACACGTTCTTCAACAAGGATAGTGTATGTACTACATGATATCAACCCCTCCCCAAACAACTCAAACTCATCAATCATTCCTGTTGGACCGCATACAGGAAAACATAGATTTTCTTATATCAAACATATATAACAGATACTGGATCAAAGTGCACGATTATTTCTGAGTGTACCACAAGTTCACACACTGCCATTTCTCAGTCTGACTCTCTAAATATTACATCAGTCAGTATTAACATTAAGTACCTGGTTTTGACAGGTTAGTCTTATGACCATTTTAAAGTAATTGTAGGGTTTAGAATGGATGGCAAATTAGCTCTGTTCCTTTTGTGTCAATCTGTCAAACACGTCATTTTGTGAAACTGACTTTAAATTGGCGAGCCAATCGTGTAATGACATCTGGAACCTGGACACTGATAGTAAAATGGCTTTTCAAAGCGCACACTTTTCAACAGAGAGGAGCGGGGACTGACTGTGCATTCATAAGCTGGTTTCAGTCTGTCGACGGTATAACCCTAACCCTATGATGTCTTAATAATATTTGGGTTTCATGTAGTGTCAAGTATGTGAGATGACTCAAACTCAAATTCCAATTAGAGTATCGTAGAAAGAAGTGTCGGCCTGCTCACTTTGTTGAGAAGCTAACACTATGATTTTGAATTCTAAATGAATTTGATCGTATATTCATTAAATCTAGAAAGAGATTTAATGAGGACTCATTCATTGTTTGAATTTGAGCAGTGTTTATCCTGGCGACATGTCAGATCCTAAGGTTAGCTCAACCCCACATATTTACCCTGTGTGCTCTGCAAAGATCAAGAGCCTACCGCCTGAGTGAAAGAGGAGAAATCCCCGGTAGGAAAGTTTTAATTAACCATTTGTATCTGAAATATTGGCCCCGAGATCACAACCGACTCCAAATGATACTTTGTACGAATAATCTGCTCTGAATACAGGTGAGAATAAAATGTCTTCACCATATAAAATCAAAGATCAGTTTTAATTATTGAAGAGCTATGTTCTAAATGAAATTATCTCACATATGTACTTGTATGAAAGTCACATTTGATGTAACAGATTTTATTTTTGTCTGTCACTTGCTTCCATCATGGCTGTCAGTTTTAAATTACAGGCCTGGCTTAAGTTAAAATGACAGCATCATCTAAGAAAATCCCTGAAATAAGCTCGAGTCACGAATTTGACAGTGGAAGTGGTGCAGTAACTAAATGTTGTATGTCACGAGTGGAGCGTACAGTAATTACACTGAATTGTTGCGTTGTGGAGGACTGCACTGTCCGTGTGGGGCTTGTAAGTGCTGGTTGTCATGTGGAGCAGCTGCCTCAGGGCTTTCAGCTTTTGTGAAAGGAGATTCAGAGCATTGTTTTTCCCGACCACTGGGGACCGGCTGTTTTGTTTGTCATCTAGTCTTGAGTCTGTAAAGAGAATTAAGACATATTAGATCTATTTGTCCTGTAATTGTTGAGGATCTAATTTTATGATTATATTAACACTATAATGTTGGTGAGCTCCAATCCAAAATCTACAATAAAGCGGAGAAACAAACTACAAGCTGTTTGAGAGGACGGATTTTAGATTTTAAAAATATATAATAGATGTAACATGTAACAATATGAAAATAGATGGTGTTACAATTTAAAGATGCACTATTTAGTCTTCAACGTGCTCTTTTGATGAATGAATAACAGTAGCAGCCATATTGTTTAATTATTATTTAACTGATTATAAATTAAACTACTGCACTGTTACTTCTACTTTGACTTAAGTTCTTTATGATCTTTAAACTCCATTTCAAATACAATAGCCTTGAGAATAAACCTGCAAGATGAAGTCAGTACTTATGACAAGAATATTACACTTAGTGGTATGAGCTGCATGGGGAAGATGCATCCAGGGCCGGCCTCAGGCATTTGTGGGTCATGAGTAATAATGGGGGCTATGGCCCCCGAAGGTCTCATGAAAATGACAAAATTAAGAGTTTAATTTAGAAATCTCTAAGTGTACACCATGGACTCTATGTACAGTGCATCCGGAAAGTATTCATAGCGCTTCACTTTTTCCACATTTTGTTATGTACAGTGCGCACCACACACTGTACGACCAAAGTGGTTGGACCCATGATTTTTTATCTCCATGTAAGAGGTCTCACACAGAGAAAAAAATCGGCCGACAATTTTAAAATCGTCTCGTGTGAACTAGGCTTTACAGCCTTATTCCAAAATTGACACACAACACCCCATAATGACAACATGAAATTTTTTTTTGAGATTCTTCCAAATGTATTAAAAATACAAAAACTAAGAAACTACATGTACAGTACATAAGTATTCACAGCCTTTGCTTAATACTTTGTTGATGCACATTTGGCAGGAATTACAGCCTCAAGTCTTTTTGAATATGATGCCACAAGCTTGGCACACCTGTCGTTGGGCAGTTTTGCCCATTCCTCTTTGCAGCACCTCTCAAGCTCCATAAAGTTGGATGGGGAGTGTCGGTGCACAGCCATTTTCAAATCTCTCCAAAGATGTTCAATTGGATTCATGTCTGGGCTCTGGCTGGGCCACTCAAGGACATTCACAGAGTTGTCCTGATGTCCAGGATGTCTCTGTACATTTCTGCACTTATCTTTCCCTCTATCTTGACTAGTCTCCCAGTTCCTGCCGCTGAAAAACATCCCCACAGCATGATGCTACCACCACCATGCTTCACTGTAGGAATGGTATTGGCTTGGTGATGAGCAGTGCCTGGTTTCCTCCAAATATGACGCCTGGCATTCACGCCAAGGAGTTCAATCTTTGTCTCATCAGAGACACCAGAGAATTTTTTTACTCATGGCCTGAGAGTCCTTCTGGTGCCTTTTGGGAAACTCCAAACTAAGGAGCGGCTTCCGTCTGGCCACTCTACCATACAGGCAGAGATGGTTGTCCTTCTGGAAGGTTCTCCTCTCTCCACAGCGGAACGCTGGATCTCTGACAAAGTGACCATCGGGTTCTTAGTCACCTCCCTGACTATGGCCCTTCTCCCCCAATCGCTCAGTTTAGATGGCTGGCCAGCTCTAGGAAGAGTCCTGATGGTTCCAAACTTCTTCCATTTACGGATGATGGAGGCCACTGTGCTCATTGGGACCTTCAAAGCAGCAGACATTTTTCTGTACCCTCTAGTTTCCATCCACGGAGAAGGAGACGCATGCAAGATCGAATCGATCCTATTTTAGACACATGCTGATCTACGTAGGGCCCGTTTTTTAAATTAGAAATTGGCTCTTAAATAGTGTTTGGAAAACCTGGCTTCTGCCCTGATCAGCAAGATAAGATATACAAGCCTGAAGATGTGATTATTTCCTCTTCTACAAAGAGACAAACGCACAGTCTGAAGTTTGAATGACTTCTGCAGTGATGAACACACCGCTCATGGGAGCAGAGCCGACGCACTTCTACTGACGCAGCGAGTGGAGTCCAGCCCTTATTTATCAGCATTTACAATATTGGGAATGTTTCAATAAAGAAAATTCAAGAAGGTTTGTACCAATTACTTGTAATATAAGAGAGCTATTGTTGTCCCACACTGGGTAAATGTAAGTCATCTAATATATTACATGAAAATGAGATTCAGTGGGACTTTCCTGGGAAATAAAGGTCAATTAAATTAAAAATATAATCTGTTTCAATTTGGATGTAATATTTTGACAATATTTTTCACAACAGTGTTCCTCAAGCTTTTTTAAAATTTTAGAAACAGGTGAATATTAGAATATCGTTATATCGTTTATTTATTTCATTATTTCAAATGTGAAACCAACATAAGATACAGACTCATTACAGGCAAACAGAAGTATGCCATTGTTTGGTATAATGTCAATGATTAGACTTACACTTCTAAAATATTCTAATTTTATCAGAGCCTATTATCAACATTACAGCAAAGGTTTGACATATCACTTTGCCTGTAATGAGTCTGTCAAGTTTCACCTGTATCTAAAGTGAATCAAAAATAGGACAACATTCGGACTAAACCAGTTTTGAAATCGTAAAGTCTCATCGCAGATCTAAGGATGAACCCAAAAGAGGACGGGACTGGGGAAAAAACTGCAAAAAATCGGCTGTGGTATTTAAGAGACAAACTAGATGAAAATGTGGTCTGTCAAGAGTTTCAGTGGCCCTAAACAAACACTTTGTTCGTTTACGCCACGGGCCGGCCCTGGGTGAATGCTTTAAGTGTTTCTCCGGCTTTTGACACAAAGAGCCACATCTGAAGTACTACCAGATCTAAATATTTTATCCTCCAAGTACTACCCTATCGTTACCAAGGCAACCGCAGGACTTTTCCGTGTCAAACCTAGACTAAATGAGGTCTTGGGAATACAGTTTTATAGAGGATTAAGCCAAAAGAAAGTCATCTGTGTTTGCACTTAGCACTTAAATAAAAACAATTCATTCATTGTATAGCGCTTGCTTTCTTACGTATTCACCTTCTTACTAACTTACCTAGTTAGCAAGAAATGGTACAAAAAGAGAAAAAAAGAATATGTCAAATATTTTAACTGTTGAATCACAGTGAGATACACCCTGCTTTAATTCATGTAATACGGTGGCACGGAGAACAGCGGTTAGAGCAAGTGTTTCACAGCAAGAAGAACTTTCTATATGGTGTTTGCATGTTCTCCCCGTGTCTGCATAGGTTACCTCCTGGTTCTCCGGTTTCCGCTACGACTAAAAACATGTACTAAAGGTATGAATGTAATGAGAGAGTGAATGGAGGGTGTTGGTTTGTGGCTTTGATGCGGCATTGAGTTCGGCGTCTCGCTTCCGTCATCACCGTGTGGAGAAATTGGAACGATATCTGAACTCTGAACATTGTAAAGCGCTTTGGATGACCTAAAATGCGCTATATAAATAAATATTACTTACTGACTAATTTGTTAGAAAAGCCACCGAAAGCATATAAGTAAACAAATGAAATCTCTGTTTAGCGCGTAAGCTGAAGAAGATCGGGCAGCAGAAGAGCACTGAGGACGAGGCTTCGGTCCAGGACTCAGACCCGGTCCCCAACATCTCCCCCAAGTCCGACCTCAGCTTCAGCTCTCAGATGGTCTTCGTCAACATCCTGGAGTCTATCGAGCCGGAGGTGGTGAACGCCGGCCACGACTGCGGACAGCCCGACTCGGCCGCCTGCCTCCTGACCAGCCTGAACGAGCTGGGAGAGAGGCAACTGGTCAAAGTGGTCAAGTGGGCCAAAGGGCTGCCAGGTGCGACACTCCTCCACCACATCTAGAACTAACTTTAGAAAACTCTCCCTAACTTTTGATGAGTGCTGAGTTTTTCTTTTGTTTCGATCAAGGGCCTTTTAGAGAAATCACTGACATGTCTTTTGTTTGAAATTGTAATAAATTCTTTGAGAAGTGTCGCAGAGAAGGGAAGAAGTTTTAGTCAAATTTACTTGTGCATGACAACTGAAAACTTTCATCGCAAATGAGCCTGAGTTTATATTTGAGTAAAACTGTGTATTTCTGAACGTCCCAAAACCACAACAGCATTCGTCACACAAGACTTTTAAATATGGTAGAAATAAGTTGCAAATATGGTAGAAGAAATTGTAGTCTTTTGTTCATTTCAGGCTTGGCTGGTAATATTATGAAGTACATTTTCGAAGGCACTCCCCCCTTGGACTGCCACCTTAACGTGGTGGGGGAGTTTGAGCACTCGGATGATCCTGGGAGCTATGCTGTCTGGGGCTTCATGCCCCTGGTAGGGTCTCCCATGGCAGACAGGTCTCAAGTGACGAGTCAGACGAAGCGCAGTCCGAAGCCAACCATGGGCAGCACGACAACAAAAACCGTGACGTCGCCCGGCATGGCGCAGCCGGGGCCCCACCCTGGAGCCAGGCCTGGGGTCGGGGCTCGCAAGCGAGCGCCTGGTGGCCGGGCCTTAGCCCACGGGGCCCGGCCGGGCTCAGCCCGAAGGGATGACGTGGGCAGTCCCTCCTGTGGGCTCACCACCTGCAGAGGGGTCCGTGGTGGCGAGGTGCAGAGAGGACTGGGCAGCAGTCGAAGGCGGAGACCTCGACGACCCAGTCCACACACCCAACATCTGGCTCTTGGGACGTGGAACGTCACCTCACTGGGGGGGAAGGAGCCCGAGCTTGTGGGGGAGGTTGAGCGATACCGACTAGAGATAGTCGGCCTCACCTCCACACACAGCTTGGGCTCTGGAACCCAACTCCTTGAGAGGGGTTGGACGCTCCACTTTTCTGGTGTTTCCCGCGGGGAGAGGCGGCGAGCTGGGGTGGCCATACTCATTGCCCCCCATCTCAGCCGCCACGTGTTGGAGTTCTCCCCGGTGAATGAGAGGGTCGCGTCCCTCCGGCCTTCTTGGAGTCCTTGGGAGGGGTACTGGACAGTGCACCGCCCGGGGACTCCGTTATTCTCCTGGGGGACTTCAACGCCCATGTGGGAAATGCCAGTGACACTTGGAGAGGGGTGATCGGGAAGAGCGGCCCCCCTGATCTGAACCCGAGCGGTGTTCAGTTGTTGGACTTCTGTGCCAGTCACGGCCTGTCCATCACGAACACCATGTTCGAGCACAAGGGTGTCCATCAGTGCACGTGGCACCAGGACACCCTAGGCCGGAGGTCGATGATCGACTTTGTAGTCGTATCATCTGACCTTCGACCGCGTGTCTCGGACACTCGGGTGAAGAGAGGGGCGGAGCTGTCAACCGATCATCACCTGGTCGTGAGTTGGATCCGCTGGCAGGGCAGGAGGCCGGTCAGACCTGGCAGGCCCAAGCGTGTAGTGAGGGTTTGCTGGGAACGTCTCGCTGAGCCCCCTGTCAGACGGACTTTCAACTCACACCTCCGGGAGAGCTTCTCCCAGGTCCCGGCAGAGGAGGGGGACATCGAGTCCGAGTGGACCATGTTCTCTTCCTCTATCGCCAATGCGGCGGCTCGTAGCTGTGATCGCAAGGTCTCTGGTGCTGGTCCCGGCGGCAATCCCCGAACCCGGTGGTGGACACCGGCAGTAAGGGATGCCGTCAGGCTGAAGAAGGAGTCCTATCGAGCAATGATGGTTCGTGGGACTCCTGAGGCAGCTGTCCAGTACCGGCAGGCCAAACGTGCCGCGGCCCGGGCTGTTGCAGAGGCAAAAACCCGGGACTGGGAGGAGTTCGGAGAGTCCATGGAGCATGACTATCGGTCGGCCTCGAAGAGGTTCTGGCAAACCGTCCGGCGCCTCAGGAGGGGGAAGCAGTTCTTTGCCAACACCGTGTATGGTGCGGGTGGAGGGCTGCTGACCTCGACTGGGGATATTGTCGGGCGGTGGAAGGAATACTTCGAGGTTCTCCTCAATCCCCCCGTCACGTCCCCCGTCCAGGAGGCAGAGGCTGAGGATGTTGGGGCGGATACTTCCATCTCCCTGGCCGAGGTCACCAAGGTGGTTGGCAGCCTCCATGGTGGCAAGGCGCCGGGAGTGGATGAGATCCGTCCTGACTATCTAAAGTCTCTGGATGTTGTAGGACTGTCTTGGCTGACACGTCTCTGCAACATCGCGTGGCGATCGGGGGCGGTGCCAATGGAGTGGCAGACCGGGGTGGTGGTCCCTCTCTACAAGAAGGGGGACCGGAGGGTGTGTTCCAATTATCGTGGGATCACACTCCTCAGCCTCCCCGGTAAGGTCTACTCCAAGGTACTGGAGAGGAGGCTTCGTCCGATGGTCGAATCTCGGATTCAGGAGGAGCAGTGTGGTTTTCGTCCCGGTCGCGGAACACTGGACCAGCTCTATACTCTCCATCGGATACTCGAGGGTTCATGGGAGTTCGCCCAACCTGTCCACATGTGCTTTGTGGATTTGGAGAAGGCGTTCGACCGCGTTCCCCGGGGTGTCCTTTGGGGGGTCCTCCGGGAGTACGGGGTCCGGGGTCCTCTGCTGAGGGCTGTTCGGTCCCTGTATGACCGGAGCCAGAGCTGTGTTCGCATTGCTGGCAGTAAGTCAGACCTGTTCCCGGTGCATGTTGGCCTCCGCCAAGGCTGCCCTTTGTCACCGGTTCTGTTCACTGTATTTATGGACAGAATCTCTAGGCGCAGCCAGGGGCCGGAGGGGGTCCGGTTCGGGAACCACAGGATTTCATCTCTACTTTTTGCGGATGATGTCGTCCTGCTGGCTCCAACGAACCAGGACCTGCAACATGCACTGGGACGGTTTGCAGCCGAGTGTGAAGCGGCTGGGATGAGAATCAGCACCTCCAAATCCGAGGCCATGGTGCTTGACCGGAAAAAGGTGCCTTGCCCTCTCCAGGTGGGTGGAGAGGTCCTTCCTCAAGTGGAGGAGTTCAAGTATCTCGGGGTCTTGTTCACGAGTGAGGGGAGGATGGAGCGTGAGATTGACAGGCGGATCGGTGCAGCGTGCGCAGTGATGCGGTCTCTGTATCGGACCGTTGTGGTAAAGAGGGAGCTGAGCCGAAAGGCAAAGCTCTCAATTTACCGGTCAATCTTCGTTCCCTCCCTCACCTATGGTCATGAGCTGTGGGTAATGACCGAAAGAACGAGATCGCGGATACAAGCGGTCGAAATGAGCTTCCTCCGCAGAGTGGCTGGGCGCTCCCTTAGAGATAGGGTGAGGAGCTCGGTCACACGGGAGGAGCTCGGAGTAGAGCCGCTGCTTCTCCACGTCGAGAGGAACCAGTTGAGGTGGCTCGGGCATCTGTTCAGGATGCCTCCTGGACGCCTTCCTGGGGAGGTGTTCCGGGCACGTCCCACCGGGAGGAGGCCCCGGGGAAGACCCAGGACACGCTGGAGAGACTATGTCTCTCAGCTGGCCTGGGAACGCCTAGGGGTCCCCCCGGACGAGCTTGAGGAGGTGTGTGTGGATAGGGAAGTCTGGGCGTCTCTGCTTAGACTGCTGCCCCCGCGACCCGGCAACGGATAAAGCGGAAGAAAATGGATGGATGGATGGACATTTTCGAAGGCATTATTTAGTAATAATTTTACCACACAACACTGTATCTATTAAATTTAATATATGTGTTTTTGGATTATTTTGGGACCTAATTTTTTTTCATGTCATGCAAAACTTACAGAGTAACAATCTCACTATATTATATTTTCATTGGGCACGAGTTCTTACCCCGATCCCATTAACATCAGAATGCTGGTTTCTTTACTTATGCGCTTTGTAAATTATTATTATTGATCCATGGATTCATAGCAATTCAAAACTAAATATAAGAAATTTTGAATGGGATAACGTTTGTCTAATTGAGACAAATGATTCTCTTTTCTTGCTTCATTCAGGCATCAGCTTGGCATAAGTAGCTCACTGTTCACGTACAGTAGAGGATTGTCCACTGTGTGATTGTGCTGTTCATAAATTGTGTGAGCGTGTGGTGTCTCCCCAGCAGAGTGACAGTGTGCGTGTCTTTGTGCAGGCTTTAGAAACCTGCACGTGGACGACCAGATGACGGTGATCCAACAGTCGTGGATGGGCGTCATGGTGTTCGCCCTGAGCTGGAGGTCCTACAAAAACGCCAACGGACGAATGCTTTACTTTGCTCCGGATCTGATTTTCAATGAGTATGTTTCACCAAAATGCTTATTATTCCATTGCACCATGATAAGTGGGGTGACCACGTGGACACTCCTTCTCTACAAGTCCCAGACACGAGTTTTGTCTATCAGTCTCAATGGCTCAAAGAGATGTCTATAATCTCGTAAATATAAAGTAGCACTAGCTGGTGCATGTTCATCCAGTTTCCTCCCTTTTGTTCTTTTGTTACTGGGAGATTAAAATGACGAACAATGGGCTGGAGCTTTCACAGGCGCATAGTCCTGGTGAGAGAAAATGATTCAGGTCTCATATTACTCATGACAGACAACAGCACTGGTGGGATTATTAATATTAATGTGCATAGACACTGAATAGAGGCACATTTGGGGAGTTTTGTGGTTCTGCATTGACAGACAGATATGCATTGGACTACATTATAATCTACTTATACTTATATACCTAAGGGCACGTTCACACTTTTGGCCTAATTCACTTTAACTGGACCAATTCTGGGGCAAGAATTCTTTATTGGATGTAAAACCACAAAACAAGAGAACATGTGTCCACCAGTCCAGTAGTTTATATAGTTTGAAACAGATCTGTGAAGCATTTTACCTCAAGTGAACCAGATTGGTCCAGTTAATGTGAACCAGACCAACCATGTGTGAACACGCCCTAATTTCCCCCTTAAATTAAGAGTGTCATACTGTTTATAGAGATGCTAGAGTCTTTACTATTAAGAATACATGTCTTCATTGACACAACCTTCTCTTTTCATTTAAAAATGACAGAAACAAATTTTCCGCTCCTGTATATTGATTTTGGATTTAATATAATTTATAGCTGTTACATTTGTCATAAATAATGTGTTTGTGTCACAAAAATGGACCCGTGATTATAACCAGTGTGGGCACCATGTCTAGGGCTTCATCTATTCATGCTGCATAGCACATTTGGTTGTAATGGATCCAATTGTGCAGCCGGAGCTGATATTTCATTAAAAGGCAGAAAATCCATCAGAAGCCTGAGAGAATCCATTATGATCCAGACACAAGTCTTGGAGGCTCAAAAACCAGCACCAAAAACTCACTCTACTCACACCCTGCCTTCTTAGCTAGCTACGCCTGTTTTAACGTAATAAATGTGAAGATTCAGGATTGATTGGTTGCTTTTAAGAAAAAATAAAATGTGTACAAGGCCAAAGATGAGGATGTGTAACTGTCACATGACGGCATCATTCCCTGATGTATGTACTTTTGTGTTTTTACAGACTGAGCTCACACTGTTGTTGTGGGGCCAAAGCCCTGGCCTCGCTATAGAGTGACTGTACTACGTGAGACAGCCACAAAATATAATCTCCCAATAGGACAGGATAAAATGTAGTTTTTCAAAGCAAATTGTTACTTGGAAAATGAAAACATAAAACTGCGTTTTTGCAAGAAAACACGACATCGATTTAAATTGTTTACAGTCGATATGACTGACTTTACAATAAGTTAAATCAATGAGAAGATAAACCATGAGTATTTATTTAGATTCTAATCAGATAGTAACAGATAAAGCATTTTAATATTAATTGAAAAAACCCTGTGGTGTAATCATCAAAGACGTTGCAATGTGCCAACATTTACAGTGTTTACTGTTGTGAGAGATCTTATCGCTCACTTATCAGACTCACTGTGCACAAAACCATCTCATTGTGCCTGCTGTCCCATTTTCAGACCTTCAGAAACCGTTTCCTCTGACTGGCCAAGCGCACAAATAACTCTTTTTGACGGGACCTAATTCAGGCCCAGCTTGGGGCAGTTTGGTTTTCTGAGAGGAAGGAGGTGACGACCAGGCTGTGAAGGAACAATAGTTTCTTTATTTGAAATTTTCATGATTTTGTAAACATTTTTATCGAAGAGAACATGAGTTCAGCCCTATAATCTATGAATGAAGAAAACAACCTTTACTTTTAATAGTTTTGGTAAATAGTCTTGTTCACAACGTTCTGGAAGTGAAGGATGACAATAGTACCATGACATCTCAATGTGTCAGAAGCATTGTGGTTTGGCTCTTTAAAACAGTGCAAGTATAAGACAAGACTTTAGATAATCAGCGCTCCTTCAAGCACGACTTCACACATGTGGTTTGTATTTGCATTGGTAAGAATCAGGAGACAGGGGCTACACAACTGCAGTTTGATCTGGAAGGAAGTCATTTTGAGAATAAATGAAATCTCGATCACAGTGCTGCTCCATGGAACATAAAAAGCCACTCATTCACATGTTTCCATCTTACCAAGACAATGTGTGGTTTCTTCTCACCTTTGTACTTTTTGTTGATGAGGAATATACACTCAAAGCTTTTCTCTTATTAATTATGAATGCACAATGATTTGGTATCAATGAGAGAGATTAGCTCTGGTGGCTGTTGTGGTGGTTATTGAAACATCTGTTGACAGAACTCAGCCAGATCGTTTTATAAACGGGGTTGTTAAAAAGATGGAGCGTATCCAACTGTACCACAGCATTTCTAACCCTGTACATTACACTATAATGAGATGAGGCTGACCTGTGCTCTTTCAGATGAGGCTGACCTGTGCTCTTTCCTTCCATTGTAGCATTAAAGACTAAACAAGCGTCCGGATGTGTCTGACCGCCCTCGCCCTTTAGATCTTGTCCTGACCTTTCCTTGTCTCCGCAGACACCGCATGCACATCTCCAGTATGTACGAGCACTGCATCCGCATGAGGCATCTGTCCCAGGAGTTCGTGCTGCTGCAGATCACTCAGGAGGAGTTCTTGTGCATGAAGGCCGTGCTCCTCTTCAGCATCAGTGAGTTCATTTACTCTCTGTGGACTTACAAACTATTAGAATACAGACTTGGACAGGCGTAGAATGTGTTAGCACCGTGCTGACCGTGTGTCCCTTGTGTGCCCAGTTCCTGTGGAGGGTCTGAAGAGTCAGAAATACTTTGATGAGCTGCGTCTCACCTACATCAATGAACTGGACCGAGTCATTAACTATCAAATGTCCAACAACTGTTCACAGAGGTTCTACCAGCTCACGCGGCTCCTCGACTCGCTGCAGATGGTAAGAGTTATTACTTTGCTTCAATGAGCTTCATGTCAGATGGAGACGCTTAAAGCTGCATTACCCGACTTTCTGACTTCAAAAGGAGGAATTTAAACCATCCTCCTTTCCTCTCATCGTTCATTGACATTATGCAAGACTTTATGGATGCAGGAAATGACTTCACTATTGTGTCTAAATCATACAAAATATTTAGACACAAAGTGAGGGCATGGTAAAAGTGTGGCTTCCACAATTAACTCATTTTAGTGAATAAAGCAGAGCACCAGACTATTACAAATACAACTATAGAAGGATTAGGGAGGAGCGAACATTTGTGGGTGGAACCTGCATCTTGAAATGTGAATCAAATGTGCAGTAACATTTAACCATTTAGAATAGAATAAAAGCAATGGTATTACCGTACCTAATTACAACAGTATTCACTTATATAAAATAAATAACATTTATTTTCTGAATTGTGTTATGGACATTTTTCTGACAGTGCATGATTGTTTTTTCTACTCAGAATTTTGTTTAAAGTAAGAACAGATGAGGCTAAGCTTTCTTCGTGGAAAATATGCCAGCAGATTTCAGACACAGCGTGTCTTATTATTATTATCTGTAATGTGGTACAAGAGACCTTTTCCATTCTCTGACGGCTGTGTTTCAGACGGTGAAGAAGCTGCACCAGTTCACCTTTGATCTGTTCGTTCAGGCACAGTCGCTGCCCACAAAGGTCAGCTTCCCTGAGATGATCGGAGAAATCATCTCCGTTCACGTACCAAAGATCTTGGCAGGTTTGGCCAAACCGATCTTATTCCACGAGTAGAGGAGTGCTGCTATCATCTGAAGTCATCTTTCATAAACTTTAATGACGGCTTTGTACTGTTTGCAACATCTTCAATCTAATCGCTCAGAGTGTTGTTTTGCAATTATTCCAGTGCTCTTTTCCATTTGACCATAATTGAGATGGTTTGTTTAAGCTTTTATCTGAAGTGCTGCGAGGCCTCACCTGCTCCCACTGAAGCTGGAGACACACTTTACTGTACAGTCAACCTGCCCACTGTGATCACAGGTTAAAGACATGCCATTTACAACAAATCATCCTTTCAATATTAAGAACAGGCCAGAACTCTTCACAAAGAGACAAGTATAGGTTTGCTGCCTTCAGGTTCTTTATTTAGGCAACATTGAACAACAAAGCATGTATATGTTGTAATGTCCTGTTGCCTGTGAAAATGTTATTGATGTTTCTAAAATCAACACCTCTCTCCTGGTCTCGCCTGACTCAAAGATCTCACACACACTAAACTGTAAATACTCTTCTGTTAGTCGTGGATCTATCCTTATTTTTTAGATTCATCCGTGTTTTATAGTTGCAGCTTATAGTATAAGCTGTCCATACGCTTCTTGAAACATACACACATTTCCCTTTTTTTAAGACAGACACAACACGTGATGAACTGAAGTGGGTGGAGCCTTGTAGCAGCCATACAACTAAAACCTCACATTGTATCTCCTGACTTGGTTTATTTTAGCTATATGCATTTGTAATTGTCTTGTACTAAGCCATGTTTAATTGTAATCAGGATTTAAAATACGGCTTTGAGATCAAGTGCTTCATCTTCTACACGATGGCCTTCGTAGTTCTCCCTGTTTGACTGAGCCAGAGATATGCTTTCTTATCAGAGTGAAGAATTACTGTAGTTTTTTTTTAACGCAAATTAAGTATAACATTATAGTTGTAGGCATTTATCTCACAAGTTATGGAACTACTCTATGATTTCAGGCTGTCCACAATGCATCACAATCATTATTTTTAGAAGCCACTCCAGATAATAGGTCAAGGGATCTCATGTTCACTGCAAAAACTGATACAATGAGGTAAAATAAAAAAGGTTTGAGTACATTTTGACAAGATACATGAAAATTCAAGAAATGTCTTCCTTGGAATGAGAGATAATTTGCAACAGCACTTGAAACATGACAAAGGTTATGTTTTATTGGCAAATCTTGTTTTAAGACAGTCTAAATGTACCTAGATTAAGATAAAACACTTGATTTAAGAATGTATTACCTTAAACTTTATCATTTTTTGCAGTGTTAAGCTTGGCCACTATGATTTTGGTGCTTGTTCGATCTCTCTCTACAAAACACAAGGCAACTCGATTAAACACATATATATTTGTACATTATTACTGTGATTTTTTTGATGAATTTTGTATTGATGTAACATTTTCAGACCAGGAAGGAATGTTTTCTTGCTGTGGTGCCTTCAAATTGAGTTTGTCTTTGTTTTTGCACTAAATCTCGCAGTGGCTAGACTTGAGAAAGTTTAAGCTTTAGGCACTACTTCTTTTAACAAAGCTTGAATTGATATCAGGGCCATACGAGTCACTGCGTCATTAGTCCAAACAGTGTTAATATAGTCACGGGTTTGGGAGGGTGTTTTTTGGATGCCAGGGGACTCAGATGAGGGCAGTGCCAACGGGACGTGTCCTGCCAACTCCACACTGGACCAACTTCAGTGTAACTCGTCTTGAATGACCCAGCCAAAACTGAAGCAATCTGAGGAATTCTTTCACAGAACAAAAATGGACAAAACAATTGGGTTTCATTTTGAAGTTTGAATATATTATTTACCACAATTAACAAAAAGGGAACTTGAGACATGCGTGTTCAAACTTGCGCGAGATTGTCTTTTGTACATTATCAAACAAAACAAAAAACAGAAAAACTAAAAAAAATCTGCAGCTTTTTTTTAGCTTTGATATTTCCTATCTCCTTGTAACAAAGCCAAGCTTGTAGTTGCATGCGTTGTGCTCGTTTTAACTGTGTGTGCTTACAACTCTGCATGGAGACAATTCTTTTCCACTTTTATAGAAGACAGGATAAACATTCACCTTAAACGATGTCTGAGATAAATGGTTTGAGGGAGCACATTGGTTCTCAAACTGTTGTCCGCGTACATTTAATACTTTTTGTACGAAATGTAATTGCGGTGCAGCATCACGTACGACAATTTACACACACACACACACACACACACACACAGGGTTAATGTGTCCTCCCCTAGACCTGTGTTTGAGAACCACTGATTCAACTCAACAATAACAATAACAGTCAATAAAACCGATGCAATGTTTAATGTGAAATCTAATGTACAAAAAAATGCAATCCTCTTTTTTGCATTCCCCAATTGCACTAGAACTAGCTGCTCTACTTTGAAATGAAAGCTTTTTGATGCTGTTGTATCTTTATGCATTGCACTGGGAGAACACGGCCGTGATCGAGAGGCCGTCTTCTTCCCATCTTTTTGCTACCGTAAAGCTGTATATATGGATCAGTGTCTATATTGGTGTCCAAACTTGACATTTCTTGCTATGATTTATATTTTGTGACTTCTGACTTTTACAATGTTTTTTCCCCTGAAACAAGTGTTATAGCATCATCTTTGAAACACAATAAAAAAATAAACTTCTTACGCAAATGTTTGTCATATTCAATACTTGATTTTTTTTTAGATGCATTAAGAGACAAAGGCTTTCTTGTGAATTCATAATAGTAAGTCGTAAACTGCTCATAAACTTAATTAATGGACAAACTATGAAAACAATGTTAATTTGTGTGTTTTTGGAAGATTTCTCAATATTGATGTGGCATTGGGAACACAAATTCCATTGTTCCTCCTGTGCAGTCCCCCTTCAGTCTTGTGCTCTGTTGCATGTTAATTCACCAAAGAGCAAGGTCATATGAATCGGCCCCAAATCTGGAGGGAAATTCCGCTGTTTAATATGGACCAGTGCTGATCCTGATGGCACCACTTATAAAATAAAAAAACACCACAAGTTAAAAGAAACCAGTGTTTAATAATGATTTGGATATTTCCAAAATTAGGAATGGCTTGATTTTAGCATCAAAGTGGCTTTTGGCGTATATAATGTGCATGAATATAGACAACTAGTGTCTGTGGAATAAAAGAGTAAGTGTAATAATATTCTTATTAAAGTTGGGGTACCTTACTTTTCAAGCACTATGGACAACTATGGAACGAGGTCACACTGAATACAGTTTGGTTTTATCAGTAGTTGTTCACATGTATGAAATTCTTGGCCTCTGTCATATCTTTAGATCAGATTTTTTCAGACAGAAAAGTAAAAAAAAAGCCCACCATCTCTCGGCCAAATGGCTCTCAGCCCAAAGTGTCAAAGTGACTCTCAGTTCTTTCTTACAAGTATGAAAAAGATAAAAGGCTTCCTAATAAGAGGAAAGAGACGAACCACACTGATTATTTTATGGGAAAATTCTTAAGAAATTCATAAATGTAAAAAAATCTAAATGTTGTATCATACTACATCACCATGACTAGGTTAAAGGGACTCACTTTGGAACTTTATGACGTAAGATCTACTGAGCAAAAAAGAGAGAGCCCAGTATTTTTAGGTAGCCACTGTTGGACAAATGGGAGCGGTGACTGTAATTGAGAGCACTGAGGAAAGTGGATGTAGACTGCCATTTCCAGAAACCAGCTGTAATAATTTGGTCTGGAAAAATGTTGTGTTATGACGTTTCCAAGACAACAAAGAAACGGTTTATGTTGTCACCACAGAAGCCGCGTTTACAGCAGTGATGGATCCAAAATATTCTTTCCTGCATTCATGACTCAGTGTCTCATGGCAGAGATGTATGAGCACAAACCGAACAAAGAAATATAATCGATATCAACCACATTCAATGATTTATTTTGGACATTCACACATTCACAAAGTACAGTATAGAGACAGTAGTAACACTGTAAAACGCTGGAGTGCTGTTTTAAACAAAAAGCAAATCTTCAGTTGCATATTTGAGCTTCTTTTAAGGCGTTTCAGGTAAAGAGGTCTACCACAAATATGTCAACCACGGGCACAGTCTCACGAGTGCAGCAACACAGAGTGTATAAGGTGACCTGGAATGATGAATGTGATAAAACTCCCAACCACAGCGATACCTGCCAAACTGATTAAGTGCAAGGCTTTCACTAAAACTAAAATACTGCTCAAATACTGGATTTAAAAGGATTCTGGGATTTCCCCCCAATCATTTAGCGTCTCAGTGTTTAGAAAATAATCTTGAATGGAAAGAGTAAGAGCTATATGGGCAATTAGAGTATCAAGATTTTGAATTGGTTTAAAATTACTAAAATAATTGAGTATAATAATAAAATACTGAAGTGGACAATAACACGTCATTTAATATGAGTGTGTTTTTCAGCACATTATATTAAAATAACCAGTCCTCTTCCCTGAACCATTGATCAGGTCTGACGACGGAGGCACTTGTGCTGCATTTGCTCCTTTGATACATCCCCACGAAGAGTTCTGGGAAAACATCAAAATAACTTATTAGCATAAAGTGCAAACACCAAACGTTTTTTGTCCTTTTTGATCCCAATCTCACCTCGTTCAAGAGCTGAATCGTGTCTTAGCTGTAAAACAAAAACAATATAAGCCATAGGTTCATGTATTAAGGCCGGGCTGGTGGATTATGCAACAATAAAGAAGAGACATATACTGTACCTTCCACCTTGTTTGGAGGCATCCTCAAAAAACTTTGCTTTGGACGCAACACTGAAACAAGAGAGCGCTTCGCATTAATAAAAACAAATAGCACATTTATAGGACTGAAAATAACTATTGTTTTGATAAACTACTCATTGAGCGATCATTCCTTTGATTATCATTCACGTCGCTGTTGTGATTTTGAGCTAAATTTGACGCCGAAAAGATTAAGTGAATCTCCTGCAGGACGTTCTAATTGATCATATTTCCAGAATTGAGACATTTATGCATAACTCGTTTTTCTTGTTGTTGCAATTAATTAAAGTCTTAACGTCATTTCTCACAGCACAGTGTTGGAGTCTGTCAATAGAGCAGTTTTATTTGTGTCCTTATGTCCATGAACATTTGAAAAAACGTTTTAAAAATTGATTTAAAAAAAGGAAACAACTAAATTGGGTAAATTACCAGTAGGTCCATCTGTAATTCCTCTACTAAATTCATACTCTGGAGACTTAGCTGCACTTGAGTTTTATTATCTTATTTATGTTATTTTGAACCATATTTGCATTAGAAACTGTGATGTCAAACTGCAAATGCTTTTACGTTGCGCAGGAACTCACGGAGAGAACTGAGACGAATAATGAATAAATACCAGAAGCTAAGAGTGTCAAATGTTTAAATCTGACTAAACATCGCACAGAACTGCTGCACCAGTGGGACTCTCAAGTCTCACTTTGACATAAAACAGATCTTCGGAAGTAGTAGAGCTATTAGTTACACTTTCACCTTTCTCCATAGACCAGACTGGGTGCTTTGACTCTACTCTTGATCACAAGAAGTCCATTACCTTTAGGGGAAAAACATGTTTTGGGGATAAAAAAAAGATAATCAACCCATTATCACCTGTATTAAGTGTCATAATTGGTCCACAGATGGCAGCTCTTTTGACCATATTACTTCTAAAGCACCAGCGGACCAGTGAAAATGGATCGTAATGGCCTGTTTTATGATAAATGCAGTACTATTGCCCTGCTATAATTGCTCTCGTGACGGTTTGCTCGGTGTCTGGTTGTGTCCACTCTCATTACACAGTGGTTTTTGTAAGTACAGTAAACCAAGCTGCGTAGGAATTTGCTGGAGCTTATTTAAATGACTATCTTTACAATGAGGAGATGGAGAAATTTCGTTTCACTTCTCAAACCTGTGTCATTTGCATCTGACTGAGAGATGTGCCAAAGGGGCTTTTGTGGGACTTGAAAAGGACTTACTAGGACGTGGCTGTAGGCTCGGCGTGGACCGGGATTGGACTCTTTTGTGGAGCGGGAAATCGGCTCGGGGGCTCTGGAGGGCGCACCGGGGGTCTACAAATGGCAGGCTTTTCTGTTGATCGAATCCCCTCTGCAAAACAAAAGCAGAAAGATGAAGCAGGGCTGGTTTGGTAGTTGTATTGTCAATGTGAAAGTAAATGTACATATTTTAGATCACAATTGTTATTATTGTGAAAATGCCTCTAAACAATATCTCTACATGTTGGAAAGGCAGCATGCAGCGGATTCTAACTTCTTTGTTTCATAAATAATACATGATTTTGTAAAAACCTTATTATTTCTTTATCTTTTTATACATTTTGCAAACTTTTCACAGACCTCTTGCTTTATGTTTTGGGTTGAGAGCTGATTCGCTGACCTCACTCAGCTCTCAACCCAAGATACATGCATGTGGGACTAGTGACAGATACAAACTGCATATTGTGATGTCACATGAACACAACCTATCACTAAAACAATCTCATGCAGCCTCATCAGCAAAGAATATAGGACCAATAGAGGTGATATTTCTTTGTAACCGGGATTGCATCAACATCCAAACCCCTTTAGCATTCTTAATATGAATAGCTTTGCAAAGGCTTCCAGATGTAATGAGATCAGAGAAGGCCATACCTTTAATAGATCGTCTGTTTTGAAAAGATGGCGTCCGGTTTACTGTGACGGGCGAGTCTCCATTTGGGAAGCGGGAGGAGTCAGAAGAGTCGAAGGAGCGGTCCTGGCGGTTTGGAGGCACAGGTTTGGACATCAGAGGGATCCGTGGAGGAGGCTCTCTGGGAGGGAGAGGTTTGGTCCGCTGTGGGGGAGTGGGACTTAGGACAGAGCCATGCTTCTGACCATCTGCCACAGAGCAACAACACTGTTAATGTGAAGGGACTAGCCAAGGAGGGGGGAAATGAAAGAAAAAATATGGCTAAATTGGGCTGCATTCAAATAAGGGTTGAACAGAAACTCAAGATTTACGTACAGATTACTTGCTGGTCTGAATCACTTGGGGAAAAATGCTTCATTAGATCTGTTTCAAAAGATGTAACTGACTAGTGGACACATTATAACCTGTTTGGGGCTTTAATTGTGGATGTAAAACCACCAAAGTGAAACTAGAATTGATCCAGTTAAAGTGAACCAGACCAACAAGTACCCAAATCAGAGGTTTCATGCCATTTCAGAAATATATTTTTTTACTATTAAAGACCAACAATGGAGCGAGGTCATGCTACTGACACTGACATAACAAAATGCTCAAATGAGAACAAATGAACAAAACAGGTTTATTTTTTGACTTGATGGTTTAAAAGCATCCGAAGAGACAATCAGTGAAAGTACAGATAAAAGATAATGACGACATGAATGATGGAGACACAGACTAACATTTTTGGCAACGATTAAAAGTTAAAGGGAAATGTTAGCCATCACTCTGGATAATGATAATGTGATAAGGTGGTGGTGGCAGTGCGACTACAGAGGAGGATAATTACTCTCTGAATGAACGTGCTCGGGACTCAGGGCTGTGTAGACGCGCGCCGGACGCTTGGAGATGGTGATTGGCTGCCGAGTCCGAGGAGTGATGCGAGGGGGAGGTACGGGCCGAGCACTGCTGTCCTCCGGGGCAGAGGAGAAGATCTGCACAGCAATAATTACAAAGTTAAGATAAGATAAACCTTTATTTATCACTCAATGAGTAAATGTCTTAGTTGCACCCTAACCCAGAGCAGAATAAAAGGAGAAACATGCAGGCCATGCACAGGTTATGATCTATTGTTTAAGACAAAAATAAAGTAAACTCTGGAGTAGGGCTGCACGATATTGGAAATTAGTGTGATATTGGAGATGAGTGTTTAGTATTGCGATAACGATATTATTGCAATATTTTTGTCTTTCATCTAAAATTGCAATCTGCATTGAAACGCAAGAAACAATTAACAAAAAAAGCACAACATTAATGACATTCAAATGCATATACAGTACAGACCAAAAGTTTGGACACACTTTCTCCTTCAATGAGTTTCTTTTCATGACTATTGACTGTAGATTCACACCAGGCTGTGTAAGGGCTGTTTGACCAAGAAGGAGAGTGATGGCTGCTGGGCCAGATGACCCGGCCTCCACAGTCACCGAACCTGAACCCAATCCAGATGGTTTTGGGGTGATGGTTTATCGCAGATATTTTTGATATGGATATATCGCACGCACCAATATTGCGATAACAATATTTTTTCGATATATCGTGCAGCCCTACTCTGGAGCCCTTTCAATTTAAGATCGTCCCACAGTGGGGAAATGTTGGTGTTGTAGTGTACGTACAGGACAGTAGCTTTTTCTTACAGACGGTGGCCTTTTCTTACGTGTTATTATAGATTTGACTCTTTCCCATCTCGTAGAGAGAGTTTCAGGGCTCAACCTTTTTTCTGTTTCACATTAAATTCCTGAACATTGTAACTAATTGATTATAATCATATAAAAAGTGAATGGCAATCTCTGCCATATAATTTTAGACCGTAACAGGACACAGAGAAAATCTGATTTGAAATTTAACTGAAACTGAAAACCAAAATAACAGTATGCTCATTCCACCTGGGAGTCACATCAGGCCCTCCAAACAAGCTGCTCCAATGTTCCAAAACTTAATTGTATTTGCTCTTCGTGGTTTAAGTCCGGCTGAGTCTACAACTTGGTAGTAGTTCAGTCCAAGGTTAGTACTGGGAACTGCACAACATTTTACAGATGACCATTGAAATAATCATTGAATTCACAATCTGTTATGAGGCTAGGTTGTGCAAGCTATTAGATTTTTACCATCTGAAAAACAAATTATATAGTGTCTGAAGCAGACTTGGAGATTCTTATCCACGCGTTAGTCTCCAGTAGGTTAGACTCTCCAAACAAGCTGTAAATCAGCAGCGGTTAATTCCAAATGCTGCAGCTCGAGTGCGAAGCGGCTTTTCAGAATTTTGAACATTCTTGAAAATGTGAGACAGGCTTAAACCTGTCTTGCCTATGCAGAAGCCTATGGACACTTGCAGGAATCCTTGTATTTCCAAGTATGTTTTAGAGTTCTAAAACACACACTAGAGAGTTATATAGAAGAAGACAATTTGCTGTTTGTAAAAGGAAAATATATAATCTGAGATTTGCTAATTAATGCAACTACAAATGAACTGAATTATAATTTGTTCTTTTTATATTTGGTGTGTCCTAAAAAGTGTCAGTGTGTTACAAACACGTACCCTTTTGTGTTCTTCGATGAGGATCTCCACCACAATGTTCTGGAACTTTATATTGAGCATGGCGGCGACAGTCTCCTCCTGCGCCCTCATCAGCGTGGGACCAAAAATCACCGCCATATTGGAGGAAGTCATCCGGTTATCGTTACTGTGGCTGCACACGCTGCCAACAAATGAAACCAGGTGAGCCAAACGTAAATACAATCCTTACAACGGTGAAAGCATTAAGAAAAGCAAGCGAGAGTACAATCCAATAATACCTGGTCCAAAAATGTGACAATTAAGAAAGGTGTTGGCAGCACTTACTTGACCAAATGTTTAATCAGAATCTCCAGCATTTCTCGATTTTTCTCTGGCAGTTTGTAGACAAGAGTATGGATTTCACTGAGCCGAAAGTCTAAATTGTCAGACTCTGGGAGGAAAAGTAGAAACAAAAGCAAGCATAAAGAGGACAGTCAAAGATGGGACCATTAACATTGCAGATGGCCTTAAGGTGGAAATAAAAATCTCTCTAACTCAAAACAGGTGGCAACTGAACATTTCCTCTGATTAGTAAAGACACCTGGCATCTGGATTGTTGTAAAAAATAAATAAAAAAAAGGATATTTGAGCTTGTTTCCAGGGATATATTAATAAAACATAAGCTGATGAAATGGAAAGATGAAAAGAATAATTTAATTGTTTTTTGGTCAAATCACAAAATAACAAGAGGAAAGTACAAGAATCAACATTCCTTAAACTACTGCAACATACAAGGCTGAACCGTGAAAACCCACACACACACACACACACACAAACCCATACACACACACAAACCCACACACACGCACAGAGACGCGCACAGACACACGCAACACAAACCACAGATTGTTTTTAGTCATTTCAGTTCAGCGTTAACTCAAAAACGCAAAAAAACTTCCAACCATTTTATTATTACTAGAACAACTAACTTTTTGATCAGACCCTGCAGTTATTTGTTGAAACAAATATTACTTTTAATAAAGGTCGTCATTTTCTGCAATTCAATAACTGCTTTCCCTCAGCAGGTCTCAGATAATACCGCAGTATTAGAATGTGTTTGACTAACCACAATTCACGGATAATTGAAACCTTACTGCCGTGTGATGCCTCAATGATAAAATATATAAAAACAACACCAAATCCAATCAAACTTTAAAGGGAACCATTTGAACTGCACTTTGAGACCTCAATACACTCTCAATGATGCTATTCCTTTGCCCAGAATCTTCTACTGTGGCATTTAATCTCCGTATATGACAAATATGTGAACTGCCAAGTGACTGGTCAGAACTTTGGACCACACACACAATGTAAGATACATGCCCAGTATCCATGTTGGAATGAAGAACCTGTAATCGACTGTAATTGAATGAAAAATGACATACCACACAGTTAAACGTTGGATTTAGTGCTTGAAATTATAGCGTACAATATGAGGAGTTGACAGATTTGTTTGTAAGTGCGTGAGTGACAGTTGTTGTGGATGAACTGCTGTCTAGAAAGCTTTTTATAACATGACGCAGGAAAGAGCTTGAGGAGGTCATAAAATGAACACCACAATCTCCTGCAGCTGGACTACATCTGAAAATCCTCTTCACAACATTTGCAGGAAATTTAAGTCAGTGATTGTTTAGACTTTTCTCGGGCATCCTGAAAGAATAAGGTTAATGCTATTAAAAGTGTTGTATTTTACAGTAATGTAGGCTATAAAAGAAAAAGGGGAGTCACATTTCCTATTGCTTTTAGACTGATGAAGTGCTGAACCTGCACTATCGTCTCCTCCGTGCTGCCAACCCGATTTACGAGATGAGGAATAAAGTCTATTCATCAGTTTGAGCAAGAATACCTATTGACAGGCGGTGATGTGGGGAAACTTACTTGCAGCAGACATGAGATTTTGGTGAAGACTGTAGGTCATCAGGGGTTCAGACAAACTCCTAGGCAGAAACACAGATGCTTGTAAAGAGGAGTGCCCACAAGGAGAGGTTAGGTTACCACTTCACGTCATACACTGGGAGATAAGGCAGCGGCGTCGGTCACATGCTACAAAAGCACTTTGAAGAAACCACTGTGGTCATTCATTAGGACAGTGTTCCTTTTTGAGCAGCGACACACCTTTTTCATTGAAAACAATCACATGTTACAGCAACAGCTGAAACTGATACAACCATGAAACTCTGCAGCCTCTATGGACAATGCAAAGTTATCATCAAAGAAGTGCTTTATATTGGATTCAAATGAGAGCAAAAAAGTATTTCTAATCTTTTCTAAGGCTTTGAAAGTTTTTAAAATTGGAAAGAAGCCATTACTTAAAGACATGTTTTTCCACCACTCGACCAAGAGGGTCTGTCACTCCAAAGCAGCGTTTCCCAACCGGGGGTCAGCGAGTGATTTTCAAACTTTATTCATAAGAAGTAGCTATGCTACTATGGGATGTCATTTATCATTGTAAAGCGAGGGGAAGAAAGAAAGTTAAGAGGATAGAAAGGATATTTCGTTTTGTTTCAATCCAAGCGCGTAAAATAAGTTGAATGAAAAGTAAAATGTGCTCAAAATACCGGTACCTACATAACGAATGTACAAAATCAAGATTAAAATAATCAGACACAACAGATGAGATTATACAAGATCATATTATATGCAAATTTTCCAGAAAAAGCTTGATATAGCAGTAAATCGTCATCGTACTAGAAAACATGTTATCTTTTGAATACTCGTAAGAGAATCGATGGGTCACGATTTGACCCTTTAGGCTGAGTGAGAGTGGTCCTCTTTTCTGATCACATTTGTGTCTGAAAAAGCAAATCGACTCTGAATCGACTGAGCTGGGCCCAAACACACATCTGTGTGCAAAACAAAACAAAAACTGAGAGGAGCTAGATTCAGTACTGATTGTATAGTTCCCATTTTAATGAAAGTAAAACACCTTTATTCAATTCTGTAGCAGAGGCCACACCCACCTCAGATAAAACTTTAATGCACTTGTGATAGTCTTCTCATCCCAGTCTGGGTTCTGCAAGTCCACGTCTCCCGGGTTCATTCTATCTACAGAACCAAAACAAAAGAATGTGGTAAATACTACTTTTATATTTTCTGGTGGTGGAAAGTGTTGTCTGTCAACTAATTTGGATGTCAATACTTGTCCTGTTATTTAATTGAACATGTTTAATGTGGACACACTGAGTCAGCTTTGTGCACTCGCCTTTGTATCAGGTCAGATAATCAGACAGCAGCCACTCACTGCAGAGAAAAGTGGACATGGGCTGTGTGCCTTACCGAAAAAGGAATTTAAAAGCTTCTGCACTTGGATATTGCTGCCAACGGTTCGGTAAACTCCTTCTTGTGTGACCGCTGTGGAGAGACAGAAGAGGAGGTGGTTTGGAGGGAGACTTCATACACTGGACAAACAGATGTGGTTTGCAGATTATGAAACTGCTTCAAAACGTGCCACGGCCAGACAAACGGAATATCAAAAAAATATGATTCAACTATAAATGGTTGCGGGTAAATCCCAATGAAAAATCAAGAGTTTATAGTAAGGTCAATGTCAACTGAATTTAGATTTAGATTTTACATATTGCCATGTCCACAACAACACCAGCCTATGTTGGCAGAGCTGAAGTTGACTGGATGACACTGTGAACTTAAAGTGTTTATGATCTCAAAGACTACTTTGTGTTAGGGGCAGTGGGACACATAAAATGACATGTGTCCCAATGACAATTATATATATTGATCACATATTAGATCACAATCTATGCTGTGGCGGCAGATTCAACATAAGTTTAATCTATTTTAGTGCAATAATAATAATAATAATAATATAAATGTTATTGGCTCATGGGCTAATCCCTACGGCTATTACCAAGATATGCAGATGGTATCCAGAATAATAATAATCCATGTCAATTCTTCAAAATAGAAAATCTGCTATAGCATCAGAACTCTCCAGGTTGTACAGTAACAAAGTAGTTCAAAGCTCTTCAGCACAGAGCAGAGTGCAGCTGTGACTCAACTACGCCCCCTAAAGAAATATGTTCACGTTTACACCAACACAAGCACTGACCTTTAGATTCTATGTAGTTGATGCATCTTCGCACAAACTTGAATCCAATTTCATTAAGTTCCACTACAAAGGACAACACACACATTATTAAACACATGTTAGTATCACACAAAGATAAATGTACTCAAATAGACAACTTTTGCCTCTTACTTTCTGCTTGTTTTTGAATTGGGGAATGGTAGATCTGAAATGAAAAATGGAAAAATTGAACTGAAAACAGCTGGAAAGGCACGGCACTGTCTTTTGACTGATGTGAATAATGGACATGAAATGAATAGCATCTTATATGAAAAAAAAGAAAATCTCCATCTTTCAAGATGGCACCAGGAAACACGGTTTAAAATGTCATCTGGAAAAATCATTTTCAGAAACGCAATGTAAAAACTACCTAACTGTTACTGACAGGTTCTAAATGGAAATGGCATATGCACAATGCTAAGATGATACAAGACTTTTATTATATTAGGTACATTTACAGAGAATGTTAAAAACCGGTCTGACCACTTTAGGTCCTGTCTCCATGTCCCACTGAGAAGCTGGAGTCCTGTGACACTTAAAGGCCTCTCATAACTTTGCTTTAGTACTCAAAATTACGCAAAGTTGAGAATTTAATGTTCACACATGCTCCACTGCAGCAGTACAGGTCTTTTCATTTCCGGACTTTCACATTGTACAAACTAATAAAACTTGCTGAAAAGTTTGCAAAGATCCTGGCACTTAGTGTCATTGAGGAAGTAATGCAGGAAGTGGTTGTAGAAAAGTATGACTAGTGCAGCTTTCACATCCTCTGGTCAAAGCCTCATCCACACGGCCACAACTGAGCACGCCACATTCACCACTGAGAAACTGTTTGTTCTTCAGTTAAAACACATTCAGTGGAGAGCTCAAGTATCACAGAGCAAAGCCTTGGTGAAGGAGATTGTGTCACAACGCCTGTACAGAGCATGGTTTTAATGTCATATTAAACAAAACTACAACTTTAGAACATTGACATGTTCTCCCTATGGGACATTTAACATTAAACACATCTTTAGGATTAACAAATTTGACTTGACTAAAAATGCCAGATTTGAGCAAAATGTAGATCGAAACTGAAAATCAATATAACAGTATACCCATTCACATTTCTTTTCCTCTTAAGATAGTAAATAATAATTGTACGTTTACATTAAACATTTAACATTTTCTTGTCTTACTAAGAAATGGCTTCTGAAAGAACAAGTTTGCACAAATAACTTGTATAAAATAATAAAATGTTTAACTTTGTAGTGAGTGAGTGAGTGAATGTGGTTAATATGAGATCCTCTTACAGAGACTAGAGGACTGGGTTGGCGTCGCTGGCACCGCCCTAAGTTGGTTTAGGTCTTACCTTGAAGACAGGAAGTACTTTGTGGAGATTGGAAACTGTGTCTCAGATCATATGGCCCTGACCTGTGGAGTACCACAGGGGTCGATCCTGGGACCTCTTCTGTTCAATCTCTACATGCTGCCTTTAGTTTCTGTTAATACGCAGAAACGAAGTGTCCTATCACAACTATGCAGACGACACTCAGATCTATGTCTCACTGACTGCAGGAGAACATGGACCAGTGGACTCACTCCTTCACTGTATCCAAAAGATCAGTGAGTGGATGCAAAACAACTTCCTTCAGCTTAACGCAGACAAAACTGAAAAGATTGTCTTTGGTCCCCAGAAACAAAGAGAGAGCGTCATCTGTCACCTACAGTCTCTCTCCCTAAAACCCTCAAACAAGGTCAGAAATCTAGGGGTAATACTGGACTCAGACTTAAATTTTAATAGCCACATCAAATCAGTAACATCAGCAGCTTTTTACCATCTAAAAAACATTGCCAGGATCAAAAACATAGTGTCTAAAGCAGACCTGGAGATTCTTATCCATGCATTTGTCTCCAGTAGGTTAGACTACTGCAATGGCCTGCTCACAGGTCTGTCCAAACAGGCTGTAAAACAGCTGCAGTACATTCAAAATGCAGCAGCTCGAGTCCTGACTAGAACCAGGAAGTACGACCACATTAGTCCAGTTCTCAGGTCTCTGCACTGGCTTCCTGTGGCTCAGAGAATAGACTTTAAAACAGCTCTGCTTGTGTACAAGTCTCTCCATGGCCTCGCACCAAAATATATTAGTGACATGTTAGTCCCATATGAACCAGCCCGGACTCTGAGGAGCACAGGGACTGGACTCCTGTTAGTGCCCAGAGTCAGGACTAAACATGGGGAGGCTGCTTTTCAGATTCATGCTGCTAAAATCTGGAATAATCTCCCTGAAGATGTGAGACAGGCCTCCTCTCTGACACTGTTTATAGCAGGGTTAAAAACAGCACTTTGAGTTGCCTTGTGTATGAATTGTGCTATACAAATAAACTTGCCTTGCCAATATTTAAGTAGAAGTTGGGTAACTGCATTTTGATTGGTACTGAATTAAATTTTTTGTAAATAATGTTAAATAAAGTCTGTAAGGGTAATACGCGGTCTCTATCAGTTTAAATTTATAAAAAAATCAGCCTGCCCAGGGACTACAGGTGGAAATTAGCATCTTTGCTATAACCTGGTACAATGTTTCATTTGTGTGAATGTTTAATGGGACACGGTCCATCAACTTTAAGTTAAAAAAGGAGATATGCATTTTCAGGGTTATAGCACAAGTGAACATTTCCACCTGTCAAATATCAACATGCCCAATTTTGGGTTATATGTATTTGATCGAATATATATTTACTAAGTTTTTGTGAAATTATCTTTTCATGTGGGCTTCACATGTAAGAAGTGTGATTGTTGTCTTCAACTCTTACTAATGTACGAGTTTACTCACAGGTTCTTTTCCATCCATGGCCTCCATCCACAGCTTCCTCTCCGCCTCTGAGGGAGCTTGGAACGTGACAGGAGCACTTCTACGGGAACAGGCGTAACACATTAGACATGCACAGATTACAAACATAAATAAACTAAAACTAAAGAATGAACTGGAACAAAATGAACTGGATTAAACATGTTGCCGGTGTCAAAACCGACTTCAGCTGAATCCAATTCTATTCTACTGCAAGTGTCTGATGGTTCAAATCATGCAAATTCAAAGCAATGTAAAAACAAGTTTTACAAGCTTATAATTTAAGCACATATGGCATTTGAGACTAAGCGAGTGAGCAAAGGAAAACATTATCACTTTCGTCATTAAAAAATGAATATCAACTCCTGGTTTTAAAAACGAGACAATTGTGATTCAAGTTATGAACAGCTTGAAAAATGTTTGACATTACCAAGTTGGGTTCAACATTCAACTAATCTCTTATTATTTGGCTGGGTTCACAACAAGCAGCAAATTAGTAGCTCATTCAGAGACATTTTCAAGCACTTAATGCATAATTTGGGCACCTCTGAAAGCTTTAAAAGACCCCATCAACATTCAAGCATTTTCAAAGACTTCAAGAAACTGCCCCTAAATATGATATGGCTGCCTGTGGCTGCGGTGTCTCTGGGGAGGGAAAAAGCACTTTGTACCAAACAACATACTTATAAAACATGAAGTTATTGTGATCATTGTTCTGAATTTAGAAATTAGCCATCTGTTACTAGCTCTTTGGTGGTGCGCAGGGAATGTTTGGGCTGCAGTCCATTTCGCCCTCACAGTATGTCCTTGGAAGCCACCTGCTCACCTCGCCGTTACAGACGCTTATCCTACAAGGTCTGAAGGACTGGAGACTTTCTGAGAGACACACTCACCTCTCCACTGCCTCCATGTCAAAGCAGAAACGCTTGTCTATAGACTCGGACTTTCGACGGATGCAAGACTTCAATGTGAGCTGAGTATTTGGCTGAAAATAATAACACAAACGAGTGAATCCACAACAGAAAGTTTGACCAATTAAAGCTGGGGTATAGAACTTTTTTTGTTTCATAAATAAAACTTTCTGTTGGTCCCAACAGAGAAAGTCTTGTAAATGTATAATGTTGTGAATAAATTAGGAGTCTATTTGACACCTTGAGCTATGGCTGAGTGAGGGAGCTTCACTCTTTTTCACTTTTCTGTCTGGTAAAGCTGATCTAATTTTGTGACAGAGGCAAAAAATACAGTAAATTAAATGATGTTTTATTTGTTTGAATGTCAAGTAACCCAGCTACATTACCCAAGATGCATTTCCAAATATGGGGAATATGGAGAGCAAAACGTATTTTGGCTAATAACAACATGTAAGAAAGATTAAAGAGAGGATTGTCATTCTATCCATCACTACAAATAAATTAGAGGTTCATAAGAAAATATGTCTAACTAGGCTCAATTCTTTGTAATCAACTTGGTTTCTACCCTCTCTCTCAGTTAATGAAGTAATACATCTACTCCATCGTGACTACAATATTATTTCTAATTTATAGTTTCACTTTGACCCTTAAATATTCGTAAAAAATGTATTTATGTAACATATTAACCATTACCTGTTTGACTGTTGTCTTTTGCTCACAAGGAATCATAAATAATTGTCGACTCTCCTTGTGATACTTGCAGTAGTATTTCACCCATGTGACACCCAAAGCCCCTTAATAATGAAAAAGAAGTCAGTGAAGAGCAGAGTTCTTTATACTTCTGGTTTTGCTATAAAGCTTCAAACCTACATTTTTCTTGGCAGTACAAGTATCCCTCCATGGGCAGTAAGCTGTGCATCTGGATGACTTTGCTCGGGCTGGTCATCCTCTTCATCAGCTCCTCCAGCTCCTCACTCGTGCTCTCATAGTGGTTTCTGGTCTAACGTAACAGATAGAATCAACACGACAGAAAACTACAGAGCTTAAATAAAAGAACTGACGTTTTGTAGGCTCAGCTGCAGCTCCTGTTTGTAGGGCATAAAATCCTGAGTCATTTCCACCGTCAAGTTATTCAGCGTCAGAATGCTGTGAAGAAATGCCAGAACCTGTGCCATCCACAAAATCAGCTTCAGGCCACATTACGTGACATTTAAATGCTTTCACACATCATTCCTGAAATATCTTGTGTGTGAAGGTGTAAACATTAGATAATGTCATACTAGGCATTACTCACGGGTTCAACTACATCAAACTTCTTCCGGTCTTGAACTTGGTGGATTTGGTAAACATACTCCACAGAAGCTTCATAGAAGTTTACTCGCTCTTTGTCGAGCTGCTCATCCGCCTGTGGAAAACAACTGTTAACACTACAAATATAATACTATGTTGCTAGACAACTGTATTACTACTTATCATAATACAGTATGTGTGAATGTTTCACTAAAGTATTGGTTACAAAGTGGAATCAAAATGAACATAACGGACGAGAAGAACAAAACTATTGGCATGGAGAATATTTAGCCAGGACCACACACTTCATAATACAACGATCTGGAACTGTATTCAACCTGCAAATCTGCTCTGGGGTATAAAATACTACAGATTGTTATTCGATATTTGTGAGTTGAGACAAAAATACATAAAAAGTTCATGATTTACTGACCTCCTGAAGTTGACTCTCCTTCTTCTTTGAAGAAAGACTAAGGTGTTTGTCTAACTGAGAGTAATATTTTTCACTTTCTTTCTCAAACTTCTTTCTCTTCTCCTGAAAGAACAAATGCACCCATTCAGATCATATTTTTTTGGACAGCTAATAAACGATAACAGCCCATTCCTAAGGGCTGTTATATGCTTTAGAATCTTTACGAGTTAAGCACATGTAAAAACATCTGATTAAGTTTACTAAATTGGAATCTCATTTTTGTCAAAGAATGTGATCATTAAACATGTAACGAATGTGGTTTGCAGAAGCTGCAAGAGGTAAGTGGTCTCCTGTTGGCACAGGTGGATATGTCATCATCAGAGAGAAGGAAGTGGCCTGTTGTGTTGTGTCCTGCTTTTGTGTGCAAATCAGGAAGACGATGCACTGCCTTTTAAACAGATCTCATTTTAGGACACACAATACACTGGGCACTTACTTTAGTTGCTCCTATTTGTTCCTTTTTGAACTTCTCCAAAGGTTTAATGAGCAAATCGGATGCATTTTGAACCTGTATAAAATAATAAAATGTCTATAAAAAGGCTTATATCATGAATACAGTTATAAACACCATCAACAAAGTCTCGTCCTATTAAGTGTAATATCTGGAAAACCCAGTCAAACAAGAACAGTTTCATTCCTAATCCTTTGAAATCCAACCTGCAAAACTTAAATTAAAAAGGACAGACAGGTAACAGACATAAAAAAGAAAAATAATGTGAAATGTGAAACCAGACATTGGCTTTGCAACACATCAATAACAAAAACAGGAAGATAAATGAGAGCAAAATAAGAAAATAGGGTATCATTTGAATCTAATTAACAGGCACAATTAGTGTGTGCGGATATAATGACAGAACAAACAAAAACAAACAGAAACTATATCTGAGAGACAGCCCACAGGAAGAGCTTGTGGTTTCTAATATCTAATAATGAAAGACAATTCAGGGAAAGCTGATAACTCACCAACATCATCCTATCATCCTCGACTTCCTGTAAGAGCCCTGCAAACTCCTGAAAGGACTGAGCTGCAACAGGAACCATAAGTGCGTCATTATATTTTTGCACGTCAAAACTTGAAACACACGCTAAAAAATACACTTTTTTCTGAAGCACGTATGGTCACGTTTGGATTAGCTGCTACTTTTGACAAAGAATCTGCAATAGATCAGGGAGTACTGCGGAGAGATGTGTCTATAGTGTCAATACAATTCTAAAATTGTCAATGAAATGCATTTCAAAACAATGGCGTTTCATCTTACCAATGTTAATCTCATCGTCTGTCAGAGAGTCACCGATGAAATCAAACTGGAACGTGTTGAGGGTCTGGGAAAACTTCTGAACAGCAACGGAATATGCTGTAATATAATAAATACAGTAAAAGCCTTTAGGATAGTTTTTATCATTATAAATGTAATGTGTGAGGACATCCAACTGACAGCATGTGGTATTGGAGCAGAAAGCCTATGTAATACATCAGGCCTGCACCGCCTGGTCTGCATTAGGAAAAACCAAACAGAGTCAGGAAGAGCTGTCAGCCCAAAGGTCTGGTACAAGAGCAAAATATAGTTTTAATAATAGTATTTTCAAACTGATCGGTTTAAGGTGCATTCTGGTTCAATTGCATGCTGTGTCCTGTCAAAATAACTAATATTGATGGACATAATATTGCTCCAGCGATTGTGAAAAAAAAAATATTGAAATGACATTATGCCATTGACACAAAATACAATAGAGCAGGATAAGCCTTTAGCAGTAACACGAAAAGGCCTAAACTTAGACAAAAACAGAAGAATGAACAGAACATTGTATAAATGTAAAGGTGACTTATTCAATACTTTTTGTACATTTTACAGTCCCCAGAACTGACTACTGAAGAATAAATAAATGATAATACATTGAATTGAATCGAATTGAATTGAATAGTGTGTACATAAGCATAGCTGCATAGTGATTATTGTGACAGACCTAATGCGATGCTAAATATTAATTAAAAAACCAAATAAAAATTGAGAGTACATTCACTTCAAAAGTCTGGACTGACAACACAATATTTGACCCTTACACTTTACAAACAATGACCATTTGTGCTGGCAGAACCACAGTGACCAAAACAAAACTGAATGACTCTGCTCCCTTACACCACCTGAGAAAAGACATGTAGCTGAGAGGAAGCACTTAAACTGCTGGATCACGAATATAGCTTAGATTACAATGATTCTTTTGGCACATCTGCTTTTTCCAGTGGGCTGCTTCTCTCGGGAGACCTTTAGCCCCTCCCCTGCCTATCCCACCCACACATTGCAGACCCCTAAATGGCCCCATTGATGCTCAAACGCCAAACTGCACACACTTTTACACAATATGAAACGCACATTATAAACAGGGAGGAGTGTGATCATACCCTTGATTGTGGCGATGACATTAATACCATCTTTGATCAAGTCTTTGAGGAATTTGCTGGTTTTGTCCACCTCCGATTCGTAGCACTTGAGGGTCTCTCTGAACTCGGGACTGTCCAGATAGCAGGCGCTAAACTCCAGTGGTGGATGACCCATTTTCAGATTGCAGACTCCTGATACAGTCTATAATAGAGCCACGCAGGCTACGGGACCAGGAGCGGGTCAGCTCAGGCAGCGCGCTCGGACCATGGGGGCAGTGTGCAGAATAATACCAGTAGAGTTTAAGCTTCCGTCCACTTCCTGAAAGATTTTCCAGCTTGAACCGCTACCATAATAACAGATCCATGCGTTGGACTTTTTCCTAGTTGCGATCTTCTTTAGTTAGCTGTCAACAACGCGCGACTGTCCATTTGTTCTGGTTATCTGAATATACACACGCGTAATAATCCATTTTTTACAAGAAAAGTTAATACTAATCAAAGGTTGTTCCGTTTAAATTCCTTTGCGTGTAACTTATTTCATTAATTCAACTACACTGTTTGACAAAGAGCGCATAACAAAGCTAAAGGGCTGATCCCAATTGGCTACAGTCTCTCTACTCCAGCTATGCTCTACTCCCACCCGGAAGTTTCTTAAAGGGGCCGCAACGTCTTATTATCATACTCATACTAGGATTATCCAAATGAAGACGGAGCTATACCATAGACTGTATAGACGAATCTATAAAGTATTTAAGATAGAGATGTATTCCTATATTTACACGCTAAGTCATATGGTTTCTATGTGATATGCTGCACCTGCATGTGACTGGGTGTGTCTCAAAAATATTTTTTCTGGCAAAACAGGATTGAGTTTAGCCTATACACGTGCACTTCAACTCCAAATAATCCCACACACCTATGATAAATTTCAATCTACAGTGATTTTATAATCCAAATAATAAAGTTAATGGAAATAAAAATGGAAACTGTTCTGACCATAGATAATAGATCCATGGTTCTGACACCTTTGAATATTGTAATAGCTCGATATGACCTCTAGAGGTCGTGCTTTAGACTGTTTTGACGCCAGGCTGAGGCATGTGAGGACACATGCAGTATACAGTACATGTGAGGCAAGTTGATAGCATTCTGACAAGGACAACATTCTATATCGATTTAGTTGTTATTATGAACAAACAAGTTACTTCAACAGACAAGAACAACCTTTAGACAGCAGATTTATTGGATTTTTATTTTCAAACTCTGCTGTCCTTGTGCCAAACTTTCACTTTGCTTTATTAAGTAGTCTCTCTAAATCATTACATGAATTATTCAAGCCACTGGTCTGTATCCCTTCCTGTGGTCAGAAAAATTAAGAACTAGTTCTTTGTTATATTCCAAATAATATTATAGCATGAGGTGACATACCTATTAGTAATAAGTACTTTTACACTTTTGTATACGTATAAGTAATTCATACATAAGTTATACTTTATTGTCCTTGTAGGGAAATTTGTCTTCTGCATTTGACCCACCCTGTCAGGGGCAGTGCTCTACAGTACAGTTGTATTGGCCAAAAATGAAGCATCATTTTATGTAAAAGTAATACTGTTTAAGTAAAAGTAAAATACTACAGAGGAGCAGGGGGACAGGGCTGTATTCCGACCTCAGAGAAAACCTGGAACAACACTATGTTACCACAAACGTTAACACAAACAGTATGCCTCATATTTCAGTTGATGAAATGGCTTTGCAAAATCTCCACATGTGCCCCCTGCTGGCATCTTGTGTTCTTTTGTGTCATTGTGATGTCTGTCTCTTGTCTACGTTTTGCCAGTTGACTGATTTATTGCATTTAATCTTAATACTTGTACTGTACATATCTATCAACATTTTATTGATATTGTTCATAGGATAACTTTTAACACCTATTCAGGGACAACCAATAAAAGAGCCTTTGACTATTTCTGACATACTGTATATATGTGAAATGTTGATATATATGCACTGTCCCAGTAATAAATACATACCAACTTTTATATGCACTCATACAAAAGTAAAGTAAAGCAAAAAGTAGTTTTGTTACATAGCAGATGAACAACATTCATCAACATTGAGGTTCACACTTCGACTAAATAGGAGTCTGTAGGTAAGTAAGGATCATTTTATACAAATAACACAAATAGTGAAAATGATTCAAGAATTCTAAAGCTATATTTGTCCCGTCCTTGTCTGGTGCACTCTCCCCTTCCCCGTGTGTGGGTTATAGATGGGCTGTGGCTTATCACCTGGCTTCATGTTGATTGACCGGCCTATTTAAGACATCTCTTCTATGCTGGATTAGCAGTCTATCCATGAGTCTATCACATGGTGAATTTTTGCTGCTCATTTAAGTAATTCTGTTTCTAAGTTTTGGACAATAAATTATTCTTACAAAGCTCAGTGTTGTCACTTTTAAGCCGCAAAAATACCATATCATGATGATATTTTGTCCTCAAATCAATGTTCTGTGGTTATTTTTCTGAACTAAAAAGAAAATTGTTCATAACCTTTTTATAACCTTCATGCAGGCGCACAGTAGTGCAGTGGTTAGCCCTTGTGCTTCACAGCAAGAATTTTCAGAGTTTGCTTCCACCTCCAGATGAGCCTTTCTGAGTGGAGTTTGCATGTTTTCTCCAGTGTCTGCTCCGGTTTCCTCCGGGTGCTCCGGTTTCCTCTGGTTTTCCATAACATGTACAATAGGTGAACAGATGGTGATGCACCAGGCTGAACTGATGCCCCTCTGCTTGATGACCATCAGTTTACTTTTTTCCCAAAACAGTTCACATTGTCAATATCATCCCCATCACTGATTTGACGCGTTGATAAAAACTGGCAACTATCATCATTCTTTGTTTGAGATGATTCTGGCATTTTCAACAATGCGTCAAACTGCCCTCTGCTTCCTCTCCTCAGCGCAGAACAAGGCTAGTCCCCCCCACACAGATTCCTCAGTGGAAAAACTTTGATGCAATTTCTATTGCTGTTTGTTTGGCTGAACTAAATGGCCCCGTTGTATGCAAATGTTGAGGCATATGACCCTGCCAGTGCTGGGCAGCGGCTAGTCTGAGCAGAATCATTAGCAATGCAAAGCCATGGCCCTCTGACGCTCAAATTTGGACAATTTTGATAATACTCAATAACTGCAGAAGGTAAGTTTCCTTTGATATTCATAGCAAGTGAATATGACTAACATTTAACTTGGCCTGCGTGATGCCTGCCAATTATAGGAGATACTATCTCATTTTATGATTTGGTTGTTCTCCCCTTGATTTATTCAATAAAGAACTGTTGTTACCATTTGAAGTTGCAGGCATTTGCTGAAACGATAGTGCAGGCAGTGGTCCAGATTGAGTGCCACTGGTTGAATGGTCACATGACGTTGTGCCAATAGCAGAGGGCACATGGGTTTTGTGTACTTCAGGATTCACTTTGATGTTCAAGCTTTGCCTCAGAATCATCTGCACAGCTTTCCATGACTCTGAAGCCTCCCGCTGAGCCCGGTAACTACAGACTATTTAGCAGCATAACCCAAGGCCTTTAAGTCAACATATCAACTGCAGTCTCAGATTTGGAATGCTCAGTTTGGGTCTTTTTAACATCAATCATTTTGAGGGAAGATTACGTAAAAATGATGATGACCCACATTTAAGTTAAAAAGGTTTAGTTGTGTTTCTGCCCAGACAACACTTTCTTTTGCAGATCCTTGCTGATTACTACAAAGACCACTGTGTTTAAAACAAACTTTGTAGATTTATTTCTAATATCTTTTATGCATGTGTTTGCCTCTTTTTCTCTCTTTGGGATGACATTTAGAGCAGCTTCCAGCAATATGATTATCTAAGACAAGTCAAGATGATTCACACATTTCAAATAATAAGTATTTTTTGCTTTATATCAGTGGTTCTTAACTGGAACCAAGTCGGGACCATATATCAACATAGTAGGCCAAATATGTCCTGAGTTTAGTATATAAATTATATAAAATACTGATTTTACGGAAATGATGTACCTTAAAGCATTACATACAGTAATACTACGAAGCTGACAGAATGACCAAAATAGATAAAATAATTGATTGATTTTTTTTTTTTCTTTAAGTAATGTATAAGTTTAAGTATAAACACACATTATAGACACGCTTTTTAATATTACTTATTTGTTGTTTTTTCTGGATGACTTGGTAGATTTTTTTTTAAAGTTTTTGTTTGACTCACTTTTGGGGTTGGACCTCTGCTTTGTATTAAGTAACCGTAATGTGCTTTCTTTTCTAGAGCTGGAATCGAAGATGAATTGGGCTTCCTTCTACACTGTGATTAGCGGGATCAACAGACACTCCACTGGTATCGGCCGGGTCTGGCTCTCTGTGGTCTTCATCTTCCGTATTTTAGTTCTGGTGGTGGCAGCGGAGACCGTTTGGGGCGATGAGAAGTCTGGATTTACCTGTAACACCCAGCAGCCTGGGTGCGAAAGCGTCTGTTACGACCACTTTTTCCCCATCTCTCACATCCGCTTGTGGGCCCTGCAGCTGATTCTGGTCTCCACTCCTGCACTGCTGGTTGCAATGCACGTCGCCCACCGTCGCCACGCCGACAAACGGATCTGCAAACTCTCGGGAAAGACCAGTCCTAAAGACCTGGAGCAGATAAAAACACAGAAGATGAAGATCACAGGAGCTCTATGGTGGACTTATGTTATCAGCCTGGTGTTTAGGATCATATTTGAAGTGACATTTATGTACTTGTTTTACATGATTTACCCAGGATACAAGATGATCCGGCTGGTCAAGTGCGACTCGTACCCATGTCCCAACACGGTGGACTGCTTTGTGTCCAGGCCCACAGAGAAAACAGTCTTCACCGTATTCATGCTGGCTGCATCTGCTCTGTGCATCCTCCTCAACATCGCGGAAGTCGTGTTTCTGGTGGCAAAGACGTACAGTAAGCATTTAGGCAACAATGGAGACTTGACCATTGGAGATTGGTTACGTCACAAACTGTGAAATGATTACTTGAATCAAACGGAGCATCATTATAAAGACTGTTGCTTCACCTGGTCCTGCATCAAGAAATAACAAAACTATTCAGCAAAGTATAAATAGTTCTTTATCATTTGTTTTCACACTTTCACCATCACGTAACAGCAAGCTAAAGTGTTACAAAAGACTTCAGATAAAGACGTATGACGCAGATTCCATTTTGTTTTATATGAGATAACACTGTAAAGGAATAATACATGCTGGAGCCTGGCGAGAGAACTGTGTGGCCTATACCCTGAACCCTTTTCAAAATCTTACATTTATCTTTTGATTATATATTATAATATATTGATTTGCAAATAAATCAATATATAAACAGTTATATAACATTTTGTTTTGGTAAATTGTGCCTTTTTTTTGCTGGTTATAGTGTAATAAACAATAGCCCTACTAAGAGTACAGGCAACTTACCATGTTTATAACTGTACTTTAAAAGAGACTCTGATGCCACCTGTTGTTGTAGCTGTACTGTACCTCATTATGATATGTGTGTATGTATAATATTCCATTAAAACATTGTTTTTCACTACTAATAAAATATATTTCTGGCATTTAGAAACAATTGTTTGTCTTATTCAGTGCAAACAGAATCTACATTGATAATGTCCAAATACTTTGACACCTGCCCAAGATACCTAATATATATATATATGAGTGTAGTGAGAGGTGAAGCAGCAGTTATGTGTGAAAAGCAGTGAGGACACAGTCGTGCCGGAGCCTGTGCGTGATCTTCTCAGCTGTCGGCGCAGAACACAGAACGTGATGAAGCTTCACATCACACAGTGGCACCATCTTTAGCTTTGTGTCACGGTGGTCGACAGAGCCACCTGTGAACAAATGTCTCAGACTGGGATCCAGTGCTACTTTCCAAGGCCAGAGACCGGTTTATCAATAGCCTGTCCATGTAAGGGTCAATGGTCAGAGACAATAGTTTAGACCTTTGCCCAGAGCTCAGGTCTCTGAATCAGCTTTTTGTGGCTCAGAGAATTGACTTTACAGCAGCTCTGCTTGTGTACATGTCTCCCCATGGCGTTGCATCAAAGTAAATCTCTTTAAAAAGATTTGATTAAAAACAAAACAAAATAAGTGGTAGTGTTATCTCAAAACTTAATTAACTTTTCATGAAAGTTGAAGCTATTACAGTGTAAGGCAATGACACATGAATGTAGATTTTTTTTTTTTAACCCTAACCCATAACAAATAACTTCAGCCACATTATTGTCTTTCTTGTTTGATTCAGCTGTCCATAATCGCAAGCTACCAAACTTATTTGGTAGCTTATTTGATCGTTGGCACAGCTGTAATATGAACAAACTCAGACTTTAATTCTGACAAACAGTATAAGATTAACAGTTCTGTTTAGCTTATCACTTAAACTAATTTCTAATGACAACTACATCTTTGAGAATTTCCGATCCGGTTTAAAAGCATTAAACAGTACAGAGACAGCCCTCCTTAGAGTTTCAAAGGACTTTTATTTAGCCACAGACAGAGGAGAGTTCTCTTTTTAAATTCTTTTAGACCTAAATATAGCCTTTGATACAATTTATCACAATATTTTATTAGAAAGCCTCAAAACATTGGCCTCAGAGATACTGCACTTGGTTTCGTTCTTATCTTTTAGACAGGACCTTTGCAGTCACCATGGGTAATTTTACCTCCTCAACAGCCCCCATTACCTGTGGTGTGGCGCAAGGAAAGTTTCATTTTCTATTTATATGCTCCTCCTTGGACATGTGTCATGGTCCTTCCAATGCAATGCAAACGACACTCAGATAGACCTCCCGCTGAGACCAAACAATCCCCGAAGTCTGGCTGCTGTAGTAGACTGCTTTAATGACGTGAACAGTTGGATGTCCCGTAACTTTCCACAGCTCAACACCTCCAAACCTGAAGTCAAGTCAACTCAAGTCCTCCTTGCCCCAATCTCCAACATCCAAACCAACCTTAACCCCCGTCATTAAAAACTTTCCCACTACTTCTGATCTTCTCCCACCTTGATTACTGCAACTCCCTCAACTCCACTTTAACATTTAAAATCAATTCAAACGGCTTTTGAATAGACAAATCTGTGCCCGTGTGTTATCTGGAGCAAAAAATAAGTACTTTTATTATGTACTTTTGTTTTACTGTGACAAGGATTGCTCAGGGACTACAGGTATACTTTAGCACAACTGTTATAACCTGATGCAAACCCTCCTTTTGGCCGATATTTATCCTACAATGTCCCAGTAAAAATAAAAACAATACCGTAGTGTACCATATCTGGCTTTGATAATGAATCGTACATGTCTCCAAGTGAGATCAATACAGTTTAACTTTATCTTATCCATTTTAATACATTATTTGTAATAAAACAGTACACTACAGTGAAAATAGGTACAATGATATAATAAGATTTGACACATACAAATGATTACTGCAAAATATTCAAAGTTAATATTATTTTGGAGAATAATTGGTCTGAATAAATTAGCTTCTTGGCCTTCTAGGTTCTTGGAATGTACAGAAGGATAAGAAAATGTTGAGTAAATATTATATGCAAGCAAACGTAACATACAGGAAATCTTGGCATAGAATATTTTTGGGGTCAGGTCACAGCTCGCAACACCACGACAGAGACAACACAGCCACTCCCCCCAACTTCAACTCTATTTAAAGTTTGCTGACTTGAAGACTGCTCTGTGAAATGACTGGTCACTCACGCTGCCATTCACACACTAACACACACCTCTCCAGCACGGCGCTTTATAATTTTCTTCAAGAGGAATCGTTTTCATTGATGTCCAGCTCACGTCTCAATGGACCATATTTGTTTTAGATTCCTTGATGGGTAGATTCTTACATTATGACTTTTTAAGACCATTTTATTTGAACATTTGTACTTTCTGCAAAGGGAGTGGCAGTGAAGCTGTGTTTGCTGGGATATGAACATTAGCAGGTATGTTTTTTTAATAAGAACCCACACGCAACATAAGACAAGACATTCATTTATCACACCTTCGCCATATTGTGACACGTCTACAGGCCCTGTATCAAGCAGGTGCTTCTTTACTTTCCTTCGGAATAACTAGCACAACTATTTTTAAAAGGTACAATTTGGTATGCAGTAATGAATATGGCTGAATATCTTAAACCAGAAACCAAAGTCTAGCCTTTCCGTGCTGGGCAACATGTCACAAGATCCATAGACGCTCTCCTGCCGCTGCAGGGCTTCACTCGCACACAGCAATCTGTGTTCCGGCCCTTGTTTATCAGCAACAGTGGTTAGGTCACAACCCTTCACAGCACAGACAGTAAATTCATGATTATTTAGTGACTGCAATGGGTTTTTGGAAGTGTGGCAGCTCTAACGATGCTTATCTGATAGACAACATAATATCATATTAATACATGTTTTAAGTCTTTGGTAAACGTCACAGTTAACTCAGTGATAATATGCACATCTAACAGTGATCTAAATAATGTATAGCTTTGTTTGATTTTGAAAATTGTAATCAAAAAAGGGAATTCCGTTATATCAAAGATGATCATTCTTCTCCTTATATGCTTTTTTCTTAACAGGTCTTGGTTTTTCTTATAAACGCAAGTGTGGTTCTTTGAACCAGTATGGCGGACTGGAACTCCCTTGGGAAGCTGCTGGAGAGTGCCCAGGAGCACTCCACTGTGGTAGGGAAAGTGTGGCTGACAGTGCTGTTTATCTTCCGGATACTGGTGCTGAGCAGTGCGGCTGAGAAGGTGTGGGGAGATGAGCAGTCTGGATTCACGTGTGACACCAAACAGCCCGGTTGTCAGAACGTCTGCTATGACAAAACTTTCCCCATCTCACACATCCGCTTCTGGGTGATGCAAATCATCTTTGTGTCCACTCCCACCCTGATTTATCTGGGCCACATTCTGCATTTGGTGCGAATGGAGGAAAAGGAAAAACAAAAACAGAAAGAACTTGAACAACAAACTGAGAAAGAGCAACAGCTGATGAGCACAAAAGCCAAAAAGCCTACAGTTAAAGACAACCAGGGTCATGTGCGCCTGCAAGGGGCACTACTACGAACCTATGTATTCAGTATTGTATTCAAATCCCTGTTTGAAGTGGCTTTTATTATAGCGCAGTACTTTTTGTATGGCTTTCAGCTCATGCCCATGTACACTTGTGACCGTTGGCCATGTCCCAATGTTGTGAACTGCTACATCTCTCGACCAACAGAAAAGACAATCTTCATCCTCTTCATGCTAGCAGTGGCCTGTGTCTCTCTGCTGCTGAACCTGGTGGAAATGTATCATCTCGGCTTTACGAAATGTCACCAGGGCCTCCGCTACAGGCGCAACAAGGCAAAGCTGGAGGCAGCCAAGCCCCTGAGTGACAGTGTGATTCCTTACGTACACGGCTACAACTACTACGGAGGCCACACTGCTCCAGAACCATATGCACCAGGGACAAAGTACAATCTACAAGAGCCTTCCTCTGCATACAGCCCTTACAATAGCAAAGCAGTCTACAAGCAAAACAGAGACAATCTAGCAGTCGAGAAGAGAAGCAAAACTGAAGACGACAGATACGAGAGGAAACAATCGAATGCTGGTATAGAGTTACTGCTGCAGCAAGAACAACAGCGGAGAAACAACAGTGTGTCCAGCAAACCCAGCACCATCAAGAGCAGGATGGACGACTTGCAGATCTGAGACTTATAACGCTTTTGCACACTGCACTGAAGAAGAGCTACAGAAGCCTTCACAACTTGAACGTCGACGCTTTGATGACAGATCCCAGGTGACTTGAGAATGTTTTAGTTTACAAGATGTTATAGATACGATGCAATTTGAGAAGATGTGACAGATTTATATGGTAAATGTTGTGTATATAAATATATCCGTAGGAAATTGTATTTATTTATTTTGAAAGCCTACATTTTTACTTGAAATAAGATTAAATGCTGATCTAAATCTAATGTTTCTTAAAATTCTTGTTATTTTATTTAAATAAAGTAATTTCTTTATTGTAATGTGTGGGGATTCAGTAATCGGGTTGGTGAATATCAATGTTGAATGCCAGGACATGTGATGATACTGTAATGTACACCCTGCGGCTGATATATGTTTTACGTTGCTTACAGTAAAAGGTTTAACCAACAATTTTATAATTACATACTTTATTCATAAAAAAAAAACTGGGGTCAGTCACGTGGGCTCATTAATTGTATTATTCATTTTATATACAAAGAAAGATTTTTGAGGGTGAACTTCCTAAACACATGCCGTTGATATAACCATGTATTTCATTCACTGGTCTGGGACTCTATATCTAAAAATATTCCTCCTGCAGTGGCATCATGGGGGTAGGGGACGCACTCTTTAAAAAAGTCTTTAACTCGTGCGTTTGTATGCTGCAGTCGGAAATGTATTTGAGCAAACCAAATATATTTATTTAGACCCGTGCTATGAGGACGTAAAATCATTTTAGGATAAATAACATGGTCATTATATAAAAGATTTTGATTTGGAATGCCATATCTGTGTCCCAAGATAAGAGGCAACCATGTTCAAATCAAATATAGCTTACTTAAAGTGATAACATGAGGAATGGAATGCTTACTTCACAGACACAGACACAGAATCACCCAAAATAAATGTTTAAAAAATATATTTGGGTTATCAGTTTCAATGGTGTAATTCAGTTAATTTAACCATACAATCTATGATTTAAACTAACAGCAGTAAATATGATATACTATATTCAAATACGTAGATGAACCATATTTATTTTATTGCAACCCAGTGTCCTTTTGTGTAGGCCTAAGGTAGACCTCACATTTATACACGTTTGTTTGCCCCAGCAGCTCTGATTAAACTATGGGCCAACTGCTGGGGTTTAGGTAAGACCAAAACAGCTGGGTGCTCATCCAACCCATGGGAGGCTCGTGTGGTGATAGTTTAGCTTTTTGATTGGATAATCAGCTTGAGAACACAAGATGTGGCAATCCCTTGGACCTTTTTGCTTCATTAAAAATGTATCATCAAAGAGCCGACGTGATTTGTACATATTGACCTGTCTTGGGCACAGATACTTAAACAGTTTGTGTTGCTATTAGCCTTGTTTCCTACCATAGACCATTCCACACATGACCCCACATGGATCTACGGTGATGGCCAGACAGTAAGGCAGACATGCCTGTAAACTCGTCCATGTTTGACACAGTCTCTCGTCACTGACCTGCTTTTGGGCTCTCACGGGCACTGCTGACATGAAGGCTGCAGAATGAACTACAAACAGGTGACAGGTCAAAGGCCACGATCCCGAGGCCACTGCGTGCGTAACCAAATCACCGGGCCAAAATAGTTTCGGTGCAAAAGCAGAATATACCTTCCCCTTCATCAATCACTGCGACGTGTCGCACGTCGAAGATTCCGGCTATTTTTGTGGCTCATGTTGTCAGTAAGAGGCCACAGTCTCCCCCATAAACTTTATAGTCAAGACTCATCTTGTCAGAGGCGCAGCCACACAACAGACACACGGCCCACGGCTGTGGGGGGCCCAAGATAAGCCAACAGTTCCTGGCCCTAACAGGATCTTGTGGCCTTCTGCTTTGGCGAAGTTTCAGAATTCACAAGCATGTATGTGTGGATATCAGCTCCTTTGTGTCATAAAGAAGATGTGGATTCAAAAGCCGGCGAGCAGATGTAATGAACATCATTTAATGGTAGAAATATTCTTATTTATTTAGATCAATTATTATTTTAAGCTTACATTGCTTCTGTTTTTCCAATAAGGGAACGTTGTTGTAAAGCTCAAAAAAGGAGAGAGGCTGAGATCCAAAACCGGCCTCTGGCTCCAATTTGGATCCTTGAGGATTGTGATTTTATTCAAAGAGAATCAATTGCATCTAATCTGAATCTGAATCCAAAGAAGAAGCCAGAATCCACTTTTGGATCTCAGCCCTATCTGCCTCAAGGGAAAAATACTAAATGAATTTGTAGCCATGACTGCAGTTACTCAATACATGACAAGTTATTTTAATCTCACCTCCTCTCTACCAACCAATGAGAGATAGCTAGTCTGACACTGAATTGCCCCTCTTTGAAATGGCATGAGGAATATGGCACATTTGTGGAAAAAGAAAGATACAAATATAAAATATAAAATCCCTCAGTTGTATGCACAGCTAAACAGAACTGTTTTCAACCTTGTTTTAAACAATGTCAGAGAGGAGGCCTGTCTCACATCTTCAGGAAGATTGTTCCAGATTTTAGCAGCATGAATCTGAAAAGCAGCCTCCCCATGTTTAGTTCTGACTCTGGGCACTAACAAGAGCCCCGTCCCTGTGCTCCTCAGAGTCCGGGCTGGTTATTGCGAGGCCATGGAGAGACTTGTACACAAGCAGAGCTGTTTTAAAGTCTATTCTCTGAGCCACAGGAAGCCAGTGCAGAGACCTGAGGACTGGACTAATGTGGTCGTACTTCCTGGTTCTAGTCAGGACTCGAGCTGCTGCATTTTGAATGTACTGCAGCTGTTTTACAGCCTGGTTGGACAGACCTGTGAGCAGGCCATTGCAGTAGTCTAACCTACTGGAGACAAATGCATGGATAAGAATCTCCAAGTCTGCTTTAGACACTATGTTTTTGATCCTGGCAATGTTTTTTAGATGGTAAAAAGCTGCTGATGTTACTGATTTGTTATGTCTATTAAAATTTAAGTCAGAGTCTAGTATTACCCCTAGATTTCTGACCTTGTTTGAAGGTTTTAGGGAGAGACTGTAGGTGACAGATGACGCTCTCTCTTTGTTTCTGGGGACCAAAGACAATCGTTTCAGTTTTGTCTGTGTTTAGCTGGAGAGTTATTTTGCATCCACTCACTGATCTGTTGGATACAGTGAAGGAGTGAGTCCACTGGTCCATGTTCTCCTGCAGTCAGTGAGACATAGATCTGAGTGTCGTCTGCATAGTTATGATAAGACACTTCATTTCTGCGTATTAACTGACCTAACGGCAGCATGTAGAGATTGAACAGAAGAGGTCCCAGGATCGACCCCTGTGGGACTCCACAGGTCAGGGCCATATGATCTGAGACACAGTTTCCAATCTCCACAAAGTACTTCCTGTCCTCAAGGTAAGACCTAAATCAACTTCAGCCATCTTCAAATACCCTAAGTTTATCATAGCAGGGCGGCATGGTAACTGAGTGGATAGCACTCTCGCCTCTCCTGGGTTCGAATCCCGGTTGAAACAGGTCCTTTCTGAGTGGAGTTTGCATGTTCTCCCAGAATTTCGGGTGCTCTGATTTCCCCTACCACTAAAATTATGCTCAAAAGCTAAATAATCCTGCAGCTGCGGTAGTACTGACCAAACCGAGTAACAACATCTGGAGATGGGTCCCTAGGCGCTGTACTAGAGCGACCATTGCTCCTGGCGTAAGCCTTAGTGGCTTACGCCACTAAGGCCATGATGGGTCAAATGCAGAGGACAAACTTCCCTACGGAGATAATAAAGAGCACATGTAAATTTACAGAGACACTGTATTGTGTAAATAGCATCCATAATTTTTTTATTGTGATACTTTTACCAAAAAAATAGAGTCAGGCACACAGAAAAAACATGTCCAACTAAGATTTCACTCTGAAGCAACAAACTGTGAAAGCTGTAGACAAGAGTAAAAATAAAGCACATGTAAAAGACTTTATCAATTACACACTATGCACCACCAGAACACGGCCCATGACAATGGCTCGCACTCATGCTTAATGGCAAAACAGACAACATACCAGGACAATTTCTCCGTCTACACGGCTTTAAAATCGGGATACCATTCTTGTCGCAATACTTAACTTGGAAACTCTATTCAAACAAAAAGATACCAAAACAATAATTACACAACATGCGCCAACTAAAATAAAATTAGATATCCATTAGTGTGCGATAATTTGCATTTGATGATGGATTTTGAACAATGATACGCACATAACAGTCCTAGTGGATTGCAAATACATAAGACTCGAGCTGATGTGATAAAATTCCTTTTGATGAAATGCTGGAGCTTTTTGACATATGGCTTAATTAGTCTTAAATGTTTAAATATCTAATATATTATGGATTCATCTGACATATTCCATTTTCATATAATTTGTGGCAGGAAGGTATACATTTGCATTACAAACATTAGTAGTTATTTGTTTCTCAAATCAAAAATATATAGAAAAGTGCAATTGAAGAAAGGACAATCAAAAAACTACAGAAATATAATAATGCACTTGCAATAAATGAAATTCTTGTACAGAAATACTGTGGTCAATAAATGTGCATATGGCTCCTACAGAATATTACTGCAGCTCTTTTGATCAGGACTGAATCAAACCGTTTAACTCAGTTCTTTTATCAACCATTTACCAGCACAAAAGCAAAATATAGTATTCAAAAAGCTGAATGATGAAGTTACTATAAAGAGAAAACATTGATCAGTTTGACATTATATGAAACTTGTGTAAAGGCAAAGTGAAACTTACTATGCTACACACTGTGTTACAGACAAAACAGTTGCCATGTTTAATGCAGCTATTCAGATATCTCATAGGTCCAAAAATATCCCTTTAACCTTTTACACAAATCAAACCCTGAGAGTTCAAAAAGCCATTTCATTCATGTTCTTGAACTGTATGGACTTCAGTAATTAGTATTGGACATAAATCTACATTTAAATCTTAATATCTAGTTATGATGAAAGTACTTCTTATGTAAACTACCATATAGTACATACTGTACAAGACTACTCTCCCCAAATATTCTACTTTAGGACTAATGTGGCAGTATGGCCTTCTCCCTTTATTGCAAATATTATACCAGATTTAGTGTTTTTGCTTTCCCTAGTTATAGAGTCTCAGTCTATTTCTAAACTATATCAATGGCGTGTATCTGCTCCCTGTTAATGCTTTAGTTTTAAAGAATAGCTAGTTCATATAGCAGAAACTATAGCCACAGGACATATACACCATGTTCATAATCTACAAGATACAAGTGAACACAGAAATCCCCAAAGAGACTATCAATGGAATTATTTTAGTATGTTTTTAAATACAGACAATACAAAACTATACTCTTTTTTTGATATACATCCGGTTTCAAGAAATAGACTTAAAACAGAAGAATGTTAAATGCATCCGAATTATTGTGCAAAAATAAAAAGTAAAAAGCTTAAAATAAATCAAAAATGACTGTGGTAATGCAATGCATTTGGTCAGTGGCATACATAATGTCCTAAACTCTTGAATCGTCACTGCAATGCAGTCCATCTGAGCCGAATTCAACAGCCACACTTACAAAGTGCATACCACATTTTAATATTACACGTAACCAACTCTTTGACAACAGTCTGCCTCAAGAAATGGCAACATTGGTGCAGACTGTCACTTTTGCATCTTGAGCTTCAGCTGAGCGGCTTTGGCTTGTCCCAGTTTCAAGTGAATGTCCACAGGCCTTTCGAAGAACCTGACAATGGCGGGCTCATTTAACAGCGACGCTATGACCTGCTCAAATGAAAAGGACCACTCCACCTCCACCTCCAAGTGCTCTGAGCCTGCTGGGTCCTGGCCGCTCTGGGAGCTGCTGGTGTCGGTGCTGTCAGGGGACATGGTGGTGTCTTCAGCAGGAGTGCCCTCTGCAGAGGAGGGGGCAGCTTTAGAGGCGGCTTCTGGGCTTCTGGGCTCCTGCAGTTTACGTCCGACCTCCTCCATCCTCAAAAGGAGACTCGTCACATGGGCTACAGCGTGGTACAAAGACTCCTCCTCTGGGTCACCATGGAAAATGTTGTAAAGAGTCTTTGAGAATTGGATAAATTGAGCCTGCAAGACACCAAAAATGGAATAGACAAATAATTGTATATGTAACCCAGGTGACAAATCCTGCTAGTGTTTTCCCCTTTGAATATACCACTGCTTGGCCTACTGCTTGCTCCACCCATTAGCCAATCAGATCCCTTCTAGCCAATGCATGGTTTTATTGGTTAGAGGAAAGCAGGTTCAGGAAGTGCTGTGGGGGAAGCTGTGTAGGGAGTGGCTGCAGGTGTGTAGTGTGCTCACTTTACTGTTTGATGCCTTTGTGTTTTGTTTGTTTGACGTTTATTGTACAAACTTGCCTCATTTAGGAGCCTTCTATTTGCCAAAGAATAGTGATCAGCTCGCTTGTGAGGAGGAATACAAGGAATTGGTGAGTGTAGCTTATTTCACACTGTAGCATAGCCATTTCTGGCCACATCCATTTTGTATTAGTGGAGTGGTTACCATGTTCTTTATGCAAGCAGCTTTTATGCCTGTTCTGTCCATTAGTAATGCTTTGCTTTTACTTATGAATGTTATTTAATGATGCATTCATTGTTTAAATTGGACTGTTTATTGAATGTTCATTGAATGTTTGATTTATACTGTTTAATGACTACAGCTAGTACATTATGTTTATATACACTGTGAATATTTATATACTAGTACTGATATGGTTTTTAACCCTTTGATAATGATGGATTATAGTACAACCTGTGCTGTATTGTAGAATTGTGTGCACACTGGAGCTTAACTATTTAGTTAGATTTTGATTTATTTGAGCTTTGGTCCTGTTCTACAGGCCAGGTTTTGACCCTGATGGCGAGCTGAAGGACCAGGCCTAGAGCCTACAGAGCCCACTGGATCTGGAGTCGCATGTTCGCATCTCCCCTGCTGGCCGGTAGGGGGCTCCTTGCAGCCCACAAACTTTCTCCCCACTTTGCACGGAACTTTTGCAATCCACTCATCCACATCTCACAAACTCTTGTGCACCGCCTCCCTCTGTCCAACTGGTCAAACCCAGAGTGGGTTATTGATGAACTGTGCCGCGGGCTGAGAAACTGTTTTGTTGAAGTCTATCACTGGTTGCTTCTGTGAATACTGTGAAAACCGTTTCTATACATTGTACTTGTGCAGTGCTGAATGAATATTGATTTGAAACACGTGTTACCATTGAATGGCCATTCACTGATTTTTGGGTATATGTTTTGTGTGTCACTGTATTGTTTGTCAATTTTGTCCTTTGTTAATACATGGTAACAACCAAACTTATTCAGTCTCCTGCCACTCCCTCCTTGAGCCAAATCTAGACTTCTGACTACTAGCCTAATACAACTTTATTACATTACTATTTTCTTATTACACGTTTATTACTTAGTACTTACTGTGTTATAACTATATATTCTAAGATTTTGTAGATTCTTGTTTGTTCTACTTAGATTATATATTATTTTATGACACAGGGGTTACATATAAGTAGTACGAGAGAAGTTTGAGTATAATTTAAGGTGCAGTAATCAAAGTGAACTAAGTTCTTGAATGTGATTTACCTGGTTAATCCTAGGCAGGTCCTTAATCGTTTCTTCCTTCTTGAGTATTTCATTTTGCCATTGTTTCAAGTAAGCCTGCAAGTCCACTTTTCCCCGACCTGTTATTACATTTAATTTTCCTTTATGAATCATGAAATATTGATAATATTTACAATAACATTTGTCATACCACAGTACCTCTTTCTGGGCTTTTTCGAATAACACCATCTTCAGGAAGTTCAAAAGCTAAAACAAAAAAATAAATTATAAGAGTTGCACTAATGGCAGGTGGTATTAGTGCAAATAATTGAAGGAAGGGAAAACGCAGAAAACATTTTAGAAAAAAGGAGGAAAGAGTACTAGCTAACCAGCATGTCTATTCATATGAGGAGAGTCTTCAGAGAGAGAGACGTGAGGCATTCTTTGTTTCTGTGCGTGCAAAGGGCTTCCGGTGTACGCTGTGCATAATGGACAGAAAAGATTAAAGAAAGATTAGTAATGTAGTGAGTAAAGATAAAAAGGTTGGAGGTAACATGTAATTGTTAGGAAAGGGCTGGCGTACAAGAAATATGCAAAAACCAATAGTGTTGAAGGGACTGAAAATATATATATTTTTAAATTATAGCTAATCCTTGCAGAATGGGTCTGTTTTTATCCTGCAAGTAACAACTAAACAATTTTGTTAAAAGTTAAAGTTAAAACTCCATGATATCAGCCAATACATAGCCTTAGTGAAAAGCCTGTCGTACAACACCTGATGACACCTTTAATGTTGCATATGTGCATGAAGCAGCAATTATGTGTTTACACATAAATACGGTACATTTCAGTGTCAGTTTACTTTATTGCTGTGTCCCTTTTTAGTGTTCATATACAGTAAATGCATGTCTGACTAAGGTGATGACATTTACCGCAAATGCTTTTAAATCAGCAGGGGACACACTTATCGCCACAACAAATTGCCAAAATCAGAGCACACAACTGCCATTTCATTGGATCATTGAAAATAATGGTGAACAATCAGGTTGAACCAATAAACTCTGATTTGTGTTGAAGATAATTCAAGCTGCCATTTGTTCATTCTAAATATGTGTCATGCTTAAAGCTTCAATAAACTTATATTTAGCTCCAAATATAGTGTTTCTTCATGCTTGAGTCATGAATGAGCATGCACACGAAGAGCATGCACATTGTGTACAAGTCACTTCCCAGAAGTAGTCCCATCAGGCATCTGTAGTGTGTTGGAGCGCAATCAGATGCAGCATGTCTCCATGTGCTTTAATGCGATGATCAATGGACTGAGTACGTTCAGACGACCGTACAGGACCTGTCCTTGGTGCTGAAGCCATAACTCATGTTGTATGAGTCATGTTCTGCTCTTTTATGTAACCGACTACAACTCTGTCATCTGTAATTCACACACTTCCCCTTGGCGGATCCCAGAGACACTAGTCCACCACAGACTGTGCTCTCGGCTCCTCACACCCACTGTTGCCATGGCGAAGTCCTTTCACACCACACATTGGCTATTCTTACTTTGCCTTCAAGCATCCACTGTCTAATGATGCAAATAGAGGCACATATTCAAGGACAGTTTATTTCACAAGGGCAATATGATCATCTGACTGAGGACATCAGAATGTCTACTGAAATTACCATTTGTGCTTTGTCAGCTGCTCGGCAGAGGAAAGTGAACAAGCTCAATGTGGAACACATCAGACATTTCTCAGTACCTCCACGTGTAATTGTCAACTCCCCCAGGGGACTATGTCACCAGGGTTTGTTTGTCTGGTTGTTGTTTGCAACATAACTTAAGTTTTAGGCAGATGTTAACATAATTTACAGGAAACAGACAAGGAACTAATTGATTTGGAAAGAGATCCAATCAATGTTTTTAAAAAGGACATAACATGCTTTCAAAATAAAATTGTTTTCCTACTATTAAAGTTGTTAGGTTCGATTCCATAAGTGTATGATTCCACAGCAATTTTGCACACAAAAATAATAAAATCTTTGCACCGCAATTTCTGCAGGGGGCAGGGATGGCCCAGAACGGAAAGCCAAATGGTGGGATTGAATAAGAAAATGTGCAGACTCTAAATCAGTGGTCCCCAACCCCCGGTCCGCAGGCCGGTGCTGGGAAGTGGGACATTCAAACCGGTCCACCAAGGAAATAATTAATTTCCGTATATATTATTAGAGTCTAAACAACCCTTAATTTTATTTTTAAATGACTGGATTCTCTCCTTATGTCTTGGTCACATGAAAAGTAATTAAGATGTATTTATATAGCGCATTTTACAGACCAAGGTCACCCAAAGCACTTAGTTATTCCAATTGGAATTGCATTTGGTGTGCAGGGAGGTTGGTTGCCGGTCCGTGCAATGATTGTCTGACGTATACATGTATACACATGTGTATATATGTGTATGTGTGTAATATATATATATATATATATTTATATAGTAGTAGACCGTAGCATGTTATGGAACCTCTTGACAGTTGTCTGCACTCACAATTATTTTTATTTTAGATGTTTTTTTTGTTTTTTTTTTTAAAAGTTGCTGTATTGTACATTTATGGCAATAATATGCTCACCTGGAGGGAGATGCAGCTTGAAAAGGAACTTCAACTTGTTTGTGAAAGATCCTCCATACAATGTGTCTGCAGAAGAAACACATTTTGGAAATAGTGGTTACAAATACAAATATATTCTTTATTTTGGCAGCATACCAAGAGCACAGCAGAACTCTTTAAAGTTGACGAGGCCGTCCTGGTTGGCATCAATGAGTCGAAAGACCCACAGGGACAGAGTGCTTTTCACAGGACAAAATGCCCAAGGCTCCAGCAAGGAGAAGAGCGTGCTAAACTGATGAAAGCCCAGCTGATACTGCTCCAGGTAGGCCAGGCTCGGGTCGTGGTGCAGCAGTGCCGGGCTCTTCATGGTCCAGTAACAGCTCAGAAAGTGCTGCCTCTGAAAGTGACACGTTTGTCTTATTGAGGAAACAAGACGACATTTTAAAAATGTTTTTCTTACTTTGAATACATAATAAAGTTCATCAAGCTGAGAGGCAGTAAACCGAACCTCCTGCATTACCACTCGGATCTTCAAAAGATTGAATGATGTGTACATATTATTACAATATAAGAAATGCATATTACTGTTAAATTAAAATACATTTTGAATATAACTTACAACATTCTGCTTTGTGGTGTCCTCCAATGTCTGTATGACATAAAGTTTATTTCTTTTTCGGGAGCTCTCCACATCTTCAGAGCGTAAATGTCCATATTTCTAAAATAAACCTACTGGTTAAATACATACATTGAAGTAAGCAAGATATACTCAGAGAGATTTATTATCCATACATCGTAAGCTTCGCGAATCAATTCGCTAATATCCACACCGAAATTAGAAGCCTTGTCATTGGCCCCAACCAAGGCCTGCTGTACGGTTGGAGGCAATGGACTGTCTTTGTTGGTTACACTGTCAAAGAATCTAAAAAGAAAACATAATTGTAGGTGTACTGCAATTTCCAACTCTCGGAGAGAAGCCTGCTCATAAAGACAAAACCTGTTGAGGATTGTGACAGCCTCTGCGTCGTCATGGCAGCTGATCAGGGCGTCCATATTGTAGTCCAGCACAGCCAACCCGAGCTGCAGGATGGCTTTGATGCCGTCATAGAAGAAGCAGTCGACAACATTGACTGCACTCTCAATGGGAAGCACACTGATGAAGAGAGTCAGGAACCAGGACAAGGACACAGACGAGAAGAAGCTCAAGTCAGTCATGTGCTCCACCAGCTGCGGCAGGTTCTCACGGATCAGGTCTTCGAAGACCGCTTGGTCCACTAGTGCACCTGGACATTAGGCAGATTAGTTTTTAGCCATCAGTTTCATTATTACGACAAACTGATTTAAAATTCACTCACCAATAATTCTACGATTGAAATAATCTGGCAGCATACGCTCACAAACAGCCACTAAAAGCCAGAAAGCTTCCTCTTCTTTTGCATAAAGTAGTAGAACTGAAGTGAGAATGTTCATAGCCTAAGAGGAAATAATAACAGTAATGACCCTTTCAGACCAAATTATGTGATACAGAACACTCAACATTCAACATCATTTATGAACCCTTATAGACCAATGGCTCTATGTGTTTTTCATGTGTTGAACTGTTTGATTCTCTGATCTGTGTTGGCGAATTCAACAGTTCAAGTTCTTCGAGATAACTACTGTTGTGATTTAGGGCTATACATTAAACATTGGAAAAAAAGAAAACACATGTAAAAACAAAAAACAAAATGATAATAATTTTTCCTTGCCTGACAGTAGCCGATTTTGGGGTTCCTGTAGGCATAGGCAGTGAGGACTCTGCGCAGGGCGGAGATCCCGGTGTCACTCTGAAAGGCAGGGTGCTCGGGCAAAGAGCGGTGCAGATCCCTCTCGATCTCATCTGTGGCCAGTGTGCTTGTGCCCAGAGACTGCTCCACCAGCTCAGTGTAATAGCCCGGGTGAGTGGCCATGTCATTCACAGCTCCTGCAGGAATAATCCAAACTAGATGCTGCTTCATTGTGCATAGTCTAAAATCTTTCCATTGAAATATTAATGTTGGTTGAGCACTTGCACAGCCGTCTTAGCCAATATATTCCTTGATCCTGCAAACTGCTCACATTCAATTATACATTGAACTGACAGAGCTAAGGACAACTTAGAAGATACCTGAGAAAAGCATCCACAGCTCTCCTCTCAGGGCTTCAGGGACTCCACGCACAATCAGATCCCGAGTCTTCTTTGTGAAAAACATACTTGTACCACGTCCATATTCCGCGAAGTGTATATTCCAAGACTGTTCCTTCATCTTCTCTTTAAGCTATTAAATATTGATGATGTATATGTATTATCTACCTAAATGGCACAGGTAACATTGGCATGATTTGGGGCATAGTAGTGCAGATAGCTACCATTTTGGGCTCAAGGTTCTCCATGTCTTGTGGGTGGAATACTGTCATAAGGGCCTCAGTGCTTACAGCCTTGGCGTTGTCTTTTTGCCCCACCATCAGGGTCACATCTTCTGGGTTATCCTCAAAATGGTTGAGGAGTGACTGACATTCACCACGGATGGCCTAAAACCAACAATATTCAAAAGCTGCACAGACTAAAAAGATATGAAATAAGATTAGGGTGTGTGGAATTTACCTCTGATGAGGCAGAGTGCAGAGGACTAGCACTAATCCCACATCTGCTGCGTATAGAGTTGGCGAGGCGCTGGTAGTCGCGTACCTCGGAAAAACGCAGTGCCTTTTTCCCCCGCACGCACACAACCAAAGCTCTGCTGCCAGACACTGGCTTCTCAACATTAACAACCTGGGAAAAAAACATTATTTATTACAGGCAATTTAAAGTTATATATTAAAAAAAGATTACCTCACGCATTGGAATGATTACATGACACTGGCTTCCATCTTGACTGGCAAAACAAAGGTAGTTTTCAGATAGACATATCTTGCCAAGTGTGTTAAAATGGCTAAAGGGCACCCAGAGAAAACTTTCATGGACTTCCAATAAGTTCTCTTCTTTAGGAAGTCTAAAAAATGTACAAAACTGTTCACTCTTGGCATGAGCTTCTAATCCTCTGAAAAGAAAGATTCAAAAAGACAATTATTAAAAATACATAGAATAAAAAAGAGGAAAGAGGAAAAGTACCTCTTTGTGATCTGCAGAGGGTCGCTGAGCATTGGCTCCTTTTGGAAAGAATCTTTATCAAAGAGACGCTTAATAGAGTAGTCTGCCAGTTGTTCCATAATTACAAACGTCTCACTTAGGTGCAGTAGCATTGAGAAGTAGTGATCCTCGCCTTGAGCCAGAACATGGATACTTTCTGTCAGAATAACATTTGACGTCTTCTCCAGCCTCCAAATCTCATCCCAGGAGATGACCAGCTTCACTACAAGGAGATGGAAAGTATAACTTAATAAAGAGTGTTGTTTGTACAGACATTTCCTTAGTTTAGTATTCATATGGGCATGTCTCGACTTGAAAAATGTTGTGCTTTAGCTTTTTAGCAAAAGTCGAAGTGAACTTCGATGTGAATTCAAGGCAAAATGACTCACCCTCTGATCCCAGAAAGTATGAGTAGAAGCAGAGGAAGTTGGTGCTGAGGTAAAGCCAGCCCTGGCACGGCACTTTGCCTTTCCAGTAGCTGCATGAGTAATAGGTCACCAACTTCTCCTCTGGAGGCAACTCAAACCACTTCTCAAACCTCAGAAGGGCTTCTCTGAACTTCTCTGGATCATCTTCAAGAACGAGAGATGATTTTCCTTCCTCAGCAATCAGACCCTTGACAGAACCAAAACATTATGTGGTTCAGCAGGAACACATTATTTAATAGAAATAGTACATGAAGTTGACACTACAATAAATATAAAACCTTACTCTAATCTTTCCTTGAACAAAACTGGTGACATCTTCACTTGAATCAAAAACAGTGAGAGTCCTCATGATATTCTGCTGCAGCCATTCCCAGTGCTGAAATATCTCCTCTTTGGTCACCCCTGTGCAAAGAAAAAGGCATACAAATAGTAAAGAATGAATCATTTAAAATCTATTGATCAATACACCTCTTCTACCTTATATATTAGACATTTTTGCCGTCAGTTAAAGCACTAATGTCTTTATAAAAACACAATTTAAAAAACTCACCACATGCTATGGACCAATAGATCTGCGAGTCGGGTGTGTGATGCAAAATACGAAACGGAGCAACTTTTGATGTGGAGTCCAAAACAGTGTCCAAAGTGCCCACAAGGAGCCCTGTAAATTAAAAACAGTCCATTAATATCAGAATCAGAATAATTTTTGTTGCCACGTAAATAACAGGAAGTCACAGACTTGGAAATTGCTTTGGCTAAGTGCAACAGTCAGAAAGAGATAATAAAAATAAAGAAAAAACACTTCTAAGGAATAAATTTAAATTTAAAATAGAGTTACAGTTACTATTTACAATATACAAGTGCACATGGGGCACACAATGTAAGGTGACAGCAGTACAGTGAAGTAAAGTGACGTATGATGGGCAGTAAAGTGACTTTATAAAGGGCGGGGGGACAGGTTAAGAAGTGTTCAAGAGTCCAACAGCAGAGTGTTCTTGTGGCGGGAGGTTCTAGTCCTGATGGACCGCAGTCTGTAATATGCTTCATTAGGAATTACAGGCAGCTCAATAAGAAGCTTTGAAGTTCAGAAGGGTTTTTTGTTTCCTCTGCATCTTAAGATATGTACAAAACACATCTCTGAAGGAATAACAAATTTTATGCAAGATTTTTTTTTTTTTTTTTTAAATCAGATGAATAATTTGAAGCGACTCTGAGGACACCAAAATCTTAGATGTTCCTTGCAATTCAAATGGTATATAAATATCCAACTAACAGATCCTGCAAGCATGATAAGCTGATGGTTTGTAGCAACAGTGAGAAAAGATGTAAATTGCTTTGTCTCATAGTACTAAATGTGACCCTGAGTAGTTGACAGTCCGTGTTTGTCTCTAAGAGTAAATGCATCAATTAAGTGAAGATTTTCCAGGCAGCAGCCGCCTCATGCCAATAGTAGTGTGGATGGGTCTCAGTAATGAAGCAAAGCAGCAGAGGATAATTAGACTTGAGACATAAAAGTAATATATAATTTCCCAAGGTTAGCTGCTGATCAAGGAGTCTTTGGACAAGTAGAAAGAGAATGTTTTTCTTCTAATGTTGTTGTATTGAAATTGGTAAAACATTTTCAAGTAGATAAAATTTGATCGAAGTAAATGAAACCAGTGAGAAATATATCTATCCAACTCATGTCATGAATAATTAACAAGGGTGCAGAGAAACTCTTTTTTTTCCTGCATCAGTATGGTACAAACAGCAGAAGAGAAAACTGTATCAATGACATGCACAGGAATAAATCAGAGTATAAATAGCTAATAGCTATAAAATAGCTCTTGAAAAGTGAGATCAAGTGCAACGTGCATTTAACTCCCACTATTATTACAAAGACTCGCTCTTTGTCTTCAAATACATACGTACCATTATCTTTAGTGTCATTGATGTGCTTATTACTTAAGCTGCTGACAGGATAAGAAAGTGTTCATGAAAAATGATTGTGGACGTGTCATAAGCAAGACTGACATGGATTTGTATGCAAAGTTGCCATATTTTTGCATGTTCATAATCTTATCGAGTATGTGTTGTATACATTTGCAAAGCTGAGAACGAAACATCATATTCTGTACGTCTACAGTTTGAGTGTACTGTGTACTGACATTGAGCTCATGACAGTAATGTTGATTTAAAATATACAAAAATAGCATATGGCTCCAAATCTTTTTATTTTATTTATTTTTTTACTTGCAACAGGGTCAAATGATAATATGTGGTCACATCATTGGTCAATCTATAACACAAAATAGGACATGACACCATATTGAACAGCAGGTTTGGCTTGGTGCAAATCTTTACCATGCAATATGTATACAATTACACTAATACGCGCTTATATCAGTCGTCACCATCTTTAAAGAATAATAAAGCAGCCTTCACACAGTACGTGTGATTTGGTAGCTTGGATCAAACCTGTTGCAGTAGGTTGAGTAATGGAAAGCACACTGTGGACTGCAGCCATAGACTGTAACACGCCCATGTCATAGAAATGTTGTATGTCATCATAATGCCACATATGGTCTTAAATGTACACGTACAAACAAGGACATATTCCCCACATTGTTTATCTTACCTGTCAGTCCTCCGCCACCTTCTCCATAACCTCGTCTCCGCTGCAGTACGAAGTACTCGTTATCTTTCTCGGTGACCCACAATTTGAAGGCGTTCTTCAGCAGAATCTCTTCAGGTTTGAGCCACATGTTTCACAGGTCATTGATGTGTCTATTAAATCGACCTGACATTCCGCAATTAGCGATACTGTGGCCCGACATATGATAACGCGCATTTGTTTGTGTCCGTATGCCTCCCTTTCCCACGTCGACAAAAAAATCTGCCACCAAAGCAAGGGATGATGGGATTGTAGTTTTGAACAAGGAGGCGGGCCACACGTCATTCCATGTGCTGTCAGTTTGTGTCGTCACATTACTGATAAAAAGAAGATTATCATGTATTTTCTTGAACATATAGTTTATGCGCAGTTTAACCTAGGGGATGTATGATAATTCGTTCATAATTTCACAACCTCAAACGTTGGTTATGTAGTGATGTTAAATGAACAGCAGAGGTCATCAATAGCTTCCTTTTGCTAAGGCAAAGTGGCTAATCTAAATAATTTACATGGCCAGGTTGTATTAATAATTTTACGTAGATAATCTTCAATTATTATCTACGTATTATGTCAATACGGTTTTAGATTTGTTGAAGAAATTGAATATTAATAATAATGTAAACAAACTACAATCTCGTCGCGTAAACTAATGGAAATACACGTCATCCAAGCGCGCCCATCCATCTTCCCTGACGCGCTGAAATCAAATAAACTGACTTTTAGCTTCCATTGTTATATTTATCAATTACAATATCGGGTCCAGAGTTACAGTTCATACCTCGAATGCCAGAAGAACCCGGTTTGTATCCATATTTTAGTACGTTTCAGCTTCAACCCGTACTGAGGCTGACTTTTAACTGTATCATGTATGTTAGCTAGCATGCTAACTTTACTCCTAAAACTTTAAGAGTAAAGTATGGAAGAAACAAGCTCATCGCGCCCTTCAACTGCCAGAAGTGTTTCTCATGAATCATTTCTACAGAACCTGTTAAAGCAGCTGTGTGTTCCTCAACCTGTTAATCTCACAGACGCACCTCCTGTCACAGTGGTCGCTCTTCAGCGGTACTTGTCTGATCCAGCAGACGCTCAGCTGCTGCCTGATGACAGCTACAGCTACGATGTGACCATCACAGACGGAGTATGGAGAGCGAAATGTCTCCTCCACTCAAGTTTAAATCATATGGTGCATAAAAACTCTCTCAGGACAGGAATAGAAATCTGCCTAACTCAGTGCTCTTTTGTTTACAATGAGAGGAGACTAGGGCATGGTTACCTTTGTATTGAGAACCTCATTTGTTGGACTGGTACCCCCACTGTATACTCTGTTGACAAGGACATCAGTGCACTTCCTCTACTAATCAAGCATGGCATGGAGAGGAGCCTGTCTTTGCAAGGTGATGTGCCACTTCAACTGAACCGTAAGCACTACCTCCCACTGTGGAATAATGATGACCCAGAGGGAGCAGTGTGGGCCTCGGAGTCCCCCTCAGAGAACACTGTGCTTGATGGTAAGTCTCAGTGCAACAGTAAATGTATCTCCACAATAACGACACCATCAGGGCTTCTCATTATTCTCAACAGTGTCCAAGATCACGTTTCTATGTCATCTGGAAGCACAGTTTCAAAATCGACAGAAAACATTCCCTCTTCTTGTAAAAATAATTCAAAAATCCAGAGTAAGATATTATGGAAAGTATGGGCTCAAGGTGGATTATCCTTATCAGGTAAATTCAATCTGTGTGGAATAATTAAACTGAAAAACTGAAAGGTAGCCAAACTTTCCTTTCTGGTTGTGACCCCTGTTCTGTGTTCTGTTGCAGGCCTATTTTGAGGTGGCAGATCAGAGTGGCACCATGTCCCTTGTTCTGTGGAATGACCTTTGTCCAGAGTTTTATCAAAGACTTCATGTGGGCACAGTGCTGTACCTTCAAAATTACGCTCTGAAACAAAGTTATCAGAACAGGACGCGCCCACACATGGACCATTACAGAGTAAAGGCTTTTAACTCTGTGGGTATGTAGCCGTGGAGGGAGGGATTCTCTATAAATCGCCTTCCTTTTCAATTAGTTACTCTTCGATATGTAAACTACGTATTTGATTAGTCTATCTATAAATGTCTATATAATTATAATAATGTATTTTATTTAATGTATTCAAGATATCCATACAGTTACATTGGTAAAATACTTACTTTTTCAGAAATCTGCCTGAACCCACATAATCCAGTTTCCCATATAACTATAATTTCTCCGAAGAGTGTGCTGTCTCAGTGGGGATTACCTGAAGTTTCATTCCAGTTCACCACAAGGTTGACTTTGTCTTCTAAATTTGTTGATAATATATTTAGTATAATTTGACACATGCATGTGTATATTTGCTCTAGATCAGCATTGAATCAACTATCAAACAATTCTGTTTGCGACATTATTGGTTTGGTAACATTTGTGGGGCGTGTGGAAAGAGTTAGAAGTAAAACCAAAAAAGGTACTATATTAAAAATATTCTGTATTTCAATTACTGGTGGTATATGTATATGCACTACAGTGTGTATGTGTATATATAATATATATATATTATATAATTACATTCTGTGGGTCTGTAGGTCTTCCAGAGAAATTCTGGACTTATCGGTGGATTCATGCAGTAGATGGCACATCAGATTGTCCTTTCATTATTGAAATGTTTTCAACTTCGCAGCCAGAAATATTTCATCACATTTGTCCAAGTATGAGAAATTAGCCCTTATTTAGCTTCACCTTGAAGTTTCATTTGCCGCCTGTTTATGATGATTAGTGCGAAAGCTAAAGTGCTTTATTTCTCTTTTGCAGTGACGTATCTGGTTTGCAACCAAATGCGAGTTTGTCACGTTGATGGAGGGTTGCCTTACCTCACCAGCAGTTGTGAGACACAGTTATTCATAACAGGTTTGTTCAATGTTTCTCTTTTACACTGAGTGGGCTTTGAATCCCCTTAAAGCTGTTGACTTTCTGTTTACGGTGCATCAGGTTACCACAAAGGGCAGCCATACGTAAGTGAGCCTAAAGTAAAAAGCTTCATTCAGTGGACCAAGACTCTGAAAGATGACATGATCCTCAAGAAAACAACCGTTGGTGGATATTATACCTATCCTCCAGCTCCTAAAATATACACCCAGTCCTTTGAAGATGCATCAGGTGGTGATGATGATTATAACTAAAATACTCCATGGGTTTTTGTGTTTTTATTATCATTATGATTTTTACTGTGTTTTAAATCTAATAATAGCACAAGTTCCACTAGTTGCGGCCGCTGACCTAAAGAAGGAGTTTGAGACGCTTCAGTACAGAGAACATAAGAGACTTGCTGTTCAAGGCCAGATTATGGCAGTGCAGTTTGTAAAACACCAAACATCAGACAATGCTCTATGTGGAACAGCAGAACCAGAGGTAAACAACTATTGCTTTTTCAGTTTTATCCATAGTACATTAATTGTTTAATTCAGTTGTTTCCTTCATCAGGGTTCGGTTACGTTGACCCATATGTTTGAAGATGGACCAGGTTCCAGAACTGAGGCTGGTATAAGTTTAGACCAAACTAACAGGAAAAGAAGGTATGATCAGATCAGATTTCCTTACGGTGACATAAAGTAGATTGACATTAATCTTAGAACCTTTATTCGAAATATTTTATGGGAAATATTTGTGTTGCAATGAAATATTTGTGTTGCAATGTAAATTCTTTCCTTATTATAAATTACTCTTTTGATGGTACAGATGCTACTGCTTTCTAATAAAAAGATAAAGTGTTGTAATGCATTTCTGAATGTTTTTGTAGAGGTGCACAACAGTCTCCAGAGGATACAATCACACAGACTAAAAAGTAATTACTTTGGTGGCGTTCACACTTGGTCTGGTTCACTGTATGTGGATGTCAAACCACCAAAAGTGTCCATTTTGTGTGTTCTTTTGAAGATCTAAACTGACTTAAGTGAAGCCTCATTTGTTTTTTGAACTTGTGAAGTAAACCAGACCAACAAATGATTCTTGTCAGTTTATAGCAATATTGATAATTATAATTTTCTCTTAATTTAGAAGCGTCAGACAGGAGAATACAATGGGCGAACAAGTTGAAAACCTGACTGACAATTCTACAAGAGATTTTCAAAGTGAAGGTACCAATAAAAATGTACAGATTTACCATGTCAAGAAGACTTATATTTTATATTGGTCACAGAATCTGGTGGTGCATCCTGGGAAAGTAGCAATTGGCTGACGCAAAAGCTGAATGTGTCGGAGCATTTACATCGAGGCATGGTTTATGACGACAGCATTTCACGCGCATTCACTTTTGAGGACAAGGATTCCCTTTTGCACTGGAGCAACCTTCACCCAGCACGGTGGTCCTCGGAGCACATAACAGACTCTGTTGCACCTGCGGCTTTTCCTGGCTACTACCGAGTTACCATTTTAGGTAGGATATTTTTTATCCATTAATAGTGTTGTTTTTGTATTTTAAAATAAATATCTCCCTCTTAGTCGAGATGTGTTATTTTTGTCTTACCATTTGCTCTACCAGTGCTGCTGTTGGCAACTGTCACCTTTAATACCTACAGTAGCACACTTTAACCTTCTGTCACTTCCCCTCTGTCCATGCAAATGAGCTTGTGGCTATGTCTGGTCTGTATGACAGATGTACTGTTCAATGTCTGTCAAACAAATACATGAATAACTTACTACAGCTGCAAGGACCTACAGTATGTTGGGATCTTGAACGCTGCAATATTCCTTTAACTTTTACTGTTTCTTAAAAGCTGGTTAATTTTGTGCATACAAGGATTCTGTCCTTAAATTAAAGCCGGGTTCACACTACACGTTTTGCAGTTCTGACAGAATGTAGACTGTTAAAGAAGGTCTGCACAGATGGACTGGTCAAAACACTGTATTCTTACAATAAATAACAGCCAAAATTAATGTTTTGTCCAATAGCTACCAATGTGACCTTTATTTATCCAAATAAGTCCTACTGAGATTTCACAATCTTATTCACGGGGGTCCTGGCTGGAAACACGAGGGCAAAATAAGAATTAAACAAAGTGGAGAAAAATGTAGTGCCTTGTTTTCTAACCCATAAACCTTTCAACATTTTGTCAAGTTACGACCCCTAAATGAAGACTATTTTATGTGAAAGACCAACACAAAGACAGTCACATAATGACAGTAACTTTCAGGGACCCATCACTCTGTAAATAATAGATTATGTTGACTTATTATCTTGTTAATAAGACCATTATTGACTTAAATGTAGTAATTAGTGCTGTACACACACACCTACTCCCTGACCAGACAAACACAATAAACAATTCATGATTTGTCTCCATACATGAATCTGAACTGTCTATTAATATTTCATAGGTTTGAACAGGCACTTAGCGGTGGATGCAGCCTATGTTCCTGTGGTGCACTCCGATGATCCTCGTGCAGTGGGGCTGTTACAGGACCCCCACGGTAACAGCATGCTCTCCTGCCTCTCCTCTGGCTTCCTGTGCCCACTCAGCTCTGATCCAAGTCCATCCACACACCCACGGCCAGGTACTTGTAGCCGCTGTCACTTTGGTGCATTTTGAAATATTTCTCTGACATTTTCTCCGTCACATGTTTTCAGAGGAGGTTTTGGAAACGGCCGGAGAGCTGGACGGTTTAAATGTCGTGTGTGTCCTGGACCTGTGTCATCTCAGGGGAGACGATGTGGAAGTCATCCTCCACAAAGTCTACAGAGCCACTGAGGTTTCTCCCCAATAGACATTTTGTATTAGGATATTAATTGTTTGCATCTTATTGGATATTATTTCCAATCATAGACGATATAGATGGACAATGCTATCCCTTAATGAAGCTCAATTGAGTCCAATAGAGAAGTGCTCATGGATGAAGTTTTGCTCCAATTATTGTTTGTGTCACACTATTTTGGGGTTAAAAAAATCCATGGTTTAGCGCTGTAATTTCCTCGGGATCATTAAAGTTTATTTTATCTTATATTGATGAACCTGGAGTTTTTAGTGTCTTTGTAAATCCAGATATGAGCTATAAGGGTTGACCCATTGGATGCCTTCATTAGTGGGGGGAAACTCCAGCGTGCTTTTGGCTCCAGGTGGCTTTAAAATACATTTATAATATTTCAACTCTTTTTTTACAGAAATGTTGTTGTTTAGGATTTTCTGCAAATAATAATAATTATCATTTGTGATGTGAGATGTTTTTTTTTCAAAGGACATTAAAATAAACTTCTACAACGGTACAGTTTACCAAGATGGGTAAACTCTATTATTGTATATACAATTATAAATATGTGTATTAAAGCTTCATTTGCTTGTGAACACACCAAGTAAAACAATACAATACCGGAGAATGTGCCAACGCCAACGTAAAGGCAAATCTACTTCTGCTAATAAGACACTTCATTATTATCTGTTACAAAATTACTTTAATTTCAAAATTGTATAGCATACATATCTATTTAACATATAAAATAAACCAGTGTAATATAGTTTTGACTTTGTACATTCTATTTTACATAATGCTGTGTTTTGGTGAACCTTTTACACATTAGATTTTATGACTCATTACTATATAACTTCACTTAAGTCCAAAAACATTTACAGACACAAAAATCAAGGCCATATTTTTACTCTGCAACAGAACCTACATATAGAATATGAGCATGAATATTCACAAACAACAGATGGGAAGTAAAAATTCAAATGAAATCTGAGCTAAGTGCAAAGCAAAAAAGAAATGAAATATTGCAACGTCTCTTGGCTAGTTTTTATTTTCCGTCCATCTGGTGTAGTGTGCAACTTGTCTACGCCACAGCAATGACCATATCTGGGGTTAGCAACAATAATGTTCTGTGAGTGGAAGATGTTTGGGGTTTTCCAAAACAATGACTTCCGAAACGTGAGTGATTTGCTCAATGGCACCTTGTTGAATAAAGTGAATAAGAAAAGTGAGTTTATTCACGCAGTGGTGAAAAATGCAATATTAAAGCTGTCTGCTAATGAGATGCAGAATTGCACTTGAAAACCTCTTTTTACATGTTTTTCTTTCAGATAATTTACAAATATGGCATTTCAGTGATTTACTAAGACGACTTCTCTGTCATTCAGGCAAATAGAAATGCAGGGATCTGGACGTTGAAAAACTTGGGAAACACTAAAATAAACAGCACTTTGTAGCAATCAGACGTGTACCTAGGAAATGCTATTACGTTCAAGGAATGTAATATGTTCATTAGAAAAATACTTCCATAAAAATTACATGGTAACATGGCTTTACACATCCATATACATATTCAACACAGAGTTTACAGAAATTACAATTTAAACATTCTTCTCTAATTGAAATTGCACATAGTAAACGGCACTGAGCATTCACACTCGTAGTGGTCTGAAAATCAGCAGCAGTTTTACAGGATGTAGTTTTTTGGGACAAAACTAAGAACAGAACACATTAATGATCAACATGCTTGTCAAAATAATAATAACACAATTATCAGATCCCACACTAGAAAATAATAATTCTGGTAATTGAGGAAACACCACCTCGTCATTGTGAGCTGTGTCTTTGTCGATAAATATGAACTTTTGTATTCTCGAGTGCAGAGACATGCACCTGTCCTCCAACAACAACTCCATAAATGTGTTACAGTACTGAGACATAAGCACATTGTGTCAGGGCAAAAGTACTATCCAAATAGTAAATTTGGATTAAATTGACACTGCTAATAGATGCAAATGAGCAAGCATGCACATCTGTAACAGTTTTCACAATCATTACAGAACTGTACGTGATGACCTTTCATTGGGTACATGAATACATAAAACCAGACAGATCCTATGAAGAAAAGTTCCTATTCCAATATGCAGGTAAATGTTTATGTGAGAAAACTATGTAGTTAAAAAGTCTGTTACTGGACATGTGAAGGCAGTGTTCAGCAGATATTTCTCAATATAACTTGTCTATAGTGTTTAATCCAGGTGCGGAAAATCAGTGATCACCTATGAAAATATAACTTTGCATACTAAATGGACCTGAGCTAATTTTTTAAAGCTGTGAAAAATTAGACTTAACTATTAAACTCTTACCATGGACAGACCATAGTTAAAGGCACAGTTTGACCCCTCTCAATACCTTTACTGCAGAGCTGATAGCACGGGAAAGGGTCATTATTTTTCATTTATTTAGACTCAGCTTTAAAATTGACATAAATTATGTTTATACTTTCCAAGTGACAATGTTTTTCGATTGAACATTGAAATAAGATATGATGTCATTGTTAAAGTTAACCATTTAAACTAGTCAAACGATTTTCAGTTAATAGGGATTGAGGCAGAGGATTATATTGGTTCTACCAACAATAATGCTACTCTTTGTTGAGAGGGATACCAAGTGTGGACACAGACCTGACACATTTTTCTTGGATTAAACATTTCCAGCTGACCACATATGGTTGTAGTATCCTGTCAACTGTGATCATTAGTCGCACCACTGACCCACAGCTGGAGGCCGAGGCCCAGGTCTCAGCTCCTCTGGTCCTGGTCCTGGTCCTAGTCCTGGTGCTTGCCCAGGCCAGCTTCTGCAGGTGACTTTCTGTCACAGACCAGTCCATTTGACCGGCTCTTCTCACCCCAACCATGAGGACTCCTTTTCTACAGCACATACTTTGACTTCTGTGGCTGCCTTTTGGTAGTGTGAACCAGATGAGTCTCAGTGCTACCGTGTGAGCATGTTACGGAAGTCACTGGCATTCTGGTTTTGGGAATGTGGATATTGTCGCTGCTGCTGTTGCTGCTGCGTTGACTGCTGCTGAATGTACCCCACAGTGCTTTGCTGTGGAACATTTGTGGTGTGCAAGAATGCAGAAGTAGATCCCAGACCTTGAGTCATCTGCAGGAAATATAAAACACTACTTATGAATCGGTCTCCCTTTTTCAAGAGCTTTTCACCTTAAATATAATCACACTTCAGCCCATCATTGTCCCAACTGACTTGAAATGATTGTTTACCACCTGCTAATTTAACACCATTTAAAAACTGGTCTAACCGCAAGATTTCTTCAGGTTATCTGATCATCCTTTTTGTTATTGGTAAATGTACAAATAATATAAACCTGTAGTACTATTCTAGGCATTGATGTGATGCTAAAGTGTGCATTAATGATGTACGATAAACCTATGCAAAGATGCTTACAACACACTTGGCATGTACCTGAAAGAATTGTGGAGGTTGCTGCAGCTGCAAAGAGTGGCGCGAAGCCTGAGGTTGGGGGTGGTAGGCTGAGTGCGACTGATGTGAGATAAAACTATTGTGAGGGATCATGACAGGAGACGTGAAGACTGGTGAGGGCACAAGCACTGCATTACAGTTCACCTGCTGCATGGAGAAGGAAGGAGCAATGATCTGCTGATCCAAGGTATATCTGTGGGAAAGATCAAACTGTTATATGAGTTATAATGTCTTATAATCAAATGTATATCCAGAATGATAAAATCTCACATGGTCTGGGGGAGGCCCATATTGCACTGTGAAGACTGAGACGAGACACTGCTGGTTGGGACTGAAAGGGTTTGCATTTGCTGGTTCAGAAGCATACTGTGGGCAAATAAGGTGATTGAATGAATAATACTTCAAAGTATATAGTGGATGAAAGTAAAAAATGGTTTAGTGTGTAATTTCATATCCTCATAAACCAGGGTAAATCAGCATTCCTTTTTAAACATGCATGTCCTGACAGTTCAGGCTATAACGCGTAGCACTAGATTGCAGTCTTCAATGTGGGTCGGCAAACTATATGAACTGCTACTAGGTTTAGCAGCCAATGATGCGATCCATCAAAAACTTTTGTTTTTTAAAGGTGTGTGTTAAACTGCTGTGAATGCTACAATATGTAGTTGCTGCACTAATGCACCCTCTTTCTCAGTCGCAAAATACTCAAGTCACACAGAAATTCCTGGTATGTATATGCAGCACAGAGCAGCAGAACCTTGTGAGTGTTTCGGACTATTACCGTAACTGTCCGTCTTGACTGAACTCGTTGTCAGCGGGTCTTTGGTTTGCGTCCTGCAGAGATCTTGTGTTGGTCTGGGAGAACATCATGGGGTTACTGTGAAAGGGCATGGTGAGGCTGGTGCTTGTCTGCACCGGTACACTCACTGCCTGGGTCTGCCCGCTGCGCCCAACCCTCTGCCGCACAAAGGACAAAGATATGATTTACATTCATCCTTCATTGTCATAAAGCAGCATATTTGAAAGTGTTAATAAAAGATATGTTATTCTTAATTCTTGCGTCTCCATTATTCTAAAGCTACAGATGTTATACTAGCTGCATTATTATGCTAAATTATAGATTTTATTTTATTTTAGTATATAGTTATTGCTATTTTTCCTTGGGCTGTACAGTAACCAGTGATGCAACACTGAAATTGCCCCACAGTGGGACAAATAAAGGATCTCTTAATGTCAATCTTAAAAATATCCGACAGCCTTTTTTACATGCTATATTTCAGCCAATTTACTGTATACATAATCAGATCTTTGTAACCTTCAATTTTTTGTTTTTGTTTAGTTCATCTTCAGCTGTTGACCTGAATTCCAGAATTGTTATGGTAACGTCTGCTCGTACCTGCATTGACGGAGAGCTGTTTTCTCTCATGAGTGTGTGAGGTGAGCTGTGTGGTTTGGGATGTCCCGCGTGCTGCCTGATCACTCCGGAGCTCTGGCTCTGAGGGTCCGGCCTCCCGGGACCCTGCTGCTGAGGCGGCTGCTCTTGGCCAAAGTCATTGTGAATTGGCTGCTGCAACAACATCTGGAACAAAGTAACAAACATTTAAAACAACAACCTGTAAGTATTTGAAGTGAAGTTAAAGCCATACATCAACCAAGCCCTGGTGATCCAAGATGGCGCCCTATTGAATGAATGACTTGTGCTCAGTAGCACATGGGACTTCACGGGCGCTGACATATCAGAGGAACTTGCCTGTATTTGGGCAGTGTCTGGTCCTCCTGGTTCTACGCAGTGGATAATCTCCCATGATGCGTAGTGGCTCTCATGCACGTGCACAGAGGGGCTCGGCCGCGCTCTGACCAATCAGCGCTGCTGATCAGAGCAGCGGTAGAGCGGAGTCAGAGCGGAAAGGAAACGAACAGAGTTTGTTGCAGTAAAGTGTGGATTTAAAGAAAGCCGAAGGATTTAAGAAGAAAAAAAGTTCAGGATGACAAGGGACGCCCCCTTTGCCCTTGGGTGGGACAGCTATAAGCTAGTAATACGCTATCCAGTTATTATAGAACCATGACATCAACCTACAATGCTAAAAGTTGTATCATCCATGTTTTTTGTTTGGTCTATTTTTCTAATGTTTATAATTACACAACCTCTTTTCACAACAGCTTAGAAATGAATTTGCCATGCAATAGTGTTAAATGTGTATTCATCAGTGCGTTTTTTTAATCTATTATCATATATTCTTTGTACAATAATTTGACAAAAAGGATCTCCTTTGCTTTTAGTGGCCTCTTGGTGGTGCCAGACATCTATTTCTAAAGAGGTAAAAACAGTAGGTGCTTTAAATATTATATTACATTTTTTATCAAAAAATTATTATTTAAAGCTGGGGTACCAAACTTTCAGTAGATGCTGATATTTTTCATAGTTTTAAAAAAGAGCCCGGTCAGTCACTTATCAATTGTCTGGGCTGAGAGTTGATTGGCTGAGTGGGTGGGTCTCTCTTTTTCACTTTTCTAACTGAAAAAGCTGATCTAAAAGCCCTTTGACCCAGTGTTCACCTGCAGATTAGCCATCTGAAGCTTCTCCTTAATGTCATGGAGCTCCTGCTGTTGGGTCTTGATGTCGGCTTGCAGGATGCGTGTGCGCTCCTCCAGCTGCTCCTTCAGTTGGTTCATGACCCCGAGCTGTGGCTGCGGTATCCCGTACATCGACGAGGATTGTGAGGGGGCTGTCTGCGGAGGCTGAGACACACAAACATACTCAATAAGATGTATTTTACAGATTACACTACTGTTGCATTTACTGTATTTTACTACTTTGCTTGCAAATAACTTTTTAAAGGTGGATCCCTCACATGTCCTGATGGTGACCTGCTTTTTCTTATGCATTTCTTCCCACTAGGAATAAGTTTTTCCTTGCTAATGTAGGAATGTCTGAGGCCATTTAGGAACATTTATGAACATTGGTCAACCCACTACCTTATGGACAAATTGCTTCTATGTGTTTTGTTGTTTTTCCATATGTTCTAATTCTTTGATTCTCTAATCTGTTGTTGGCGAATTGACAATTTTGTATGGACCTTGAAGACGACTTCTGACTACTGTAAAAATAAGTGTTATTGAATGGAATTGGATTTTTTTTGCACGGACCACTTCCCGAAATACCTTGCTATAGATGTTATTCATTTTAAAACTAAAAATATGGCTGGTTTTGGTGCTTTTCCTAGTGAGAAGACTCGCCTCTCCACAGATATAACTGGTCACATGCTTCTCTCCAACATTCAAGAATATCTAAATTTTGATGCATCCGAATGAGAATGTGGAAACTAAACTGGCACATATTTATCCAACAACATTGAGGATCAGAGGGATGGGGAAGGCCAACACCAACCATGCCAGAGTGCTTGCTGCAGGCGGGGGAGACTGGGAGGCTCAATTGGGGAACGAGGTCAAAGGATTTTTGTCTTTGGACCAAATTCTAGAGGAGGAAAGAACGAAAACACAACCACAAACATGTTATTGTTTCAACAACATTCTCCTGGTGAATGTATCTCCTGAGATTGAGAACAAGTGTTATTGGAGCTGACCTTTGCACTGCTGGGCTGGTGCCTGGAGGTCTTCTCTGTTCCCATAGAGCTGGGCTGCCACGACGGGGTGCAGGCCTCGGAGTAGCTGTTTGCTGCTCCAGGAAACCATCAAAACAGTCAACACTCAACTAAAAAGCATCTGTTGTATAGTTTAGTAATGAATGATTATGCATTCTGAATATCTATATCCTTCACGCTATTTAAAAGTGGATTACTTTCTTGGATGAAATGGGAGCGAGTTCACAATTTTGTGAATATAATAATGAACTAGCCTTAGCTGGCCATGCATGTATGTATTTCTCTCTGACACATCTTGATCTAGATCAGCTTTTTCAGACAAAGGTGATCAAAACAGCACCGCCCTCACTCTCCGCCGCTATACAGCTGAGATCCAATTCTTTTCTCAAGTATACAAAAGATATGCATGTAGTGGTCTGAATTGTTCGCAAATTGTTACTTGACTATTTCAGACAACAAAAATTCTATTGTTCAATAAATATGTTAGATAGCCTAGATTTAAACTATTATCATTTGTTATTGTTAGTCAGTATGCATTTACAATAGTCGTAGCCTATATAAATCATACTTCTTTAAATAATCAGAATATTATTTGTGATTTTTCTTACAAGCAGAGTCTGACAGCGCTGTATGGGAGGACTTTCGAGAGCTGTGGGACGAAACGGAATGTGCGCCACTGTTTCTGTCCCGTGGAGGGTCCAGAGTTGAACAGATGTCCAAGTAGAGCTCCTGCGCCTGAGACAAAGGTGATACGATTCAGCTGTTTGACATTATGCATCACAAGTGACTTGCACAGGACCGTTTTAACCCATACCTTCACTGATGAGGGGGCTATCTCGGGAGGTGACAGCTCTTCAAGGCCAAACTCTCGCCTCCTCTCAGCTCGTACCTCTGCATAACTGTATGAGTGCAGCAAAGATAGCTAGTGTGATAAATCAAGCCAAGAAGCAGCTTCTGAACTTTTGAAGTAATGATACATACCTGACTACTGTGTGAGTGCAGACGATGAACTCGGGTTTGGAGTTCCACTGGTGGTAGGTGATGTAATAGTGAGTTTGTAGCCATATCCACTGCTGGCCTTTGGTGAGAAAACGGTAGTAGCACGACTTGCCCTTTCCAAACTGCATTACTAAGGTTAAAAAGAACATGATTATTTATGGTTATCCACATTTTAGATCAAAAAGCATCTTTGCCAACTGTCTTACATTGCCTGTGACATTGAGCAATGAGCTCCAAGTCATCCACATGATAATAGTCATAACCCGAGGTACCAAGAACCTCAAAGGGTAAATATCCGATGATTGGTGAAGCCCTGAAGTCAAGCGTGAAGTGTTAATAATGAATAGAATAGAAAAAGATTATAAACAAGTAGAAGAGAAAGAATACCTGTGGTCTAAGAACAAGAACTTCCATTCAAGGCTGTGTCGAGATGTGAATTCATCACAAGGGTCTTCCACATTACATAAATCCTTTGACAAACAGATAATAACTATTAAAGAAACACATCTATTCATTCCACCACTTCCCCTAACATTCACAAACTGAATCTATATATTTTTTGTCAATTTAAAAATTTAAAGGAACAGAACGTACTTTTAAAAACTGAGGAGTGACTAAGCGAACCGTCGCGATGAGGCAGACCTGCTCCTCCAGCGAAGACTGCAAAGTTCTGGGTAAAGTTAACTCCAGACCATTGCAAGAAGACGTAGGCACTGTCAAGAGAGACCATCAGAGGCATTCAACATTTACACTCATGTTAATGACTATGTCAAAGGGCTTACCACTGCTTTGAAACTTGAAATCTCCTACAAACTTGACATATTCATACACAGGTGGCTCTTTCGGGTCAATGTTCCCTCTGGCGAGGTGACAGCAAAATTCAATATGTGTTTCACCTGAGAGAAGTAAGACGAGAGTGTCATTTGTCACAGCAGCATTTATTGCAACTGTAAAAGAACATTCTGTATATCATTTAGAATGAATGATACTTATACGTATTTCTCTAATAGATTCTGGATTTGCATCTGAAATGAAAGCTGGGGTGCTTAACTTTAATTTGGGAGCTGATTGGCTGAGTGAAGGTGGTCCTCCCCTTCTAAAGCTAATAATCTTAATGTATGACAGAGGCTTGCAATACGTGATTGTGGAAACTAGTGATAGAACCAAGCTATTGTAAAAGTTAGATTAATTTTATTACATCATTTTATTTGCTTTGGTTTAAAAGTTAGGTACCTCAGCTCTAAACTACAACACTCAAAATAAAAGTTTAAATACTAAAACCAAAAATATTGAAGTCATAAAATGATCATTTCCAAATAACATACATCATGTAACTTGGACTAAATTAGTCCAGCCCAATGGAACAGTCTGGTGTTTGGCCTTTCAAACTGAGCCGTCTGCTCTGCCACCTCTTGTTTTCACATAAGCTCAATAGTGACACGGATTAAGGTCAGCCTCTTGAGTCCCAGATACTACATTACTGCATTGGATTACACTGGTAACATAACAGAGAGTTAAGTATCGTTCTAAGCTTATTCCTATTATTAGCTAAAAAGGGCTAATCATAGATACAGGCCAATTAAGCATTAAGCTACGGATACCTATTTGGCAACTTGGTCTATATTTAAAACAAATGGCTATATTCAGTGTGTGTTTGCAATACGTATATGGACTAAACCCTGGGTAAATCTAGTGTTTTATCTTAAATGCAAAATCCTAGATATGTTGTACGGGTAGTGCAGTTGTTGTGTAAGAATGTAAAGAGGTTGCCAGACTCAAATGACAACACTTACTCTCTAGAAAGTCAGCAGCAATGGGGTCAGACATCAGCATGTGAGATGATAGCAGCTTATACACCTCCCCATGTTCACATTCCGGGAGGAAGTTCAAGATATTTTGGTCCACCATATCTGACTGATGCAACAGAGAAGACATGATCAGTGTTTGGTGGATTTGAGAAGTAATCACATAATAACCAGTGCTTTATGGTCACTTATATGCATCTAAAAATGTGCCTGTTGACTTCATGAGATAATATTGTGCAACAACAGGCCTCCATTTTTCATTAGATAAAGATTGATCTGAAAACTGCACAGAAGCTTGTGTTTTAACTTACCGGTAAATGACCAATAAGGGAGGACACACTGTCAGATACATAAATTATATTTCCATCCGTTGTTAATGCTATTAAGAAACCATCCAGGGCCTGAAATATACAGGAAAAAATTAAATAAAATAGAAGACAAATGTGATAAAGCTGGGCAACATAACCTTTTAAGATAAATAATACATGTTGCTTGTTACAACTGAAAGAGTCTCGTAAAAGTCAACTGTAAATTCTATTTGTCTGAAATGCCAATGTTAAATATGTTAGAAAGGCCAAAAACATGTGAAAACTAGTAATGGAACTAAAATGTTTTACGAACGAAGAACTTATTAGATTGATTTTATGACAATTTGATGTGGAAAGTTAGATACCCCAGCATTAAGGTAGAAATATATTTCAGTTAACTCACCTCCAACATCAGCTGTGTGAACTCCTCGTTACTGAGGAAAGATGGTTTCCAGTCCTGTTTTACGTCACAGGTTTCATTCTGGGCAGTGATGTCTGCACAGAATAAAGGTTTCAGTTGAGACTTGCATTTTACATGAGCTGCCAATCTGCTGTATAAAAATATAGCACACTGGCAGAACAGAGATAGATGAAGCATACACTTACCTTTCTGTTTCTGTAAGAAGTCAATAGTTCTCTGTAAAATGGTGGATTTGTCCATTTTGCGAGGATGGCCCTGACCCTGCAGCATAGTGCAAAGTTCCTTGATGAGCATGTTGAATTGGTCTCGTCGTTTCTTTTCTGATTTGTTTCTGGATGCCCTGAGTGATCATTATAAAGCAGTTAAATGTCATGATGATCATTTCAACCACATTTATTTTATTACACCACAAAAGTAAAATAACATATAAATAACAATAAGTGTACAGTGTACCTTTTTGCCCTGTCCTTCTCATCCTCATCCATAAAATCGTCGACACAGCTGCTGGTGCTGCAAAAATGTGAACATTTGTTATTTTCCTTTATTTAATCAGTTTTCATAGAAACTATTTGAATCTAGGTCACATTCCTCATTGCTGAGTCAAGTTATGGCTTATACATTATGCAGATTAAGACTTGGTTAAGAAAAATCTTTTACTGCATGCATTTTCTACCATGCATTTCTTTCTTTTTAATTGAGGAAGGGAATTTAAATATATAAGAATCTACAGTGAATGTTAAACACTTATTTAACCTTATTCTGTGTAACCACATAAGAGTCTGATTATTCTCTTATATGACATTCGCTGCGCCTTATCCTTCCATCTCAACCCAGTCATAATTTTTGCCAAAAGACACAACCACAATATGTGCTGCTTCAAACCACCATTATTTTGGTCATTTTATGCCAAAGTATCACTGTTAGACTCTATTTCACTGCTCTTATTCAAACGATGCTAAACTTAAAGGCAACGCACTTGTTTCACCGGTTGATCTAGATTCCGACTGTCATCTAAAGTCATGCGCTTTGGGAAAAAATGTGACACGGTGACTAAAGTTCCCTGTATAGAGTGAGTAACTATGCATAGAGCTGCTGCTCCCCCTTTCTCATTTCACTCAAAATTCGTCTCTCTTCCAGGATCCTCTGCATGTTCAACTGTGACGGACCTGGAATATGGAAATCTATGGGAGAGGTCTGCTGTGTAAGTCTGAAGTTACCACATTTTAGATCTCTTATTGTCTAACTTAATTAAAGCTTGAATTAGACAATAAGAAATGTGAAGTGTACCAACTAAAAACTAAAACAACTGTTGCCAACTTGTTATGTCAACACTATATCATAGTGTTTCTTATTCAATTGAATGTTCGAAATAAAGAAAATTAAATACATTATCTTTTGTCAATGAGTGTTGATATTGAGTTGTTGTGCTCTTGTCCAGTCTATGCACAAAAATAGCCAGACATAATGGCGCACTTTGGCCAGGAGAAGAGCGAGACGAAATAGAGGGAGAAAGGGAGGGGCGAGAGAGGATATAGTTTGTAAATCCTCATAGCAACAACCTGCTTACACATCGAATGTATTGAATATGGTGATGACCTCATAAACATACTAACTAATATAGTGTTATGCAATACTTACTCCCATTCCCGTTGTGTGGATGCACAGGAGCCACTGTAGTCAGCCAGGTTGTCCATGCTCACTCCCAGCCAGGACCTCTCTGCAGTCTTATCTGGCCCATCCGCACCGATTGTCCCAAAACCAAACAACAAAATCCTACTGTAGACCCACCTCTCTCCGCTGCTGAGAGGCCTCAAATCCTGCCAACAGACACAAAAATCTGTGATCCATTTGCATACAGAATCTTCTTTTATACACAAATATTTCCCCACACATCCAGTAACTGGTTTTGAATGAGACACCAGTATTTTAATAGTGAAGATTGTGCTGAAAGAGTTCTCCTGACCCAGAAAAAATATCTCACATAGAAGGCGCTAATGAAAACACTCCATGTAACCTCCACCTGAATAAAAGGCAGCTTAGACAACAAGCAGCGGCACATTTGAGGTCAAAGCTCTCAAAAAATCTATTTCTAAAAGCGAACAATACAAAGAAACCCTAAACTATATGTTAGTAAGTAAATACTTATGGCGTCACTTAATTATCATATCATTCTTGACATAATCATTTTAATCTCCAATTATTGGATTCATGAGCTAACGAACAAACATACTGGCCTTGGAATAAGAACATCACGCATGTTGTCCAGTCGTGCTGAAACCTATTTTATTGCATGACATTGGAGTGATATAAATGAACAGAACATGCAGTCTAATCAAATCAATGTGTATGTGTTGATTTGCAAAGAACAGATTAGAAAATCAAAGAAAACAAAAGAAAAGTCATTATGAATAACTCAATAACCAAGAGATGGATTTAATAATCTACAACATACAGTATATTCTCCAAAACAGAGGTTTAGAGGATATAATTATATCATTATCATATCATAAAGGATATTATCCGTTTTTAGCTGGGGCAGTGAGTAAATATAATGTAAGTAATTCATATTCATTGACAGAATTTACATTGGGCTACAAATGAAGCACCACATCAACCGGCTTTTAATGTTTAGAGCTAAACAGATTAGGAGCACCAGAGGCTGATTACAGTGGCCTCTGGGGACAGAAAAGCCTCAAACCAACAACTACTGCTGTATGTTTGAGTTCAAGCCCGGAGGATTCACAGTTGTGCAGTGAGGGAATATTATGGTTTACAGTTGTGTTTGCATGATTTTATTTGTGCATTAGGTTTTTTGAAAGTGTATGAGCGGCTGGCTGAGAAGAGGCTCTTCTCCAGATCGTAGCGCTAGGTCCTAATAATAATAATAAAATGTAACTTATCTGGTGTCTGCCTGAACATTTGGCTCGACAACAGGATTATCGGATTACACTTTCAATTGTATTCCTTCTATATTCTATATTATAATGCATGCTGACATTTAGCAGTGAGTCCTTGCAATATTTTTACAATTACCTAATGAATTATAGCTCCCCATTAGACCACAACATCATCATGGGATCATCAAAGCACAAATTCAATTTTATTTTTAATAAAAAAAACTCTAAGGATTTTCTACTTCCGGGTGTATCATCAGGACTGTTGGTCTTACCAATTGTAAATCATTCGGTGATGTGCGCTCGTCAAATACAGTAAGACCAAAGAGTTTTGTTCAAAAAGTGGAGAGGGCGGTTATTTCCTAAAATCCTCCTATGTACCTTTAAGCTCACAAATGTGTGATGTGTTATAATTGTTCATTTTCTAATCTATCTCACTTTTACTTAAGTTGGAAAGTCCCATTGAGATTAAGAACCTCTTTTAAAAGAGAGTCCTGGGTGATATCATAACCTGCTGTTGGTGAGTCGACAATTCTGTGACTTTGCTTTACTGTCAATACAATGTACAATAAACATCAGTATACATATTTGTGATCAATCCGTTGATTTGGACAGTAAACTGCAAACTGAAATAAATGTTTTTTTCATCTACTGGGAACACAACAATAGGAATAACACAACGGGTCACTCAAATTAACAAACAAGCAATTGATTTAACTTCAAATGAGTACCTCTGTAATATTTGGAAAAGTCCAGACTGAGACATTTGAGAGTCTTTATTTTCCCTTTACCCCTGAAGCCTGAATACACTCAGCCGTTTATCAAGACCAAAGACATTCATGTGAGAAAGGCTGTGATATGTCCCACTCAATGATTGTCACTGGTCGACCTCCAAATAGGTTCTAGACGTCGGGGCCAGTGAGTTCTGGCAAAGGCACAGACACAGATGTTGTGAACAGCTGTGAAATCAAAATCAGTGATTGGCATTTGGGGCGTGGCCAAAAGCTGTCAAACGTGACCCACATATTGCAATCCCATAAACTAGTGTTTTTAGTGTAATATTTCATTACATATGCATCTGTCTTATGTTACCAATGTTAAAGAAGGAGAATATACAGAACATGTAGGTGCCAATAAAGGCAGCCGCATTTCTTGCTTTTGAGACAGTTTTCTTTACCACTTCACCACCAGCTGGCTATAAGTACAAAGGGTCTATATTTTACACATAACTTTGTTTGATTTTGTGTCATTTTTAGTAAGTAATCATTCTTTATACACTGTCTTTCACAGACAGTCACAAAATGCTTACAAGTGTTGTGGGCATTCTCTCTCTCTTAGAAGCAGGGCTATACAGAAGGCACACGGACCACCAGTGGTCGGGGAAACTGGAGGATTGGAGGACACCGAGTGCTCAACATGCAAACTCCATACAGAAAAGCCCCCTCTGGAGGTGTAATCAAGCCCAGGACCGTATTGCTGTGACCCACAAGCGCTATCTGCTGTGCCACCGGGCCGCCCAAGAGGTTCATGTCTATAAATTTAAATTGTTTTAGTTTAGTCCACTGCTTAAGTGTGAGCTAATAACTGAAAATAACATTTCTTTATTGTGTCTCTTGTTAACAGTCCAAAGAGTGGCAAGCAACAGGTTTTAATTGGATTTAGTATTTTTTTATTTTCTCACAACATTCAAAAGGTGGGATTTTATTTGTGTACATTTTTACAGTTTTAGCGTATATAAATAATGAAAAAGATTATTAGTGCATTTGGAATGAGAAAATAATTATTCTGCCGGACAACAAGTCAAAAGATACTTTCAAACTTAACAAATGTACAAAATTCAAGTTTTTGTTTTTGTTTGTATATGCATAGCCTGGTTTGTTTGCAAATAACTTAGAATAATGGCAGTCCTTCTTAATTGAGACCACAAAAATTGGGATTTTGATATGATGTTGATATGATAATACATGGTGTTTTCTGGTCAAAATAATGCTGATATCTCTTTGCGTATATTCACATCAAGCAGATTATCCAAATAGGTTGCCAGTTTGGTGAAATCCAGAAGCAACATATCAGTAATCAGAGCCAGTGAGCAGTCACTTGGCTTTGTAAACAATATGGAAAACACTGGCAACTGGTAGTTTATGTGTAGGACTATTTGAAGTAACTTTTGACGATGATAAGGACAAAAAGGATTGAATGGCAGTTCAATGTGAACTTATTTACCATTTGGCTGTGACGTACAGATTTGAATTAGGTTGCAATGTTGACCATCCCTACTTGTAAGTATTTTATGAACAAAAATAGGTACAATGATCAATACATTGACAAAATCTGCAGATGAAAGGCTCAATCAATTTCTCAGTCTATCTATCTATCTATCTATCTATCTATCTATCTATCTATATATTTATCTATCTATCAATCAAACCTTATGTTGGAAGTACTGACCCATTCCAACATGCACTTCTTCCACCAATTAGTTATATAGGTCACTCATTTCTGGGTCTGATTTATAAAGGTGCAGTGTTATGATTTCGGTTAAAGCAGCAAACCCACTTGTGATAAGGAAGCAGGAAGCACAACACAAATACCTTCTATGAAAGTATGAGAGGGCACTCAGTGACCCCTTTAGGTACATATGTTATTGCATATGTATACAGTCCATGGTATGTGCACAGTAATTATACTAAAAGCAAAGGTCAAACTGAGAGCCAGTGATTAGTGTACAAAACTAAGCTCTAACAAAGTAGAGCAGGTAAACCAAAGTCAAGGTAGGAATGTGTTATTACGCAGACTGAGATAATCAGATAGTAGTAATAATGTCAACCGCAATCGGAAATGGGTTATTTTTTTCAGTCTAGTAACCAGGTCTGCCGGTCCAAACGTGGAGGCTGAGCCAGCACGTATATGACGTAAAGACACACATATATATTTTGATTGTGAACATTATTGAAAGGTTCGAAATACAAATGTCTGAATCCACAAGAAGACGAATGAGCCCCGCTTCATCAAGAACTTTGTCATCCAAAACAGGGCAAAAGAATGCAACCATAGCTCACATACGGCACAAAAGCCTTCATAAATTGCACATACCTTCAACGCCGGTCTTTAGCAGCAACGCGCACTTGAGCACTACTTTCCTTATAATTTCTGTCATTTTAACAAACTAGCAGCCGTGCGTAAAAGCACTCGCAATGGACGCACACAATTGCATAACCATAGTTAAAGTTAAACACCGCACAGCTAATAATCCGACAGCGACGCGAACTATTATTGAGTATTTCCCATTTGAGGATGTGGTCCCGAGTTGTGAGCGGTATGCGTGTATTTTTCAGGCTCTGGGGCGCTCATCCTCCGCTGGCAGTGGCTGTAAACAGGCTGTGTGGTTGAGGACTCCGAAAGTAGGTCAGCGGGGAGAGAGAACAGCGCTCGGGCTAAAGGACAACAGCAAGACCTGTAGTGGCCGTAGGAAGAGGGACTGTAATCTTTAACACGTGCTCAATGGACAAGTGCAAGGGTCCTCCAGTGTTTGGGCGTAAACAGCGTGGGTCTGTTCACTTTAACATGCCAGAGCTATGATTGTGGTGAGATTGTTGAATTGCTCTGTTAATAGCTGTGTTTTTATCTCCTTGCTACTATTCGCAATATTTTGGTAATTCAGATAAAATAATGTTTATCTATAGAGCTGTTATGCGTGTCACTAAATACATAAACGCACACGCACACGCTGTCAGTCACACATACATAGGCCTACATACATACGTACACACCCACATACAAATACACACAGACACACACCC